CGCGGGAGCCTCCGGGAAGGCGCTGAGCGCCGCGTCCCTTGGGGCTCCCGGGGCCACGCCGAGGGGCTGAGCGGGCGAGGAAGGGGGGAGGACGCCGCCGGGGAGGGGGGTAGTCCGCAGGCGGGCCACCCAGGTCGGAGGCGAGGGTGGGAAGGGCACCTGGGCGCTTTGAAGGCGGCTGAGTGCCGTCCCGTAGCGGACCCGTTACCCCCTTCTTCCCGAGATCAGGAGGATGGATTCCCCTCCCAGGCACGCTCCCTTCAACGTTAGGCTTGCTAAAGTGAGGACAGACCCTGTCGGAGGCGGTTCCGTCGGAAACCAGGATTAAAGGATGCCGAGTGTAAAGCGCGAACCTGCGGAGGTGCGCGAATAGACTGGAAACCAGCTGTCCCCACCGCGCTCCTGTGCTTTTTGCCTGGCCCGGCAGCGCAGGCCGAAATTTGACAGGTGCCTCCAGCTGCTTCTCTGGGCCGGAGAGGTGGTGGGCCGGTGGAACAACCTTCTCCTGCTGAGTCGCAGGCTGGCATGCAGAAGTTGAGCGGCGATGCCGTTCCCACCACGAGGTTGCCTTGGCGATCCTTTCTGCGTCCCTCCCGTCTTTTTTTTCTTTTTGTTTGTTTGTTTGTTTGTTTGAATGCCAAGGTGTCCCCTTAGCACGAAAAAGGCGGGATAGCGGCCGGGTGTCTTGACCTGGGAAGCCCTGGGAGCACCGCGGCGGATTGCGGGGAGAGGCAGAAACAGAGTCCCGACGATTACTTTGCTTTTCCGAAACAGAGAATGTAAAACGAGCAAAAGAAAAGTGGTGATTCTAGAGCTAAAGGCCAGGAGACCGTCTGGCCTCTGTTTCTCGGACTTGGCGAATCCTTGCCAAAATGCCAAGGGAGAGATTGTTTCAATCCCCATCCTTGGAGAAAGCTTGCTTCTTCCCCGAAGTGGGCCATCAGATAGAGGGCTGTGGCTGCCTCAGGCCACTGCTTTTGTTTTATTTTGATCCGGGTTTTTTTGTGTGTGTTTTTTTGAAGACATCAAACTGTGGTTCTTTTTTTAATTGCTATTTTTTATTCTTTGAAATATCTGTATACTTACTGTTTTTTCAGATTTTAAATATTGTCCTTTAATGATGTAAGACACCTTGGGCACTTTTTAAAGGGGGTAAAATATTTTAAATACATATTTATTGGATAGGCTCCAGATTGCAGTAATGACTACCTGAAGTCCCTTTTATTTCAAGGCAACTACTGGAAGCATGATTTCCCCAGCAACCAATACAGTAGCCAGCATATTACTGCTGATTTACACTAGCAGAAGGGAAATCATGCAATTCTTGGCGGCAAATTGCCACCCCTTAATGAGGTGCTGGTTGTGTCCTCCTGTGTGTGTCCTGGCTGTGCAGCTGGCTGTGTGCCTAGAAATACATCCACCACCTCATTAACGAGCACCAACATGCTGCCAAGATTTATGTGATTTCCCTTCAGCAAGCACTGATCAGCAGTAGGATTCTGGCTGTTGTATTTTTAATTCCAGAGAGGAGAAAAGGTGCTTGTAGGCTTTCTTACCTGAGGTGCCAGGACAATTTGATTGGCCTCTGGTACTGTGCACCTTGAGGTGGGCTAGGCATTATTGCTTGACCTCTGGCAGCAAAATGTCCTCGGCTATTCTGTTAGCAATTAGGAAGGAACCAGTACATTCTTGTGGCTATCCGGAGTCTTTTTTAAAAAAGTTGCCATATTCAGCCCAGAGGAGAGGATTGTGAAGCAAGGATGATCTGAGATTGTTTGCTACATTCTGCTTGATCTGAGATTTGACAAACCAGGATTCTTCCAATGTAACTGAGGCCTGTTTGTTTCTTTGGGTTGCTTGCTTGCGCTGTCAGCCTGTGGTGAACATCACGGATAGGGTGGGTGTTGCTTTTGGACTCGAGAAAAGCTACCTGGTGTGCTGGCCGGGGTGTGGGTGGGGGGCTTCTGAAACCCTACCCCCTTAACTTTCCGACTCACTGGAGGGGGGGGTGAGTGCTCAAGACAGCACCACCACCAGGGTAGATTCGTTGCTCTCTGAATTAGTAGGAAAGGGTGTCATTTAGGATTTTCCTCGTCAGGCACTCTGAGCCAGTCCTGAGCAAAGCATGCTAAGATGGAGATAGGGACAGAGGTATCTGGGCAACCCCATGTTGGAAGCATTTCTTTGAATGTTTGCATCCATTGACTTATTTTCCCCTTCTCCCCCCCCACCCATACATACACAGTACCGCATCCTATCTGCCGCACCTTTTGGGTTTCTGCCTGAAGCCCAGCTTTGTATAGTTTGTTTGCAACCTCTGTCCCACCCACCAACTCCCAAGCAATGCCAGGCCAATAAAGGAATTGGCTCACACAGCCTATTGATGAGCAGCCCTCCGCTCCCTGGGCAACGCTAGTTGGCAACCTTTTACGAGGCCACACAGGCAACGGTCTCTGCATACTGCGTAAACATTTGGATACAGGCTGACCTCTGTTTTGTTTTTCCTCACCCCCTGATGCCTCCCCAAATCTTTCTTTTGCTTCGCGCTGCCTACAAGGGACAACCCATCCCTTCTTCCTTTCAGCCCCTCCCGCCCATCAGTGAAGCATTTCAGTACTGTTAAGGGGCTCTGTTTACCTTCCCAGTGGAGCTGATTTGTGGAGGGGAGCGAGAAGGGGGGGCTTCCTGCCCTACCTGGTGATGCAGACAGTTGAAGTATTGAGAGCAAAGCACACGCTGGGGGTGGCACAGAACCCCTATTGACTAGGCTCTGACGGCTGCCTCCCTGCAGCTGCGCATTGGCCGTCTTCTACTACTCCTGCTCGCCAGCCTTCCTTATGGATTCCTTCTCAAGAACCACGAGGATGATGACTTGTCTCTGGCAACGCCACAGCCCGTGGGAGGCACCCCTGCCCGGAATGTGTCTGGCTGCCCATCCAATTGCACCTGCCCAGCAGAGGAAACGGTGGACTGCGGCGGTCTCGACTTACATGTTTTCCCTGGTAATCTCTCCGCAGGCATCCAGCATCTGTCACTGCAGGTGAGGAAGAAGAGAGGATGGACCGAGGGCTTGTCCCATCTGGGCGGGAGAGCCAGAGGAGAGCAGACCTGAAGGCAGGCAAGCCCTTTGCAGGGTGTTGCCTGTATTACCCCCTACCCCCAAATAACTTCTGATCCTTTGAGGCATCTTAAGAAGTGGTTCAGGGCTCTCCAAAGCAGTAGCCCTCTTCCGTTTGTTGTAGTAAAGGCATCAGAGAATCTTGTGGCACCCTAAGATTGCTGGACAGCTGGACTGCTTGATGGTTTAGGTATCTAGCAGTGGAGGTAGAGGTTGGGAGTTCGAATCCCCACTGTGCCTTCTTGACAGGACCTGGACCTGATGGTCCACAGGGTCCCTTCCAGCTCCGCCATTCTAAGATCACATATTGAAGTTAACAAAGTTTATTTGGCATAAACGTTCAAGGATTGCAGCCCACGTCTTCAGACATTTTAGCATTTCTAAAGTTTTCCACTTTTCACCCCCCAGTCCGTTGCATCTTTCTTTTTTATATTCTGCTGCTTCCATCACGGTCCTGTTGTAATTGTAGCTGTGTGCCATCCAGTTCCTTCTGACTTGCAGCAATGCTATGGTATCTGAGAGTTTTAAAAAATGGTTTTAAGATTGGCACCCCACACGGAGTTTCCATGGCTGAATGGGGATGTCAATCCAGGTCTCCCAAGCCTTGTCTGCCAGTTTGTCCACTCCACCCACACTTGTTCTTTCTGTACAGCTTGGGTCCACAAGCTCAAGGGCCACCTCTTCCCAATAGACGTAGGGCTTTTTGGCTCTTAAGATCATCAGGGGAGGCCTTCCTCTTCAGTCCCATTGTCCGTGCAGGAACGTTCGCTGTGGGCCAGAGAGAGGGCCTTCTCTGTGACTGCTCCCAGGTTATGGGAGGCTCTCCCTTGGGAGGTTAGCTTGGACCCTCCCTTTAATCCTTCCACCGACAGCTGAAGACCCACTTCTTCAAGCAGACTTATAACAATTATAACTGAGTCCCTGAATGCTGGGGTTTGTTTTTTTAAGTTAAGCTTGTTTTTAGAGTTTTCAATGTTTTTAATCATTTTTATTGTTTTATGTTTATGTTTAATTTTGTTTCAATGTATATTTTACTGTGTTTTTAATTCTTTTTCTTTAACATTGTGACCGCCTTGCGTCCCCTTATTGAGAGCATGCCATCCATCCATCCATCCATCCATCCGGTCCGTCCGTCCGTCCGTCCGTCCGTCCATCCATCCATCCATCCATCCATCCGGTCCGTCCGTCCGTCCGTCCGTCCGTCCATCCATCCATCCATCCATCCATACATACATACATACATACATACATTATGGCTGCTTTTAATACTACTTACCTTTCTGTAAAAGTTTGTATGTCAGCCTTCGATTCTGTGTTAGGAGTCAATTTAATAGGGAACAAAATACATATGTAAGTGTTGGTTTTTCTTCTGCAGAATAACCGGTTGCGTGAGCTGCCATACAATGAATTGTCTCGACTGTCCAGACTGAGAACCCTGAATCTCCACAACAACCACATCACCTCAGAGGGTGAGCAGAACCCAGGAAGCAGGCTATGCCCTGGCATTTGGAAGGTGGGCCAGCCCCTCCCTCCCTGACCCCCGCATTCACATGGGTTGGCCTAAGTTTCCTTGAATCTTTATGGGCAGATGACTGGGTGGAGGAGAAAGAAGCTAAGATCAGCTTTTGGGCTTTTGCTCACCCTGCTTGTACCGAATAAAAAGGGATGGATTCCTCAAATGACAATAGATGAACCTTCACTGCGGTTTGGAAGGAGCCCTTCTTGCTCCACATTAAACACCAGTTCGTTGTCCAACCACTTTTTCACATACGGTCTTGGTTTTTGTCACTTGACTATTCAGGTGAGGGCCTCTTTCAATAACCACAGGAATAAATGTATTTTCTTCAATAATCTTCCCTTATTTTCTCCCTCCTCCCTCACTGCCACTAACCTTTAGTGGCCCCTATGTGTATCTGTTTCACCCTTCACTTACAACACCCCTCACATAGCCAACCCTACAGTATACAGTTTTAGTAAAATAACAGTGCCCAAAGGATGTCTCTTATTCCTAGGTTTTACATTCATTGAGCACAATTCTTCACTCTCTTTCTATTGCTCCCTCAAATTCCTGGTTCTTTCATTAAAAAACATCTTCCACTGCAATCTCTCTGCCCCCAGATTTCTCCAAAAACCTAACCAACACTCCACTCCCCTAGTTTATCCCAGCCAGTCAGAGCAGTCTTTACCAACATCCCATGATCCTCATTACACCTTCTCTCACCATATCCTTAGCAAACCAATGCATTTCAAAGCCGTTCCACGGGTACATAATATATTTAAACATACCCAAGCATCACACTCCTCACCTCCGGTTCAGAAGTGCATTTGACTGAGCAGGAGACTGCAAGCCATCTGTGGCTGCTTCTTTGGCATTGGGAAGAAGGGATTAGTGGTAGATAGAAGCTCTGCATGTGGGGCAGGAAAGGGGGCCAAACAAGGGGCTTGGCAAGAATCCTCCAAAGCAGATTTTGTTCTGTAATGTATTCCATTTTAAAGGTCTCCCAGATGAAGCCTTTGAGTCTCTGCAGTCACTTCAGTACATCTACCTGGCAAACAACAAGGTGAGTGTGTTTAAGGTTGCAAAGAAGAGGCTGGGCTGGCTTTTCTTTGTTTTCAGAGGCTTTGAAAAGCAAATCACTGGACCAATTAAATTTTGACAGGGGTGGGGGGGCAGCTGTATTGTCCCGGCAGTGCAGGCAAAAAAGCAGTTCCCATCAGCCCCAGCCAGCCCAGGCAATGGTCCGGGAATGTGGAAGTTGCAGTACAGTGTGCCGTCTGGTATCGGAAGGCGTTTAGAAGATGTTCCTTTCTTAATAACTGATTCCTCCTATTCCCAGGAAAAGACAATAGATATTACATCATTTAATTATCAAAACACATTCAGGGTCAACTATATATTTAAACCAAGGGATGGGAAACAAGGGACCTTTCAGATGTCATTGGGACAACCATTTCCATGGCATTCGTCGGGTTGATGGGAGTTGCATCCAACAAGAGCTAGAGGGCCATAAGCTGTCCACCTGGCTCAAGGCAGAGATGGGCCCTCCAGGTTTAGTTGAATTTCAAATCCCAGAAGCTCCAGCCAGCCTGGCTAGTGGTAAGGGATTCTGGGAAATGTAGTCTAAGACACCTGTAGCGCCAAAGGTTCACCACCTTGCCTTAAAAGGGAGGTCATTCCATTACTTCAAGTTATGCTTCTAAACAAATGGGGATTATAGTTCACAGTTATTGTTGATACAGAACTGAGGGGGCAAGGCAGTCATTTTGCTTCAATTAATATAATAAGGCATTTGTAGCACAGGCACTATAGTAATTGAGACACGGGTAGGTGTGCAGAAGGTATTTTTTTCTGTTCAGAATAATTCCCAATCCACTGTATAAAGCCAGTGATATCTGTGCTGGCCCCTCACAGTGGTGAAAAACTGGCAAGGGATGACTCAAAGTTAAACAGGATGCCTGGCTTCATTTTGTATAGTTTTTTTCCTATTGACAATATCTGGAGAGCACCAATGTGTATCAGATTTATACAGGAAGAGGGTTTAATCAGATTAGTAATAGTTAAAGCATGACCAATCTGTTTGAAGTGATCTTAAATAAACATGTAAGAAGTGTATGAAATGTATAGAGAAGAACTGTGATCACTCAAAATATGAGTAACAGATGAGAAATACATTACATTTTTCTTTTCATCCTTTCTCCATGGAGCACAGGGTGTCATCCCTAAAAGCCCCCTTCCCACCATCTCAGTTGTATGATCTCAACAGCCACCCTGAGAGGTGAAAACAGAGGATGAATCAGAGAATGGAAAAGTTACATTTACATCAGATTTTTGAATCAGAGGATGAAAAACTACATTTTTGGACCACAACTCATTGAAGCTCACATTAGCATGTGATTATGGTTATGGGATTCTGAAAAATGCCACCTAAAAAAGTAACTTTCCCAGACTCTACTCTTGCCAGTTTCACATTCCCAGCTTTTCCTTGCTAATTTAACATTAAGCTAGGCAACAAATTAAGGTTGCCTTCTGCAAACACCAATATAGGGAGATTTGGCTGTGTCCCCCTTCTGCCAGTCCAAGCATTGTTGAAGACCACGAAGAGGCATCAGAGCTCATGGCTGCTCCAGCTTTTCTTCAACTTGGCTTGCTCTACATTGGAAGATTGGCCCCAGGTTTTTAATGTTAGGTATAGAAGTCTCCTATGTTCAGATAAAGTAGGGTTGTACAACATTTCAGCTTCCTTGTTAGTTTGGGAATAGCTTAACCAGCTGTTTTTGGATTGTACCACTTCAGACTCCAGGCAGGGGTTCCCTTGGTGGAAGAAGACTCAACCACATTCCCCCCCCCCCCGCAAACCAAAAACAAAACTTTCTATTAAAAAGTGGGCATATTATTGAAGTGGGAGTGAGCCCAGCCTTCTCTTTATATGCTGGTTTTCTAGGTATAGGATTTTGTTCGTTTTGTGTTTGTTGGTTGGTAAGGAGCATTCCATTTTGTGAATCCGGTACCTATAATTTGAGGTGGCATCAGAGTAACAGATTTGTTGCTTTGTCTGCTTTATGAGATGACTATTCTGTTATTATGTTTCTATTTCTAAATAGAAGATGTAGGGATAGCTGTGTTGGCCATCAGAAAAATTCTGAAATTTGTGTTGTGGTAATAATTTTAGTAAGTCATTCAAAATGATACATGTAACCTTTAAACATTTTTACATTTCTTCATCAGGCACACAGCTTTAAAATCAATTCCTCTCCATCTTTCCTTCCCTGCCTATTTCTAGTAACCTCATAACGGATGTTTGCTTTTAAAAAGTATTAGCACAGTACATATTGTGGAAGCTTTCTGTATGGATAATGAGTGGCATTGTATAATTCAGCCACTAGATGGTATTGAACGTGGTTGTTTCCCAGGATGATCAGGAGCAGAAGCAGCTGTCCTATATTGAATCACGCCATTGATTCCCAAAATGATAATAATTGTGTGTCATCAAGTCAATTTGGTGACTCTTGCCAGGGTTTCCAAGATACAACTTACTCAGAAGTGGTTTACCATTGCCTTCTTCCCTGGGATGGTGGATCTTGCCCAAGGCTACATGGGATGGCACTATATTTATTTATTTATTTATTTATTTATTTATTTATTTATTTATTTATTATCCCGCCTATCTAATCAATTAAGACCACTCTAGGCGGCTACACCTGGGAGGCACAGTGGGGAATCAAACTCCCAACCGATACCAACTAGCAGCAGCTCTCTAAGATTTCAGATGGAATTCCTTTGCTAGCCCTGCCTGGAGATCTCCTGGTGTACTCCCATCTAGGTCTTAACCAGGCTCGATCCTGCTGAGCTCGTTCAAGATGGTATGGCACCAATTAGGCATTCTCGTCTGTTGCTGTTGTGCAGAGACACAATGGAATCCTTGTTTAGCTTCCTGCCTGCTGGGTCCAATTGATTTTCATTGATACTTTTTCTAAATCTAGAGTTTGGTATTCTACCCTGTACAGAGGTTTACCATGAAAGCTATGGCCCACTCAGGTTCAATTAGCATAGTCACTTTTCTTGTTCATATTCAAGCAGAAGTTAGCAGAAATCAGGCTGGTAGGTATTGGAAGATCTCTGGACCCTTTCCGGCTACAAAGATTTTCAGCTTTCAGTTGCTGAACAAAAGTAACCACAAACTGACACACAAACTTTTTCTCCAAATTATACTGCTGAAATGAAGGTGAAGAGAAGCTTAGAGTAACCAGGAGTGGGTTTTTTTGGACAGAAGAATTTTGAGCTCCATTCAGCCCAGGTACTTAAAATAACTTCCAAATCCCAGAGTTCACATTCTTTAATTCAAAGTGTATGTTGTTGTTTTTGTTGCCCCAGGGATCTCACCATTATATTTTCACACACACACGCACGCACGCATACACACACACACACACACACACGAGCCTACCAGCTTGTAGTCTGCAGACCCATGAACTAAACAATAATAGAATAATGAAGACCAGCTTCTAAAGACAACTTTTTAAAAATTCACAGTAAGTGCCCTTAAAATACACAGTTAAGCATTTTCACCTTAAATCTAGCCCAGAGTGGGCAAATAGACTATATTGTCCACTTCCACAGGAAACCATGTTCCACCTGATGCATCCCAAAATGGCCTGCCAGTCCTTGTGCTGTAACATATTTGACAGCTTTCGCTTCTGAACAGAGAGGGAAAACTGAGGACAGCTTGACACTTCCTGTGTGGTTCTCCTTTCAGCTGACGGTGGCGCCACAGTTCCTCCCCAGCACCCTGCGCATTGTGGACCTTGCTGCCAACCGCCTGAGTCACATCTACCCACTCACCTTTGGGCAAAAGCCTGGCCTCAGGTAAGGCCAGAACAGAGGATGAATCCCCTCTGCAGATTTTCTATGACAGCAGGTGTGCTTGGTGTGTGTGTGTGTGTGTGTGTGCTGCAGATTTTCTGTGATAGCAAGTATGCTCGGAGGGCAGGGACCTGATCAGGGAGGAAAAGGCATTTTCCTCCCTTACCAGGGAAGGATACCAGCCCTGGGGACACCAGTTGGAATAAAGGATGTTCATTAATAGCTTTATTACAGAGGCCAGGATCACTGTTCTGGAGATAGAGGGAGAGAGACAGTCCACTTCCTACAAGGCCACCAGCCTAAATTCATGTGGCAAGGAGGGGAGAAACTATTTGGAGCTGGTTTCCTGGTCAGGAAGGAAAAGGCATTTTCCTTCCTTACCAGGGAGGGACGCCAGCACTGGGGACACCGGTTGGAATAAATGATGTTCATTACTAGCTCTATTGCAGAGGCCACGATCACTGTTCTGGAGATAGAGGGAGAGAGACAGTCCACTTCCTACAAGGCCACCAGCCTAAATTCATGTGGCAAGGAGGGGAGAAACTATTTGGAGCTGGTTTAGAGATACTGTGCTGGGGACTTTGCACTCCTAATTGATCCTCTGCCTCCCTCCTCCCTCTGCACAGGTCTGTTTATATGCACAACAACCTGGTGAACAACACAGGCTTACCCTTTGATGCCAAGAAACCATTTGGAGCTGGTTTAGAGATACTGTGCTGGGGACTTTGCACTCCTAATTGATCCTCTGCCTCCCTCCTCCCTCTGCACAGGTCTGTTTATATGCACAACAACCTGGTGAACAACACAGGCTTACCCTTTGATGCCTTCAATGGCTCTGATGCTGTCACCACCCTCATCTTCTCCAGCAACCGGCTTACCTACGTGCCCCAGAATTTGCCCCGTGCCATCTTCCGCCTCCACCTACAGGTTGGCAGCTGAGATTCTCCATATGGATGGTAGAGAAACTTGTTGCAAAAACATAGAGGCCAGAGGCCTGCAGTGAACTGGACAGCAGTAATGCCTCTGTCTTTAAACAAATAACAAAAAATCATCGATGACAAGTGGGCAACCTGTGTTCCACTGAGATTCTCCATCTGGATGGTAGAGAAACATGTTGCAAAAATGTAAAAAGCCCATAGGGCTGCAGTAAACTGGACAGCTGTAAAGCAATTAAATAAAGGCCAGGAGACTTTGTCTTTAGGAAAAAACAAAACAAAACAAAAAACAAAAAACATCGATGACAAGTGGGCAACCTGTGTTCCCTCAGATGGTGCTAGACTGAATCCCAGCAGTTCAAGCCAATAGTATAGTCAATTATGAGAGCTGATGGGCATTATACTATAACAGCACCTGGAAGTGTCACAAGTTGCCCACCCTGGCCTTAATAACAGAATACAGCTAGGCAGGGACAACAGGAAGGCTGGGATCCTACATCAGAAGCTTTGTGGCAAATCCAGTTTTCAAAAGTTCTGCAAGCTGGACAACTAGAATGTATTTGCAAAGGCGCTAATGTGTGTTTTAGGGCTGTGCCATTTGGATTTTTTCGGGGAGGGGGAGTTGCAGTCCAAGAACACCTGAGTTATCCGAGGTTGGGAACCACTGGTCTAGCATGCTGTTAAGCTTCACATTCCTACCAAGATTCCTCTGGCCTTAAACTACTGTACCCGGTTTCCCTGAAAATAAGACCTAACCTAAAAGTAAGCCCTAGTATGATGTTTCAGGATGCTCGTAATATACGCCCTACCCCCAAAATAAGCCCCAGTTAAGTGAAAAAAAAAAAAACTCCTCCACCATTGTGCAGCAACTGGAAGAAGATCACCGGACTGCATGTGAATAAATGTAGATTGTTGTAGCTGAAAAAAAATAATAAAACATCCCCTGAAAATAAGCTCTAGTGTGTATTTTTGGAGCAAAAATTAATATAAGACCCTGTCATATCTTCGGGGAAACACGGTAGTTCTGGCCTCACCAGAATGTGACGCTTAAGTTGACAAGTCAATGGGAAGACTAATGGCCCCCTCCACTTTCTAGACTGGAGGGGAGCAGTAGTTCTGGCCTCACCGGAACGTGATGCCTAAGTCGACAAGTAAATGGGAAGACTAATGGCCCCCCCTCCACTTTCTAGACTGGAGGGGAGCAAGATAGGAGAGGCTCGCCCTTGACCGTAAGGCTCCACTTTGCAGAATAACCACATCTCCCGTATCCCCAAAGGAGCCTTGAGCAGCCAGTGGCGCCTCCGAGAGCTCTACCTGCAGAGCAATAACCTGACCAACGATGGCCTTGATTCCTCCACCTTCAGGTAACCACAGGGAAAGGTGGAGCTCCCCTGGGGGGGGCTGGATCTGGGGGCCAGAGCTCAACAGGGGTTCATACGGACTGGGGGGGGAGAGAGTTAAAAGATCTCCCCCAAAACCCAGGATCTTGCTTCAGCAGCTTCCCTAATGGGCAGCGTTTGCCTCTCCACAGCAGACTGAAGAACCTGGAGTACCTGGATCTTTCTAACAATAACCTGACGCAGGTGCCAGGCGGCCTGCCTGCAAACATTGTCATCCTACACCTGGGCCGAAACCACCTCAACACGTTGCCCTCTGAACGCCTGAGCCGCGTGCGGAGCCTGCAATACCTCCTCCTTCAGGGGAACACCTTGACCGCCACAGGGGTGCATCCCGAGGCCTTCTCCCGCCTGCGCTCCCTGCACACCCTCCACCTGTACAACAACCGCCTGGAACGCGTCCCGCCTGGACTCCCGCGGAGGGTCCGCTCCCTGATGCTGCTCCACAACCAGATTGCACAGATAGGGCTGCATGACTTTGCAGCCACCTACGCCTTGGTTGAGCTCAACCTCAGTTACAACCGGCTTTACAGTGCCCACATCCACCGCTTGGCCTTCCGCAAACTGAAGCGCCTGGAGATCCTGGACCTCTCGGGCAACCAGCTCACCCTTGTGCCCGCGGGGCTGCCCTCCAGCCTTCAGGTCCTCAATCTGCAGAAGAACCAGCTCAACTCCCTTTCTCCAGAACTGCTGGTCAACCTCACCGTGCTTAAGGAGCTGCACCTGGCGCACAACCGCCTGCGGATCAGCAGCATTTCCCCTGGCACTTGGCAGGAGTTGCACGGACTGAAGGTGAGGTTGAGGGAGGGCTAACAGGCTCCTTCCTTTGCATATTCGGCAAGCAGGTAACAAGGTGGGGAGAGAACAGAACGTAGAAACCGTAACTCCCAGTGGCCCTCCTGGCTTGGGGGTTTTGGGAAATGTAGTTCAAAAGGAATGTGTCTATGAAGTAGGCTGCCATCTACAAAAGCCTTCGCCATATAAAACCTCTGGGTCTTTTATGGTGCCACAACACGGTTGCTGCAATTTGAAAAAGCAGTTTTTTCAAGCTCCAGGAAGAGAAACCTAGAGTGAACTTGCTCGCACGGTGTGGGTGTGACAGAAAGGGTCCCATTCCTAAACTGGGAATGGAGGGAATATCCAGTGGAAACCAAGATTCATCTTACAGTACTTAAAAATGCCACTTAAATGTGCATTTTCTCACTCCCTTGGTATTAGCCTTGCTCGAGTGAGAAAAGGTACATGTTTCAGTGTAAAATGCCATTGCAGCTGGAGGTTAGTACCTCTCATGGGTCTAAACCTATGTTATGAAAGGACACAGCCTACCAAATTGTTTTTCTGCACTGGCTCTTTTCTTGCTAAAGTCATGCCAGGCTGGCTCATTTCAGTGGGACTGTGGAGGGACAGCCTGATGGATGTCCTATTGTCATTATACTTCTGCCCCCTACCACTTCAGGGGCAGCCTCTGTCTAACCTGTCATGCCCAAATCTGGAAACCGAGGCAGCTGCCCCCTTCTTCTCAAATGTCTTCTGGGATTTGCTTTCCCAGCTCCTGGATCTGAGCTACAACGAGCTGTCCTACGTTCCACCAGATCTGCCGGAATCTCTAGAAAATCTCTACCTACAGCACAACAGGATTGTGGTCATTATGGCTGAAGCCTTCCTCACGACACCCAACATCCAAGTCATCACACTCAGGTGATGGAGGGCATAAGGGGCTGCACCTGGAGGTGGGGCAGATGCTATGACGTGCTCATAGAGGATGTGGGGTTACAGGCAACCTGTGTGCATTGGGTTTTCCCTCTTCAAAAGACCTGTGAATGGATCTTATTGCTGTTGCCTGTATTTTAAAGATGAAATGTAGCAAATGCTACCCCAGTGCTCTTTGCAATAGGATTTTCTGGGCTTTGCACTTAAAAAAATTAGAGATCTGCCTGGAAGCAGTCCAGAATTTGCACCTAGAAACAACCAACGCTAGTTCTTGCATACATTACAAATACGAATGGAAGCAATTATTATTTTAACGACAAGGATGAGCCACCAAGCCAATTCTGACTTACAGTGACTTTCCCCAGGGTTTTCAAGGTACAGAGTGTGCCGGGGTGGTTTGCCCAACCTTTATTTTGGACAGGAGGTGCCTTGGGACTCTGCAGCAGGCGGGCTCTTCTCCCAGTGGCAAAATGGGGGACTGAACTTCTGACCCCTGGCTGGACAGCTAGCTATTTCAATTCATTAAGCTATCCAGACAGCAGTTACATTTTAGTTTACATCATTTATTCTGCAAGTTTGTGCCATTTATTCTAGTTTTATTATTCCTGAGAAGGGCCAAGACCTTATTATACAGGGCACTAAAACTCATCATCTGACTTGTGACAATCTGGCAGCTTTTCCTAGGGAATTTACAGGAAGCAAAAGATAATTCATTTGAGGATACATACAGGAATATCACTATAAGAATTATTGAATGCACATATTTGGTTTCTCCAGCCCATCTCAGGTAGCTTGACACAAGACACAAAGCTCTTCCATTTAAGGGCCAAACCACACGAGGAGCTCCTGTTTATGTAAATTGTACCCCAATTTTTTTTGTTTTACAAACTGAAGTTGCCAAGCCTGTGAACTAAAGTGGCAGAGAAATTTAGGGGAAGGGATAGTGGCACTTCTTATCACCTTCTGCTTTTTCCTATTCAAGAACATATATATTTCAAGCATGTTTTATTATCCTCTGTCAGGTAATGTCCAAGTGGATGGCAATACATCCCACCTCTAATCTTCTGCCTCCATCTACGTGTAAGTCCTTGACCCGTGGATTTGTCACTGCAAAATGGGGCTTATTCTTAAGTCACGACCAAACCAAAACCAAGCTGTTCAACCAAATTTTCAGAACTGCATTTTCAGATCTACTAAGCTATAATCTAGTTTGGGAATCTACACAGAACAAGATCAATATCCAACAAGTATATACACATTTCAATGAATGGCCAACATTTGGTAAATGTTAACATTCACATGTGAATGTGGCAATTTTTGCAAGAAGTTGTGAAAAACATGGCTCTTCCATCAGGCTGTCCCTGAGCATTAAGTTTTTGAGATCTCAGCCTCCCTTTTGCCATCCTTTTTACCACCCTTTCATTATTTTTACCATCTTCATAGCCATCTGTTTTAATTTATCCTGCTGGTTATCATATTCATTTGAGTGTATCATTTTATCTTTCTCATGTTTTGATATTGTGTTGTTTATCTTGTTGTTAGCCACCCAGAGCGGCCTGGTTGCCAGAGGGTGCAGGGTATAAATCCAATAAATAAATTTTTTTAAAAAAATTCCTGTCTCAAATCTGCGAGGTGCATGAGGAAAAAAAACCCCTCAGACACCTCTCAGATTTCAGACAGGAAAAAAAATTCACAGAACTTTTGTTACCATACATGGCAAAATTCCTGGGTGTATTGACCCAGCCACAGAGTCAGACAATACAGTTTCACCAAGAAAACTGTGGAGGAAATGATACACATACCAAAAAGCTACTCCACTAAGGAAGAATTTTTTTATGACAGCATTTACTTCTGTCATACTATGTCATACTATCCTCCTTCATGGATTGCTGCCTTGTCGTGGCGAAGGGGCTTGAGTAACTCAGGGAAGCTATGGGCTATGCTGTGCAGGGACACCCAAGACGGACAGGACATAGTGGAGAGTTCCGACTAAACGCAATCCACCTGGAGTAGGAAATGGCAAGCCACTCCAGTATCTTTGCCAAGAACGCCCCATGATCAGAAACAAAAGGCTAAAAGATATGACGCTGGAAGATGGGCCCCTCAGGTCGGAAGGCGTCCAACATGCTACTGAGGAAGAGCGGAGGACAAGTACAAGTAGCTCCAGAGCTAATGAAGTGGTTGGGCCAAAGCCGAAAGGACGCTCAGCTGTGGACGTGCCTAGAAGTGAAAATTTTTAGTGGGGGACTTTTAGTGGGTGGGGAGTGTTTGGGGAATTTTATGTGTGTGCATGTGTCTGGTCTCTGGGTGTCTGTGAATTTCATTGTATGGGTATACTGTGTAGATACTTACAATGACAATTTAAAAAATTATTATTAAATTATTAAGAATGGTCAAATAGTGGTTGAAATCCTGTTGCTTAGCATAATGAAATTAAGCCACATAAGAGTAGGCCCACTGGATCACTACGGATTTAATGGGCAATTCCTTTAAGTAACGAAACCCTTACTGGCTTAAGTTCTATTGATTCAAATGGGTCTAACTCTAGTTGTGACTTTACACTAAAGTAGGTCACACCTAGACTAGACCCATTTGAATCAATGGAACTTGCAGAGGAGTTGACCCCGCACATCCCCACAGATTCAGTGGGTCTACTCTAGTGCAAATTACTATGCTAAACAATAGGATTCCAGCCAGGGAATTATTGTTTAGCTGACCTTCTAACTTGGAGATGACAGCTGTGGAAGGAAACCCATATAATAATACCAGCAGTAAAAAGCACCAGCAGCTATCTCTGTCTGTAAGGAGATATAACATTGGGGATACTAGAAACCAGGATACCTAAACTGCTGGTAAAGTTAAACAAAGTGGCATGAAATTATAAATGTGATCCGAAAATGATTCCCAAGATGTTAAATACATAAGAACTGTTTGAGGAGGATCAATGCATGAATAGTCTACCTTTTTTATATATATATAAAAAGGTCTTCAGCTATAACCAGATCTTGAATGTTTTGAAGGGCAAAGATTTCTCTGCAACTTTTTCTCTGCAACTTACCTTTGAACTCATAAGCAAGTTCAAACATATTTATGAGTAATATGGCCTTTCTCATCAGATTACTCATAAACATGCTCAATCTCACCCATAAACTCAAACATAGGTTGCAGAAAAAAAATGACACATCTTAGAAATCTTCTCCCTACAACAACTGTATTTTCAATATCACTAAAGATAGTCTACAATTTCTAAACTCTCTTTGAAAGTCAGAGACCGTCTGGTTCCAGAGTTCGATCAATCAGAAGGTAAGTAAATATTTGAGGATTTTTTAAAAAAAAAATAACCAAGATTATATAACTGGTGGTGGTAACAATCATTCAAGATTGTGTTAATTCAAGAGTGTCTTCATTTGGAAAACCACCTATAGAGCTTGACTTGATCATAGGTTTGGTTGGGTAGCCCCTGGGGGGGGGGTCAGGCATTCTATTTCCCATTGCGGCTCCCAGCAGAAGAATCAGATCATACCGCCCAGACCCAGAACACTCCCCCCACAGAAGAAGGAAATGGTTAGCCACTTTGGAGGGAACCAGGGAAGAGGTCACTGTAAGTTGGAATCAATTTGTCAGCATATTATCATCACTGCTATTAATAAGTCATAATTTTCTCATACAAGACCGAATGCGTCATGTTGTTTTAAACTTACTAACGTTGCTTTGTACTATATTACTATTTCTTTTTAGCAAGAAAACATTTAAAAAAAAAAAAACCTGAGCCTACGGCAGTTCTACCCAAATGAAGAGTATATTATGCTCAAACTCTGATAGAGAAGTTTGCTCTCTTTTCAAAGCAGCATTTGATTTCAGGAAGACCTGCATATGCCAAATTTTTGCCCTGCTTAGCTCCTGCTGGTAAAAAAAGTAGAAAGTCTGTTTTGAGAGAACTCTGAACTAAGGCATTATTTGCTAGGTCATCAATCTGGGCACTGACCAAATAAAAATGTTATTGCACTAAGATAAAACTAGCTAAGAAATCCCCTAGGTGGCCAGGAGAGATTCTAAGGCTATGCCATCCAACAAACACTTTATTCTTAAGTAAATCCTCCCTAAGGATTATTTCCTAATAAATATGCAGAGAACTGTGTTGTGATATAATCAAGTTTCTGATTCTTTTGAACTACACCCATCACCTGGAGCGGCATCAAAGGTTCAGGACTTCAGTAAAAATAATTTTTTTTAAAAAGTAGACGACTCAGATGTCTGCAGATCGGCAGTTGCCCCATTTTACAAACAAATTGCTCTTTGTTTTCCAGAGCCAACCGTTTATTGGCAGCCAATGTGTCCGAAGCAGCCTTTGCAGACCTGAAATGGCTAGAAGTAGTGGATACAACAGGGAATCCGGAGCCCATCAACATCTCTCTGCTGCAAGCGAGACGCTGGATCCCCACTCAGACGGGCACCTAGGGAAGCAGCCCGGAGAAGGTGAAGCTTTGGAACCTTTAGGTTTCCACAAAGCAAATCATTCTAGTTCCCAGCATTTGTGAATGTCACGAGGTCAAGGCCAGACACCATAGCCAGCCCAAGGCATTTTGCTACCTGAGCAGGGCAGCAGGCGGAAATCCTGACAGGTTTAAGTCCCACGAGCATTTCTTTTCCTCTCTGCTAGGCAGGCAACTAACAATGGGCTGCCATTTCATGACTTAAAATCTGCCCCATGCTAGGGCTGGCCTCAGTGATGACCTTGAAGTGGCTTTTGGACTCCAGCCGTTGGGACAGATTACCAAACGGAGCCCCTCCCAAACGCACTTTCCCACACAAAAAGAGACTTCATATATTTGGACAAATCTGTTACCAGTGCTGACGTTAGGAAGTGTTTCGGGGCACCTTAATGATCTTTCTGTGGGAAACACCCTCTATTCCCTATCACAAACCATTCTTTACTACTCTAAAGTGGAGATGGGAAATCTCTTGAGGTCCAGAGGCTTCACATGTCTATCCCTAGATGTGCTGGGGGGGGGAACCACATATTCTCTGGTGTGTCACCCTCTCCCCACCATTTGTTCTTACAAAAATATGAAAAAGCTCCCATACACCTTCCAGTAGCCAAATGTTTTTGAAAACATTAAAAATAGGGGGTGCTAGGAGGCCCCCTAAAAATATGTCAAATTCCTCCTCTGTAAATAAAAGGGATTTTTTTGTGCTAATAATTTTTAAAATAGGGGTGTGGCTGTTCTGTGGGACATGAGAGATGGCAGGAGGCGGGTCTATCTGCAAAATAGGGTGAGGTTTGGAAGGCATGCCGTTGTGGCACATGTGGGATCATTGCTGCTAGAAAGATCCTCATTCTCTGTCCCAGATTCTTGCTTCTCTTCTCAATGCAATCTGACTGGGAATCATCTCATTCTTGCGCTGTTCTTCTCCCGGCACGTTAATTATCTGAAAGCCACATGATGTTTTCCAGCATCTCCCGAAGCATTCCAGTGGTAACTGAAGAAAGACGTCAGGGGGGTTAAGGGGATAGTTTTGAAAACTGGGAACTAGAGTTCAAACAAAGATCTCTACTGATCTTGCTGCACTTCTGGTAACTCAGGAGGGGGGGGGAATCTACTAGCGGACAATAGATTAGGACCTATGAGAATGAATGGCTGCAGTGGGAGGCAGGGAGACTATAGTTTTCTCCCTCAGTATTACAGAAAATACGGGTTTATCAATGGGGCCTCTGAGCTAGCCTTTTAAAAACATCTCAGGGGTTCACCATATCATTTTGCAGTCTGAAGCGGCTGCTTCAGCAAAAACATCTCTAGTCACGAAAGGGCAGAAAGCCACCACTATTGTTTTTTGGCAGTCTGGCTGCCAGGGAAGGGGGGGGGGAAGTATCAGATTTTCTGCCTTACGCACCAGAATAGCTTGGCTGACAAAGCATGTTGAGGTGGTGGCACAATGTTATTTGCTGCTGGGCCCAGGCAGCAAAATGGACTGGATCAGCCCAATCTTTCTCACTCAACGTGACTCAAGTCCACATTCCTTTGCTACCCCTTATTTAGGGATCCTATACCACTGCCTCAGAGAAAGGCAGACCCTGGGAAAGTGACCATGACATTCTGGGAGCTCTAGTCCGGAAAAGCTAACTTTTCTGATGTTCTAGATCAGGGGGTCTCCAAACTTTTTACACAGAGGACCACACTCCTGCCCCCGCACTCTCCCCCACATGCATGCGCACACACGCCTGCACTCTAGCCTGCACACACACACACACCTCCCCCCGCATGGATTCCCCTCTCCACATGCATCCCTGCCCCCCCCGCATGCCCACAGGCGGACGCCTGCACCACCGCCTCTCCACCTTGCTCCTCCATGTATGCACGCATGAGCTGAAGGCAACGCGACAAACAAAATGGCAACGCACACACCGGATGTGACCTGCGGGCCGTAGTTTGGAGACCCCCTGCTCTAGATGTAGGAAAGGATATATTTATGAGCCACACCTAAACCACCACAGCAAGACCTCTGGATAACAGGGAACCAAATAGACTTACTCTGGGAGCCTCTCCTGTGCTTGTGCCACATCCCAGTTTTTAGCAATATCAGGCCATGCTGATTGAGCTTCTTTCTTCTCCCTCAGATCATCCTCCTAGGCTTGCTCTGCAACCACACCACTTCCCTTGGGCTTCTCAACCAAGATGGCCCCCGCCTGCCAGTCAGCCAAGATTGTTCCCTGCCGGCAGCTTTCTGAGGGATTTGACCAGCTCCCGAGTCTGCTCATCTAGCTCCACGATGCAGACCCACTAGAGCATGCTCTATCTGCTTTCCAAGGGAATAAGTCTCACCTGAAAGCTTCCAGCAGGAAAGAGACAAGATATTCAGAACTGTTTTTTTTTTAAAAAAGAAAACTGCTTCAGTTATCGTTGCTACCGGACTGTCATCTCCAGCTGATTTGTGCCGAGTCTGGGCTTTGCCAACTGTATTAATGGAACCGAAGTGTCCAGAGGGACAGTGAAGGCGACTTACATGCAGCTATCCACCGCTTTCCTCATCTACCAAGGACATGGAGCACCTAGCAGAACCCTTGAACACCGTTCAGACACCCACAATCCTCCTAGAGTAGGCCTGGTAACGAGAATTACTGCCTAACCTATTAAAAAAAAGGGAACTTTGCTACTACTGTCCCTTAGAAGAAATGCTGTACGTATTTGTTTCCTGTGTGTCAAGCCACATGGTTCATCTATTCACAGCATCTGTTCCCCTGTACATCAGCGTTCTTCCTGTCAAGACAATACAAGTCTCAGATTGCTAGCAGTGACCAAGAGGGACACAAACCTGGATTTCTGTTGGTGCTTAAACTACCTCCAGGAATTAAGTCCTCCACCACCACCACTACCCACACACTTTGTACTGGCCTGGAAATCAGACAGCAGGAGTTTCTGGGACAGATGTTAATGTTAACCCGCAAACATGCTAGCAGAGAAAATCATTTTTAAAAAAGTTTCAAGTGTTTCCTCAATGTTTTGCCAAGAGCTGGTTTCCAAACAGGACTGATAATCTGCGGAAAAGGGCTCAAATTAGAAACTTTCATCATTAGCACTAAACTATTAAAACCTCACCACCACACACAAACAAAACCCAGTATAATCATTTGTAAAGGGTTTGTTCAGGGTTTTAAAATATATTTTGATCCATTCCTTTTTTTAAAAAAAGTCTATTTTTTTAAAAAATATGAGATTTAGGAATGAATTCGGACAGAAACTCTGGTAAGACCTGTAACTCTTCAGACACTATGTGGAACCAGCTAGCACAAAGGGGGAAAAGGATCAAATGCTCCGTCTAGACGAGCCCCCAGTTTCTTTACAAGAGAGAAGATGGAATGAATGGAGCCTAAGGTGCTCACAGTCACACAGAGTTACTGTGAAGTGTTTGAATGTTGCAGGTAGACAAAGGTTTGAATGGATGTCAGACGCCATGTTAAGAGATGAGAGACTAAATTTAAGCTCACTGCAAAAGCGTGGTTTTCTATGCAGAAATACCAGACACCTCACCTTAGCTAAAAAACCATCAGGCTCACAAGAGGAGCAAGGAAGAAAAATCCAGACCATGACAGATTGCAGCAACACCAAAGAACTATTCTTCTGGACCAGTAATTTCTCCTTAATGCATCAAACCAGTGCCTTCTGACAGTTCCTGCCTTATTTGTGAGTGTTAGGAGAAGATACACACTTCAACAAAGATCAGAAGGATTACTTGCAAGATTCTGCAGGAATGACATCTTGAGTCGACCCATGAACACAAAGCCAAACAGAAGGAGGTTTAACAACAAGCTTTTTTATTCGGGGTACAAGAATCAATATGTGTCTTTCTTTTAGCCAACCCCCATTATATATTTGTCACCCTAAAGATAAAATAAAGCCATAACACAAGTCAGATTCACAGCCTATGCTTTTAATAATTGGCTTTCAAGGCCTCTGGCTGAACAACAACCTAGGAGGCAGGCACTTGTACAGAAATATGATTTCCCGAAAAACCCAAGAGAGGATTGTGAAAATAGCCAGGGAAGACAGGCAGTGCAGAACATGTTTCCCTTTTATCATCTCACTATCGAGAGACGAGGAGAAATTCAATTTTGGTTTCGAAAGGTACATCGGTGGGGACAGGGAAAATAGTCCCGGATCTGACCCACAGCTTGTCACTTAATCCATCCTGAGCAACAGCAACAACCCTGAGTTAATTTCTTACATTTAAAAATGCCAACTATAGGAAACAGGATTTCAATTAAGAGGATCTCCTTTCCAGCTGCCAGAGGGGAACCTGTTTCTGCAAGCCAACCCTTATAACACACCCATAGGCTAAAGCAGAGATGGTCAATATACATGCCCGGCAGGAAGCCCCCAAAATTTCTGTAAGTGCTGATCCCCTTGTCAACATGTAATTCAGTGGTAGCCGACATAAACACATGTTTCCAGTGCATAACAAAGGTACTCTCTGTCTCCATCCATCTTGTGTCAAAGTGAAAGTAGGGGTGCTGAGTTCCCAACATGATGTCAGGTTTTGACCACAGGATGGCATGGAGTGGGCCCCAAACCTAGCAAAGTTACCCACCTCTGGATTACAGCACCACGCTTTCCCTGGAAAATAAACTGAGCAAAGAAAATAAACTGAGCAGCACATCACAGAAGGACAAACAGTTGACGGAGCTGAGAGACTTCCATTAACACAGGCATCTGATATTAATCCAGAAGCCAGATTCTTCCAAGAATTGGCAAGCAAGACTTTCACAGACACTGACCATGCATAAGCAATGAGCTCCTTAGCTCTCAGAGGAAGAAACATAAATAAGGTCAAATAAGCAGAGCCCAGAAAGGCATGTGCAAAGTGCCTGGTGCAAAGGATGAGAAGGGTAAAAGGAGTGTAAGAGGACTCATGAGCTCAATGCAAACTACGGGCTGAGGGCTATAGTAGTGTTTTTAAAGGAGGTGAGTTCCTCAATAAGTCATCTCAGCTGGGTTTTCCCACCTTTGGGTGCAAGACAACAATACACTAGGCCTGTCTACAGTACAAGTTAAAACAACTGTGGATCTGTTAAGCCAACAAAGCCATGGAAAAGGAATTGAGGGAACTATAGTTTCATCATGGGAGTAGGTATCCTCAGCATCCTGGCAAAATTATATAGGGGATAAGCCACTGGAACTAAAACAGTTTCAAACTGGTTTAATTTGTAATGTGGACACCCCCAGTCCTTGAGCTTGATGAGCAGAGAAAGGGGTTCCCTTCTTTGTTCACCAATGCCCAGCAGCCTGGCTCAGCTGAGAAATAATCAAGCGGTTCATTAAGATCTCAGAGGAGGCCAGGCTTGGACAGAAGCTCAAGGCAAGGTGATTGTCCCAATCAGATTGTCTCTTCACCTGGCAAAATCTCATGGCTTGCCATAATGTTGAGGAACAATGGGGACCTCCACTCATTAGGTATACTGAAGGCTACAAAGAGCCCTCTGTCCAGAACAGAGCCACCCTGCAGAACTCGTTCATCAGCAGTCTCCCCACCCAGCCTGCTCTCCCCACCCTCTCTACCAACAAAGAGGAGAAGAAAGTGCATGAGCAGGCAGCAGCTTGGCAGAGCGATTCTGGAGTTTCCTGTCACTTTCATCCACTTCTTCCTTCATTTGCGGAACTTCTGCAGCTGGAAGACAAAACAGGTAGCCTGCTCAGTGCTTCTATCACTGCTGTGGCTTTCCAAATTGAAGGGAGACATAAGAATGGATTTCTTCTGCACCTGCCAGAACATTGTGGGACCTTTTAGAGGTGGCAGGAGTCCCACCCACCAGACTGGGCATGTAACCCTCAGTTTCCCTCAGTCTCATGTCCACTGCAAGATAGGCAAGAAAGGTAGAGGAAGTGGAAGGATTGAATGAGCTCAGAGATTACAAGTGGAAGAACCACAGTTATAGGCAAGCGCAAGCAACCTTGTTCTACTCTTTTTGGTCTTCATGACTCAAACTAATGGCTCATGGATGGAGGATGGATGGAGGATACCACTGGAGCAAGAAGGACAACAGGGCTCAAGATGCATTTCCTTTACATCTCACATGTAAGCTAACTGTGTCAGAGACAGCTGAGTCCATATAGTCATGGGATCCTCTGAAACAGGCTATCAATATAGCTGCAGACAAGACTCAATGACTACACCTAGACAGTGAACATCTGAAAATTCTCAAGTTGAGTCTGTGCAAGTTCCATGTACTCAGGGTTTTCCCCCTCAAACAGAGGGGGGAAACCCTGAGTACATGCTCGAGGCCTGATTCTCCAGGCTAAGAAAGGTATAGTAAGAGCAACCATATGGTCTCTTGTGTAGTCTTTGATTGTCAAGAGAACTGGTAAATTGGGAGCTTTCGAAACTGCTGAGCTGACACCAGCAGGAGGGGTGCCAACCACACTTGCCTGCACCACCAAGGTCACAACCGGGACGCCACTGCCATTGTCTTGTCCTCTCTACATGATCACTTTGAGTATAAGAGGAAATGGGGAGGAGAATGGGCCAATGAGCCAGAGAAACTAAGGGGAGACATATTACTGTGTGATACACAACATAGCAACCCATGTTGAGTAAGACAGTTTGCATGGAAGACCTCTGACAGTAAAGTGCATGCCCAGTGTTAAGATGGAGGATTTTAACCATGCATGTCTCCAAATTGTTATTACACCAGCTGGTGTTTTAGCAGCACAATCTGCAGAGTGGCAAGCAGTGGTGATTTGCTGACCAGATAACTTACTTCGCTCTGTTTGGAAAATGAGGCCTATATTTCTTTGATCTTTTGGCAGGTTGTTAAGAAGAGGGATAGCCTTTTCCCTCCTAATAGGTTTCCACATAGGTTTCAAAACTGAACATCTTGAACAGCGCAGCAAGTGAACAAAATATGTTTCCCCAATGCATCTACTTTTCTGCCTTCTTTCTCAGTTGGTACAGAATGAAGTTTGCTTGTAGATTTCCAGTCTGAAAATTCTCAATCTGAGTCTGTGCAAGTTGCATGTACAGTGGGATCTTGACTTAAGAACGGCTTGAGTTAAGAACATTTTGACTTAAGAACCACTCTCATAGGAAAATATTGACTTGACTTACATACTTAGATTTGAGTTAAGAACTGAAAAAACCCACGTGGGAGGTAGGGAAAATGCAAAAAGTGAACTTTCAGTTAACTGTTGGCCAGTGAAAAGGGTGCCTGTCTGCTTCCTCACTTCTCCCAGCGTTTAGAGAGTGGATTGGGAGACAGTCTTCAGATTGCCTGGTACTGCCTGGACTGTATTTTCCCTGCCTTCCCTGAACCTTTCTTGACCTAAGAAAAAAAAGAAACAAAATATCCCCCTCTAGTGGTCGAAGGCGGAATAGCAGCTTCCCATTAGTTTCTATGGACGGAAAAGAGCAGATACGGATCAAATGGTTTTCAATGCATTCCTATGGGAAATGCAGATTTGACCTGAGAACTTTTTGACTTGAGAACCGCCTTCCAATACGGATTAAGTTCTCAAGTCAAGACCCCACTGTACAGAATGAAGTTTGCTTGTAGATTTCCCTGGGCTGCCTCCACTGTAACTGAGTTGGAGCAGGGTATTTCAAGGCTCGCCGGCTAGCTCAATGAGTTTTAGAATTTTAGGATGGGCAACCACTGAAACTGAGGGGATTGGTGCTGACCTTGCACCTGTCTGACCTCAGACAGCTGGTGTCAAAAAGACTGATACTGCAGTATCATGGAAAGCGCTGACAAAACAGCAACAGGCTGAAGGAGGAGGTTGAGATGCTCTGAAAAGAGTCAAGGAGGGAGGTGGTCATTTACCAATTGCAATGGGTTTAAAAGGCTAGTGCCTGGCCACAAAAAGAAAACTGCTTCTTCCCAAATCAAAGCCCTGAATCTGGTATCTTGGTTCTTTCTACTCCGTTGGTAAAAGGGAACAAGGAATGACAGACACAGTGCTATGGGTTAGTGTTCTACCAAAACCCACAAGTGTAACATAGAAGGTTTTCAAAGCCTCTGCATTGGGTGCTAAAGATTCCAGTAGTGTGAGTCACATGGAGCACAGAGAAGAAGTGGTGAATTATTTCAGTTGAAACATTTATGTACTGCCTTCCCAACAGGTATCTAGGGTTGCTCACATAAAAATAAAATTAAAAATATCATTCCATCGTTGACAAAAAAAGTTTAGGAAGATGGCAAATCTCAAAGACGCATTAAAACCATCAATCTAATTAAAATGTAAAAGTCTGGACAAATTAAGTGTTACTTCTTGTCTGGCACCATAATGTAAGTGTGGAGGTCTCTCTAGAGTTGAGCTCACAGAAGACTCATAGACGTTAGTATACAGCATATAAATAGGGGGACATTACATGGAGGTAGGCAGCTCTTGAAGTAATCTGGTCCTAAGGGCTGATAGGCTTTAAAGATCAAAACAAGCATGTGGCATTCAGCCCAGAAACAGATTAATGCCTTTCTCAGGACGCAGGCAGATGAGCTGCACATTTGAGGTTCAGCAATTCATGTCAAAATGCAGATGCTCACTGTGGCTGTCTTTGCAACCATGTCCTTTGGAGAAATAACGAAAGCACAAGTAGCTGTGCTGAACTACATGTTTTTTTTTAAAGCAATGTATTTATTATACTGTAGGACTCAGCAACAGTGATCCTCCAGACTTTTTTTTTTGCCTACAAGACCCATCATCCTAATAACCATCATAGCAAATAGTGGAAGATTATGGAAGCTACAGTAAAAGATTATGTGGCCCTTTGGATGTCCAGTAACATCCGAAGGGCCATAACTCCCCATCTCCATCATATACCTAAGTACATGAATACACATGTATACATACATCATCTCAGGATGTATCTGGAGCTTCTTTTCTTTGAACTGTGGAAAAGTAATTTATATCAGAGTCAAATAATTAGTTTCTCTAGACAGGACCACCCTATGCTACTGTGAGCATTGGGACTAAGGTCAAAGGAACAGGAGAACCCAGGCAAAGTGGCCTCCTTGTCCCTGCTGACCAAACAATCCTAGTCCCTTTGGTCTGGTGATTTTTGGCTCAGCTACATCCTTGAGATTAGAAAACTGGGCAACATACTGAACAACAATAATCTCTGTGCCTACAGAGGGAGATCTTAAGACAATGGAAGGGGGTGAAGGCAGCCTGCCTTAAGAGGCCAAGGAGAGAAGCTGGAAAGGTTCACCTTCATGCCACAGTCCCTTGGGGTCAAGTGGCACTGCCAGGCATCCTTCAAGGAAACGCTCATCCCCTACCCACCAAAGGGCAGAGAAGACAGAGAAAGACAGGGGCGACCTCAGGGAAAGTTCCTTTGGTGGCCAAGCATGGCTCAATCAACCTGCAGAAGCAACGAAGAGCTGCAGAAACAGCCAGGTGTCCTTCAAGAAGCGCTTACCTCACACTCAACTAGATTGCGCTTGTAAAGGGCATCCTTCGCTGCTGCTTCCTGCCAAATTAGAACAACAACAATAATCATGATGAAATACAAGTAGCAAATAAATAGGGGGAATCCAACTGTACTGGTCTGGGTGTAAGCTGCTTCCATCATTGGCCATTCTTTCAAGTCAGGAGGTATCAGGGCAGCCAATTTGCAACCATGGGGCTCAAGGGCTTTTAAAAAAGAGATCACTTTCCCCACTCAATGAGGAGGAGAGGTTTCAGCACCATACCCGCTTTCCTTCGCTGCCAAGCCGCCGTGCCGCTTCTGTGTACCATTGCTGGTACCGTTCCAGCTGTGTCAGATACTCTGTGGAGTGAGGACAAGGAACAGCTGTAGGGTCAAGGGGCTTCTCCTCTTCACCCCATCGGCAGTGTTTGTTACCATCCCACTGTAATGGAGGGAGGAAGCACAGGGAATGAAGTCTTCCTGTACAGGGATTTCATGATTGGGCACTCCCATCTAAGTACCTTTCTTGACTGCAGGGCCTCCATGTTGGAGTTGAGACTTCTGCCACTGGATCATCTGTATGATGTTCTGGTGCTGCTCTAACAGGTCACTTGGAGGTCGCTGGCCAGCCTGCTTGTATGCCAGCATCTGCCACCAAAAGAAAGAGGTTTGTATATTCCCAAAGGCAAGGACAAGATAGCAGAGAACTCCCCAGGTGGAAGCAGCAGACCTTTGAGGTCCTCGTTTTTCTTATTAACATAAAAGGGTAGTTTATTATGGGGGTGTGTGGACTAAAATAGTTTAAACAAGGTGCACAGAAAGAGGATCTGGATCTGTTGATAGAGGGCTTCGTGGTGTGCAATGCATTGCAAGAGTTCCTGACTTTCCAAATGTTTACAGCAGCAACAAGATAACTTCCCTCCCCACCCTAAATTATGCTTCCAAAATGAAGAATGCTCAGGACACCAAGGCTCAGTTTTGTGTGTCAGTACTCGGAGGTGCATTTAGTTATGTGGCTCAGAAAAAAAAACACCTGGAATTTGGATGTACTGAATTTTGTACATGCGTCTTGTATAGCATGTGAAGTTGTGTGTTGTCTTGTCACTAGAGGATACACGTGAGGCTATATCTCTTGCAAATCTTCTGCTGGTGGATACTGAGAATTTGAATAAGAAAATAAATATATAAATTGGGTCCCACTAGCTTCAAATTGGTGGTTTCCTAGCCTAAAGACAGCAACATTCAATGGCTTAGTGCCTTGTCTTTTGTTGCTACCGACATGAAGCAGGAATACCAAGTGGGGCAAAGACTTAGGTATGTTAGAAGACTCCTGTGTTTCAGATCAATATGACATCAGCCACATATACATTTCCTGAGATATTATTCTGTCCAAAGTTAGAGTGTCTTGTTTTTGCAAATGACCACAGCAATGGCAAATTCTTGGCACTCAGAAGCACTTCACCCAACGCATGATGCTTTTCTTTCCTGGAGAGTTTGGCCTAGAACATTTCAGTTTACCATTGACCCCTAATGTAAATTTAATTTAAACCACAGCCCTTATATGCATAATCATGTTGTGACAGGGTGAGACTTCCTCTCAATTTCCAATGTATAAGCCCCTTCTTAAGGTCCCTGTCAAACCATAAAGAGACAATTTGCAGGATTCAGTTTTGCTGCTTCAGTTTCTATTGCCTCACTTTTTCTGGGATCAAGAAACACACCACGGATGCTCCAGAACCTCTTTGATAACTTGACTTCCCTCAATTGCTCCCTTTGTTGTCGACTGCATGGCAGAAGAATTGGTTTGCAAGCATTTGAGATGGGGGTCTGCCTTTTAGCTCCTGTTACACGAAAGCCCCAAGCACACTGAGTAAACCATAAACATAATAACCGGTGCTGCCACCACCAAGATCTCCGTCACTTACCTTCTTCTCCAACCTCTCCTGGTCAAAAGTTAACACGTTGAAGCTGTGCAGTGTGCAGACAGTTTTACTGCAGGGAAAAGAAAATGCAGCAGGATTAATCTCAAGGACGGCAGGCAAACAACATACAGAATAAAAGAACAGATAACATGTATCCTCTACTTTTTGTGTGGAAACACACACCAAACATTCTGGAGACGAAGTGATCTAGAGCAGTGGTTCTTAACCTTTTTGAAAGAAACACCTCCTTGAGCCATTGAGGAAGTTATCATCGCCCCCTCCCCACGGTGATGATATCTTTCTTTCTTTCTTTCTTTCTTTCTTTCTTTCTTTCTTTCTTTCTTTCTGGGAAACACACACCAAACATTCTGGAGACGCAGTGATCTAGAGAGTAACACAACCAATCCATTGGAGCCATTGCCTGAACAAATTGGCACCTGAACAAATGAGCCAAGATAGTTTCACACACGCTTCTTGCCCAGTCCTGCTGCTTATGTCTCTGTAACACAACCAATCCATGGCAGCCATTGCCTGCCAAATTGGCACCTGAAGAAATGAGCCAAGGTAGTTTCACACACGGTTCTTGCCCAGTCCTGCTGCTTATGTCTCTCTCAACATGGGAGACAGAAGGTTTCTGCTACCATGTAGTACAGAACTTGTCTGGGAAGGAGCAATGTAACGGATCTTAGGAAAGTCAAGAGACTATTGGACACCCTTTGGAGGAATCACTTTAAGCCATGTATGCTCTAGTCATGTGTTGCATTTCACACCCTAGCGGAGGACTGGGGAACCTATGGCTCTCCAGAGGCTGAGAGACTCCAACTCCCACCAGCTTCTGCCAGTTCATGTCAGGATGAGGGTGATGGGAGCGACAACTAATCAACACCTGAAGGGCCACATGTTCCTCAGCCATGCCTTAACCACCAGCACCCTTTTTTCTTTTGGGATGTCCCTCTTGATGCTCCAGCTGGTTTTTCATGGCTTTCTAACAAGCAGTCTAGGCTCCAAGCGCAGCCCTTTCTTCCCAGTCCAGAGGCCAGTCCCAGCCTCTCCCATTCAGGACCAAATTCTGGGCAGAAGGAACACTGCTGTGCTTCTTAAAATTCTGCCCAGCACTTTCTCCATCTTTTTGCTTACTAGAAATGTAAGCCTGTATCGGACCGATATTCCAGGCAGCTGAATTCTTTATTGGTTGAAGCTATTCAGACAACCCAGATGTTCATAAAGGGGTGATAAATCTCACACACACACCCCTTTGTGGCTCATCCCCCAACCACTTGCAGTGCAAAGGGGCCCTCCCTCTGTGCCCCCCCACCTGTCACTGAGAAGGCCTGGTTCTTACCTCTCAGGACTTCACAGCCACAAGGCTAGATGCAGACAACGCCTAACTAAGAAAATGCCAGACTATACAAAACAACAAACCAGCCGGTTATTTGGGGCATCCTTAACTGTTAGCACAAAGGAGCCAAAACACCACACTGCCCTAGAGTTGAGAGCTGTGCAAGCACACAGTCCTCTCCCACGCTACTTAGTGGGCAGAGATGGGCTTGGGGAGGGGGGAATTGCTTCAGACACCAGAAGGTGTGAGATAGCCTCTGGGTTATTCATTCCATATGAAGTTGTTCCTCCTCTTAGGAATTCAAATATTTTGCCCTCCTGACACTCAACGCTACAACCTTGTCCCCATACATGCATCCAGAGCTCCCTGCCCCCCCTCCCAACTAGTCGTCCTACATGCTGTACTTGTCCAGAGCAGGCAGGAGCAAGGGAGCCTCCGGGGCCTGAGAGAAGGAAGTCCACTCAGAGTTGGCTTGGCTAGAGCAGTGAGCAGATGGAAGTTCTGGAAGGAAATGGGAAGAGACCGTCAACAGCCACTGTAGAGCAAAAGGGCTGGACGCATGCTTCTAGACATTCCTTCCATCTTGTTCTCTTGTATGTTTGCAAAGGGAGTTGGGGAAAGGGAACCTTTTGGACTACGACTCCCAGCCTCCCCTACTCAGCACGGCCACTGCATCTCCTTAAAACAAGACCCCTGCATCGAGGTAAGAGCTGGTAGGATTTGGGAGAAAAGATATCAGACCAGCCTAGAAGACTTGTTTGTGGACTCTGGGGCACAAGATGCTGGATGGGCCACTGGTCTGATCCTGCTACGCTTTTCCTTTTGTTCTGCCTCAGCTTTGACCCCTTGTGTGGCTCCAAGCAAGCCTCTTGCCATACAGTCTCAGTCCCCTGTGGAGAAATGGCAACCAGAAGGGGAACGAGGCTCTGAGGTCTGAAGGCATCAAGCTTTCCCTATTCAGTCAACCAACTCTAGAACGTCCAACCAACTCTAGAATGTCCACCATTCGTACCGGCTGCTCGTGGCCACCAAAGAGCTAATGCAGCCATGAGGTATCTCAGTGGCACCAGAAGTACCTATTAGAAGAGATCCACAAGATGCAGCCCTGCCACAGTCATTCCTCTCCTGGGCAATTTGTTTGTTTTACATCCACGCAGAAACACATCACCTCACTAGATGAGGATGGTGCTGTGTGCTTGGTCACCATGACTGAAAACTTGTCAACGGGACTTTTCTTGAGAGCTTCCTTTCAGAAAGCCAGGGGAACACCATGTATCACCAAACAGTCAGGAGGCCACAGATAAGGCAAGAGAGGGATCTGATCTATGGGGAACAACCCACCAGGAATGCCTCCTGCAAAACGTTTCATGTTGTGTCTTTCATGCCTCTCACCCCTTGCTTTACTCAGGCATTTATACCACTCCTATCAGAGGCAGCCTATAAATAAACAGTACTCCAATGGGATTTATGCAGGACTTCCTGCTGGACTATGCACCCCCTATTTTTATGTAGACTCCACCTTTTCCCTCAGGGCAGCTTACAGTGTTAAAACAAACAATATAAAAACTGGAACAGCAGCCCCCTCAACCCCACCCTTTCAGACAGCCAATTACTGAGCAAAAGCCATCTGAAGAGAAAAGTGCCTGCCTGCCTGCCTGCAGAAGGACAGCAAAGAGGGGCCGGCCAGGCCAGCCTGGAAACCAACGCTCTCATGGCTTTGCAAAAAGACGCCTGTGAGGGTGGTGGGGTGGAGAGAAAGACCACCCCTTCTTGATTTTAAAGACCAGGCAAGGCCGTAAAGGGAGATGTGGTCTTTCAAGTAGCTCGGACCTAAGTCACTGAAGGATTTACAAGTCAAAACCAACACCCTGAATTGTGCCCAGAAAAGGACCGGCAACCAGCAGAACTGTTCCGATAGGGAGGTTATGTCCCCCCAATTAACAATCTGGCTGCAGCCTTTTGGACCGCTGAAGTTTCCGAATGCCTTCCAAAGGCAGCCCCAGATACAGCGTGTTACACGAAGCCAACCAAGATGTAACCTTGGCAAATTGTCCCACTTCTCCTGCCCTTCATGGCAGCCAAAAGCTCTCCTATCCTACAGCTTCTTCAGCCGAGGCCCTAGATCTTATGTTCACCTTACTGTGCTGAGGGTGATGTCAGAAAGTAGAAAGAACAGAGTGTCAAGAATAGGATTAGTCCCTTCCCCATTGATCTCCTGCGTGTGGAACTCCAACCTAAAAGTTCCCCCAAAAAGCCACAGAGGTACATACATACCTACTGCCCACGTCCTTCCTTGGAGGTGCTGGTGCCTTGGGTTTAGGAAGTGCCACCTACGTGAAGAAAGCATAAGTTGTTAAGTCTCTGGGACTGAAGTGCTCTCACTTCCACTTAGATATGCCAAGGTATAGCCCACGGGCATCAACCCTGCCAGGACAGCCAAGGGTGTACCTTAGGGCTACATATGGTACATGTCACATAATTATGCGACGGAGCAGAAAAACCACAGTACTGCTCAGTTACTCATTCATTTTAAAAGGGGGAAAGGAGGAACGTATTTCTAGTTCTAACAGGTTGTGTAGGCACACTCATGGCACAGGACTCATTCAGCATGGGCTTTTCAGGGACTGAAGCCAAGATCTGAAGAGAAAGGAGAGCTCTTGTTAGTCCTCAAGGTGCCGTACGTCTACCCTTCTGTAGTCACACCTGAAACTGAGTGAAACCGACTGTGATGAAATCTCAACCATCAAAAAACAAGTTTTCGGCATCCTGTGGAACTTTTTGCCCCTTGGCAGGGCCAACAGAATCAGAAAATATTTCACTCAGAACAGTAAACCTGTTGCCGAGTCAATAAAGGAAGATAAACACAGACATCTGACATATTTGTACGTAATCCACATTGTACTGGCACAGAAGTATAACATTGTCTTAAAGCATATTATATGCACAAGCCTGGGTACAGTGGCCAAACACCTGTTCAGCGCCAGTGATATTTAATATAAACTAATTGCAAGCTTCCTACCCCACCCTTCCAGGTTCTGAGGCTCCCCTAAGGGCTTCCTTTTGCCTCAGGACAGGGAGGAAGTCTTTAATAGTCAAACATCACTGCCAGATCACCACTGGTGGCTCTGAGCCTGCTGACAGTGATCCAAGTGGCGATTGCTGGCTGTTAAAGGCTCCCTACACCTCCAGCCCGAGGCTCCCAAAGGCTTTCCCAGGGCAAGAGGGGGTCCTTAGGAGGCTCAGAACTTGAAATGAGAGGACAGGAGGCAGCTTTCGATTAATTGAAATAAAATATTACTAGCACGGGATGGTGACTTCATCTGGCCTGCACTGCTTAACTTTGCACAAGAGATTTTTGCATCATATATACCTTTATGCCACACTACCCCTGCCCTCTTGGAAAGAAATCCAGCCTCACGAAGTCTTTGAAACCAGGAGGAACACTGGTTCTTAGCTAGGCTTCCGGGCCTGCTTCTTTTCCAAAGAAACTGGCGTGAAGTCTGGCCTCTGGCAGCACAAATGATACCCACTTCAGAAAGAGACACAGGAGCATGGAAGCCAACAGAGAGGAGGAAACTAGTATCCCCTAGATCAGGGGTCCCCAACCTTGGCCTCCAGATGTTCTTAGACTTCAACTCCCAGAAATCCTGGCCAGCAGAGGTGGTGGTGAAGGTTTCTGGGAGTTGTAGTCCAAGAACATCTGGAGGCCCAAGGTTGGGGACCACTGATCTACATGACTATTAACTTTACAGATTCTATAAACACTTAGTAGTTCCAGCAGAATCCCAAGGCCATCGTTCTACACAGAGCCATGCTCACAAAAGCTTAGAGGGTGCACCAAGTTCAGTGAAAAAGCTTCTCTCTCTCTCTCTCTCTCTCACACACACACACACACACACACACACACATACACACACAGAACCTCAGGGTTCCTACCGGAGGCACAGTTAGGGGGTCAATAACCAGCCACTTCTCTGTGGTCGTTTCCAGTTGCTGGGAAGTCAGGGGCTCTCGAAGGCGGACAATCACTTCCAATTTGCCTCCTGTAGGCCGCCGACCATCCAACAGCTAGGCAGGTGAGAGGGAGGCGGTTATAAACAGGGAATGGGTCAAATTTCTAAGCTGCATTTCATGCCTCAAACGCTGGATCAGCCCACTCAACCCGCCCTATGGGTCTACAACACTGTGCATCACAGAAGAGTTCAGCCTATCTATCCTTCCACCCCCCAAAGTTGATGAAAGACTGTCCAGATCATGACCTGAAGCCCAGAGACCCTGCCCTCTCCACTTCCATTGGGGACAAGGACTGAGCAAAAGCTAGACCTACTTAAGGTCACCAGCGCAGGCCCATTCGACACTTACAATCAGGGACAGGCTGCTTTTCCAAACAATAGCATGAAGTGGCATACAGTTGTATCAGTTCAGTAACAAGGTTTGGAATCACAAAGACACCTTTACTGCTACTTTAGTTATGATCATGGAAGGCACCTTTTGGCTGCAACAAATTAATACAGCCACCTTCACCTCCGGAATTCAAAACCATATAACCTAAACCCAATATAAAGAAAGAACGAGAAGAGCAGAAGCAAAAGTCAGGGGCAGTTCACTTTCTAAATTGGGCTTGGCTAATAAAAACTGCCTCGGCCAGTTAGAAGGAAACAACTTACGAAGGAGCGCCAAGCCCTTCCTTCATCCTGGGGAAAATATTTCATGGGGCCAAGGTGTCACAACAGATAGGGACCCACCCTGTGGCCTCACAGATTTGACTAAGGCAAAGCCGAACTCCTTTCGATCACACGAAGCAGCGAAGAAACCTAAATGGCCATAGGCCCTTGACACAGCATCCATGGCCCAAGACCTTTAATGGACTGTTGCTATTCCTTCAGAGAGCCTTACAAAGGCACTGCCAGAACTTTGTTCAATTCCACGGAGCCCTCCCCCCCCGCCACCCTCTTCAGTCCAGCTAGAAAGAGAAGCTCTCCAGATCTGAAAGTCAGAACAAGGCCTACCTCCAAGATCTCCCGAATTTCGCAAGCTGTCTCCAGTGCCTCCAGCTTCAACTGCGCCACTCCCACTACTCGGTCAGTTTTGAACAGTCCCCTAAGGAGAAATGGCAGTAGGTATTAAAACAATGGCCTCACATGAAGTCCCATAGTTCGTTCCAGTCCTACTCCTGCCTTTCACTAAAATGATGACTGTTTTTTTTTAATTACACTATTTCATAGGCTTGATGTAGAAAAGCTATACCAATCATACAAGCTGGGGGGGGGACAGGAGCATTCTATTTCTATCTTGGTTAGGTCCTGCATGGATGAGGATTTGGGCCACCAGTTGCTTTGCTCGGGGGGGGGGGTTTAGAGTAACACAACCTTTTCCCCCTCTCTTTGTGGCTAAAAGGTCTCTCCTTTCACAAGGAACAGAAAAGGAGCTGGTGCCAAGATCTGGTTGCCCTTCAGAGCCTGATGGTGACCAGTTTCCCCAGAGTTGCTCCCTGTCCTCCACTGGCAGATCTCTTCACCAGCTGAGTGGAAGTGGTCCCCAACTTTTGCCTCCTCAACAGACTCAGCACAGGGGGACTGAACCCTGTCCTTTGCTGTAGGTAGCACGAGGAAGTGTGTCTGAACAGGCCCACAGTCTTCGACCAGGGTCGATGCAAAAGGTGACAGGCTGTTTTCTCCAAGGAGAGGGGTTCCTAAAAGACTCTCCTAACCTGTCCTCAGTGCACATTCACTTTAAGAAACAGGCATTTCTGATTTAACCGCTCAGCAATTCTGTGTAGGAATTGGGCACTCTCTGGTTAATGGCACCAGATGATATGGTATGCTGTTTCCCTTTTAAGGCAAATGCTTAGATTACCTTTGAACAGCCAGTCTCTGGCTAATATCTATTAACTGAAGATAGCGGGTGGCCAAATAGGAATCTGAGAAACCTTCCCCACAAGCCTTGCGCCACTGGCACACAGATGTATCCCACTGGCTCCAGAGATGTATCTTGCTCACCCTTTATGGACAACCTCAAACTTGATGCCTTTTGTCTGGATGGCTCGCTTAAGCCCACGGTGGCCCCGATTAATAAAGAGCTTGAACTTCTCCTGGAATTCTGCCAGATGAAGAGAGCAAAACCAGAAGGTCAAATGGAGCAAGATGTATATCAGCAGCAATCATCAGTCCTGAATGGCTTTGATGGACTGGGCAGATTTGGAAAAGTTACTTTTTTGAGCATCAACTCCCAGATCCCTCCAGCCACCACAAGATGGTGGTTATGCATTAAGTATAGAGAGAAAATCACAGAATCATAGAAAAGTGAAGTTGGAAGGGACCTACAAGGCCATCAAGTCCAACCCCCTGCTTCAGCGGTCCCCAACGTTTTTGGAGGCGCAGACCGGCTGGGGGGAGCGAGAGCCATGTGCGGGGGGGGAAGGGGGCACCCTCGCACTTAAGCAGTAGGTGTGCCACTCCTGTGGAGGCGTGACACACCCACAGCGTGAACGTGACATTCGTGAGATCCGTATCCATGGCCCAGTTCTGGCACGGCTGGGGGGAGCAAGATCAATGTGTGTGGGGGAGGGCGGGGGCACCCTCAAACTTGCGCAGTAGGTGTGTCACTCCTGTGGAGGCGTGACACACCCACCGCGTGAGCGTGACAACCCCCCATGTGCACGGGGGGGGTTGAGATCTGTATCCATGGCCCAGTTCTGGCAAGCCCTTGGACCGGCACTGGGCTGCGGACCAGGGGTTGATGACCTCTGCCCTGCTCAATGCAGGAATACAATCAAAGCATATCTGCCAGGTGATTATCTAAGTTTTTCTTGAATGCCTCCAGCACTGGAGCACTCACCAACTCCCGAGGTAACTGATTCCACTGTCGTACTGCTCTAACAGTTAGGTTTTTCCTGATATTCAACCAAAATCTGGATTCCTTTAACTTGAGCCCACTGTTGCATGTCCTGCACTCTGGGATAATTGAGAAAGATCCTGCCCCTCCTATGACAGCCTTTCAAATATTTGAAAAGTGCTGTCACCCCCTCAGTCTTCTTTTCTCAAGGCTAAACAAGCCCAGTTCTTTCAGCCTTTCATCATAAGGCTTGGTTTCCAGCTCCCTGACTATCCTTGTCGCCCTCCTCTGAACTTGTTCCAATTTGTTAGCATCCTTCTTGAAGTGTGGTGTCCAGAACTGGAAACAATACTCAAGGTGAGGCGTAACCAGTGCTGAATAGAGGGGGACTAGCACCTTGCGGGATTTGGAAACTATCCTTCTATTTAAAGCACCCATAACTGGAAAAAACAAAGGATTCACAAAACCAGTACATTAAAAGATTAAATACAACCAACAAGTGTCAACAATATAGTACAGAAATGCATAAATAGGTTCAGTACATATAGCACCAAAGGAACCTGTGTCATATCAACAGTATATTGATGGGATTTCCATAGTTATTCCTATTCCGGGGTTCTTCTTCAGCATCTAATAATTACAAACTGTAGAATAGACCCTATAAAGACCACTGGGTTTTCTATTCATACCACATATGGTACCGGAAGTCTGACAAATTAAGATATCTGTGTGAAGACTGCACACACCCATCCCCACTGGTAGTCTAAATACCCTGGGTGTATCCTCTGTGACATTATGACGCCCTCTGTTTACTAACCATTACGTACACCGGACGTCACCTTTTGTCCCTGCCCACAGCACCTATTTTCATGTTTTTGCCCTGGGGAGTCCTCTTTCCTGCTCATTGGTTTTTAGGCCTGGCTCTTAAGAAGAAGATTGTGCAGCAGTCACAGCATGCCTTATGCCAGGGTTCATGCCCCACAGATGTTCCCTGGATTATCTGGAGGCTAGCATAGGGCCAAGGCTTGTAACACCTGCTTTGCTGGACCATGTCTCCCAGAATCCCACTGACCACATGGGCTGGGCACTCCGGGACTTCCAGTTCAAGCACCCTGTTACCTTCCCAAGCGTGGCTCTGAACCTAACAGCATATTTCCCTCCTTTGCTTTCACGTCTTCTGTACTGAATTCAAATCTGTATCTTCAGCTTTCTGAAGATAAAGATTTGAATAGTCATAAAAGCATCTTCCACACAGGGACAGCCTGGTGTCCTTGTGGTACGTCTTCTATGCTTCCCCAGCGGCAAGTGAAGATGGCACTCTTCTGCTCCTCACGTCATGACCTTTCCTTCTTCACTGCTTCCAGTGAAAGCCACATCTGAATACTGGCAACTACATCTCCTTCCACTACGGCACAGACAGTTAAGTGGATGAGAGACAGAAGGAAGGCCGAGAAAGACCTTCACTTCCTCTGAGATAACATAATTCTATCCATTCTATCCACTTCCTATCATTATCAGATGCTCTCTCTAGGATTCCTCCCTCTATTCCAGGACTGGAGCTGTTCCTGCTAAACTACATGGCATTAAATGTATGCACGCATGAGTTATTTTTTTAAGTCACAGCAGAGGCCAGGAAGAGGAAAATGTTTAACCTTTTTCTCCCCAGTCATGTTCTAAATAAAATTCACTCTCATATACACTGCTATTAGAGAGGGAAAATGGTTTTCACTGGGATTACATCAGGAGAAGGAAAGGTTAAATGTCTTCCCTATGCACTGTAATCCAAACCTGTGACACTACAATTTTTTTATAAAGCCTAACATGTTCCCAGACCCGACCTATTTCCAACCCCTTAGTGCAGTGGTCCCCAACCTTGGGCCTGCAGATGTTCTTGGACTACAACTCCCAGAAGCCTTCACCACCACCTCTCCTGGCCAGGATTTCTGGGAGTTGAAGTCCAAGAACATCTGGAGGCCCAAGGTTGGGGACCACTGCCTTAGTGTCTCCCATCATTCAGCTCAGGATTGGGGAAGGGAAATTAAAGCTCCTTCTCCGTCAAATGGCCAAAGGCATACATGTGGGCATTTACCAGGAGCGTTTGAATTTTTGATCACGGCGGTCTTGTCTTTTTGAGCTTCCTCCTACAAACACAGGAACATGAAAGAGGGAATTAATACTTCAAGTTGAGACTTGTATTACACAGTCCCTCTGCCTCGTTCACCAAATGTTATGGGGAGGAGATGGTCCAGACAACACTGCCTCTCACTGTAACCCTCTTGTGCTGTCTCACTGCTTTTATTATCTTTTTTTTTAAATTGAACCTGAAAATCCTTTAAGGACAGAAAGACAGCATAGCTGTGCAATGCCTCTTTTGAATGGTAGAGGGAGCAGCTGTCTGCCTGACAGCACTCATGGGAAGTAGACCTCTTTGACTGCTGACTAAAGTGTCTCAAAGAAGTATCATCATCATCATCATTCCCAGCTTCTCACACACATCCTGACAGCACTCATGGGAAGTAGACATCTTTGACTGCTGACCAAAGTGTCTCAAAGAAGTATCATCATCATTCCCAGCTTCTCACACACACTACACTTTCATCTACACATATATAACTTTTGGTGACAGTAAATAGTTCTCTTTCAATGCATATACGTAAATGGGAGGCACCAAGAGGGTCCTGCTCTCGTTGTATTCAAACAACAACATCAACATGTTGACTGAAGTCTTGTTGCTTAGTGTAAGAACATTCTTAACTTTCAGCCCATTTCTAGCCAGCAAACAAAGTTTCAGCCCTTTTCTCAGCATGCTCCAAAGGCAACCTGCCTGGAAAGTTTGGGCCTGGAGAATAGCCCTCTTCTATGCTCAGAGCATGCCCAGCCAACGGCTAAAATGGTGGGTGGTGATGGCTGTCGTTCAGGGAAAAAGGAAGACATGCAGCTGTTGCCTGGGTGAGAGTTAGGGGAGAGCAGGGAGACCTTTGGTCTGGCTGTCTTTTTTTGCATGTCTTCCTAATGGCCTTTTAATTGTTTTGTGCCTCATCCACCCCCCACTGTTTATGTTTTGCTAATATTTCTTTCAGGAGTGTTTTATTTAGGTGCCCTTTTGGAGCTGGGTCCTCCAAGCGTTTTGGGAAATAGGCACATGATTCTAGTATTTGGGTCTCAGACTTGACTTTTACCTCGTGCACATTTTCTTCATAAAATTTCAGTCTGCCTTCTGAAAAAAATGGGCGTTTTTGTCATCCTATATGGAGGACAGATCCTGAAACCGAGGCTCCAATACTTTGACCATCTCATGAGAGGAACCTCTGGAAAAGACCTTGATGTTGGGAAAGTGTGAAGGCAAGAGGAGAAGGGGACGACAGAGGGTGAGATGGTTGGACAGTGTCATCGAAGCTACCAACATGAATCTGACCAAACTCCGTGAGGCAGTGGAAGACAGGAGGGCCTGGCATGCTCTGGTCCATGGGGTCACCAAAAGTTGGACACGACTAAACAACGATGATAAAGGCAAATGTACAGTTTAGTATTTGGGATCAAAATGCAAACTCTTGCTTGGACTCTGCTTTTTTGGGGGAAATTACTTAATCCTTTGATGAATGAATAGACAGGTCTCTGGGGTAGGTATCTGAGCTGGTGCCTCTGCCACTTTTTCAAAATATGTTCGCTTTCTTGTATCGTTTATTTATTTAAAAAAATTAATACCCTACTTTTCTGCTGAGGAGGACCCAATATTGGCTTACAGTATTGATATCACATTCCCAATGTGTCCATGGGCCCAGAAAAGATTGGGGATGCCCAGGGAAATTTCTAGCTGGTAGCTTTAATGATTAAAATGAAGCTGCTGTGACTTACCGCGTTGGGGTAGGGGAACTCAAAGCGTACAAAAGCATCAAGGTCACTAGGAGACATGCCTGAAAGATAAGAAAACAGAAACATGCCAACTAAGAGTCAGGAAACTGTTTAGACTTAAATCAACTGGCTCTGAAACAGCAAGAGAAAGCTGGTTTTGTACAAGCACATCCACTGTTGTAACTGTGGCATGCGCTGACCTCCAGCTGCAAGTGTTACTGGCTGTCATGTGATGCTAAAGCCTCCAACCAGAACTCTGCTCAGATTGGCTTTGTGCCCCCAACTCTTCTAAAGGCTGCAAAAATCAACTCTTCCCCTAAGTCTGATGGACAGAAACACCATCACAAAACACTGTCGCCTCTGTTCTCCTGTGGAAGTGTCAGCAGCAAATTCCCTGGAGATGGCCTTAAAGTGAAAGCTGTTTAATGCAAACCACCTTTGGAACCAGTCCTTGCTTGGGTGAAAAAGAAGTCAGGAGAAAAGAATGCACTTCAGAAACTCAGGGATTCTCTTCCAAATCACAAAGAAGCCACAAAGAAGAGAGGAACAGATAGAATTCTGCAAATTGGGGGTGAGCAGGAAGGGACTGATAAGACAGTAGAGGGAGGGATCTCCTCCACAACACTCCTATTCCAATTCCCGGGAAGTAACTGTTTTGGAGCTCGGAAACACTTGAGAAGCACACTTTATCCCTTCTTTTGGTGATCTGCCCCCACAAAAGCCATGGTAAAAATCTTGGGGAAAGTCCACTCTAGGCGGCCAGCTGCAAAGCACTTAGGAACGGCTGAGGACACGAAAAAAGGGCGCTCCTCTTTCACATATTATTCTTAACTGAGCTCATTGGATAGGAGTATGTATGAACTGTGTATCAACGGAGGAACCAGCCCTTTCTTGTTTGTGTGGCAGTGGCAACTACAGCAGCTAATCCGTGACCGCTCTATAAATGGACTTTCTCTCTATCTGCCTCCCAACACAAAAGCCTCACAGGCTCTCTGCTACTGCAATAACACATCTCTTTCTCCATCTCCCTTTCCAGGAACATTCTTTTCCAGACTGCAGACACACAAACAAAAGCAACTCTCAGTTACCAGCGACTTATTGACTTTGGACCACACTTGCAAAGGATTTGTACAGGAATCAGTAACAAACCGAAGGCTCTGGCAGGATTTCTACCTGTTACTGCAGTGACTGACAAGGAAGAGAGCTGAGCCAGCTAGATTCAAGTCACATCTTTAGGAGTCTGACTGCCCTCTTCTATTGTTGCCAACTGACTTGAGTTTTCATTTGGAAAAGCAATCAGGATGTAAACTAAATAAATCATGCAATGTAAATTTGTCAGCTTAGCCACCCTTAAGGAGTACAAGGTTAAAACCCCGGGCTCAGGTTGTCTAACCCCCGGGAATAATCCCTTTCTTCTCATCCTCCAAAGAAAAGATGGCACAACAATGCTTTGGTTTAACATTTTACTTGGAGCCTATGGCTTTTGCCCTCTACCATAACACACCGGGAGGCAATTGATAAAATTGCAGAATAGGACTGACAAAGAGAAGGAGGAAGAGGAGTAAAAGACATGTAGCATTTTACAGATAAGACAGATGGAAGAGATTTTACTGAAACATGGTGGTGGGGGTAGCAAGAAAGGTGATGATGAGAAGGATCTAATTGACTGGTGGAGAAATTATTTTTTTGCAGAAAAAAAATGAGAAATGCCTTCCTGGATCAAACCAAATGTTCCTCTAGTCCAGAATGTTGGCTCCAAGGGGATTTAGTCATATTTCACTAGGAAATGCAAGAGGAGGAGGGTGAGACGACAACTCCCTTCCTCCCTGCTCTGTCCTGTGCCCTTAACTCTTCAGAGGTATACAGCCTTGAACACACATATTCCCCTGATATCAAGGTCATTGAACCTTTCTGTCCTCCAGACTTGAACTACAATTACCACAATCCTTGACCACTGACCATGCTTGATGGGGCTGATGGAAGCTGAAAGTCTAAACATCTTGAAGGAATAAAAATCCCTTTCCCTGAATTATACAATTTATTTGTCAAGATAAATTCTATAAGCAAAATGAAACACTAAACTAGTCTCTTGCAACCCATGTAGGATCCAAATGTGTTCAGCTACAACTCCCATCATTCCCATAGGTCATACCAACTGGAGACAGTGAAAATCTAGCATAAGAGAGAACATCAGGTTGGGGGAAACAGAATTAAACTCTTTCTTCTTGTACAATAACAACTACTGATGGCTTTGGAATCTCATCACAGCAAACCCTCTTCCGCTCTCCCCCAGGTTCTGCCCCTATAGGATCACAATGATCACAATGGCCATAGATCCTTCGTTTGCAGAAACGGAAACCACGGCATATTCTTTCTACCTGGGGGAGCAGGCAGGTTGACACCTCGCACTATAGAAAGGACCATGTCGTTACTATTCAGTTCTGGAAAGATCCTAAAAGAAAAGAAAAGGGTGTGTGAGCGAGAAATCAGTGCCTGTGAAACAAAACCAACCCATGTCACAAGATAATTATCTGATGCAGCCACCGGATGCTGAAAGGTAGACCAGAGGGCTTGAGCTGCTCCATAACACGGGCAGGTGATATCTGGGAGCCTACTGACAGTTCTAAAGAGTCAAGGACATTTGTTCAGAGACATTCAGAAAAGCGCATGCAAAGCCCAAAGAGAAATAGAAGACACGCAATCTCTCTCACCCCCATGAGTTTGCACGCTCAGTTTGAAAACAGTGTTCATTTTCCTGCAAGTCAAGCTGTACACAATGCATTTCAGGGTAATCTGCACTGAGTCTCCTTCCACCCACACACTGACAGTCCACCTCCACCAGCTGACCCACACCATTCTCGAAAGGACATTCTTAGGCAGAAATTGCCATTTTCCCCCCATAAAGATTTTTTTTTCCTGGCTGAGAGGGAGAGGGGTTCCTAGACCACAAAAATGGCAGAAGGGTGGGAGGTGGGTGCAATATGGCCATGAGAGTCTCACCTTCACCCTAGACTATGCCAAGCATGGCGTGCTTTAATCAACGATGTGGCTGCTGGCTCAAGCCGAATGCAACCTGAGCTGCTCTTCCTCTGTGCAGCAGGCACCATGAACCTTTGAAAGATATTTTCCCCAATCTTTGTTTGGATTCTTTTTTATAAACACCACTTTACCTTAATTTGGATTTCTGGACTTCTTGGGATGGTGGCAGCAAGGCAAGCAAGGAAAGGAGGCATGGCTTCTAATTACTGTGAATCGGAAAGAAATCACTGCCACCCCCCCACCCCCTGTGAAGCCTGACACACCTTCTTCTGAGCAATGACTAGGAAAGAGGACAGAATAACCATTTGGCCCTTTAAAGAGGGAGAAAAATGGCAAGCTGATGCCTCACTCACTTGACCACGTTGAACGTCCGCTGCTCGTAATGATATTTGGGCAGTGGAAATCCCTTGGCATGAGCTTGTTTTAGGATTTCCATATTCTTTTTACACTCTTCGGCCATCTTCTCGAACCTGGAGAGGAAAACAGACACCTAGTTTATAGGCTGATGCAGGAGCTTCCGGGGAGTTCAACGTCATGCCCAGGAAGGTAACATGTTAATAAGCAGCTGCCAGTTTACACAACTCCCCCCCCCTCCGCACATCTTGGATGTGGATTATGTGATCTCCTTTGCAACAGCCTTGATCACTTTTCAAACTCACAGGGTACAGATTAGATTAAACCCACAAATGTCAGGGGGCCTGGATGATGATGAATTGGGCAAAGTGAATCAAGATAACTGAGGCCAAGCATGTGGGGGCTCCAGCCCCCAGTGCAGGAGAACTGTGGGAGTACACATCAGACAGAGAGAGAATAGGAGGAGACCAGCTCAGTGAAGCAGCCCATAATAATAATAAAATTTTTTTGGATGTCTTCCCCTAGGGGGGCAATGGGCACAGGATGGCGGCAGAGCCATCCAAGGAAGGATCTGTGGCTCTAGATCTCATGCAAGGCAGACTTGGTTTTGTTGTAAAAAGGCAGAGAGTCATAGGCAACCCAGAAAGAGCCACTTTGGGGCTGCTGATACAGCCGGGAAAGGAGAATTCCATTGCCAGCACAAAGAAGGATGACTTTATTTCCTTCACACAGAAAGGCCAACTAGCTTGAATGGTGTGGAGGGTAAAGACAACACTCTCAACAAGCCGACATATCCAGATGTCACTTCCACGCGGGGGAGTGACCAGCTAGGAGCTGATTCTCCCTACTGTCCGGGATGGTAAAAAGCTTTTAAAATGCATGAAGACAACACTCTCAACAAGCTGACATATCCAGATGTCACTTCTGCGAGGGGGAATGACCAGCTAGGAGCTGATTCTCCCTACCGCCCCAATGGTAAAAACTTTTAAAATGCATTTATTCTTCTAGATAACTGGTTCTTTTTGTATAAATCCTTGAAGGGAAAGATAAGGAACCTGTAGAGTTAATTAAACTCTCTAAGGACTGTGTTGTTTTAAAACTGGAAATTACTTTCACTTTTCAGTCTGATAAACTTTGGATTTTTTTTCTAACTGGCTCCTAATGAAAAGCCTGTAACAACAACGATTATTCTTAATTAGACCTCTCTATGTCAAGGAGGAGGGATAAATCTGCCAAAGCCGCCTCAGACTGCAGTTTGGAAAGATTAACGAGGGTGCCAACTGAAAAAGATAAGGAGATAGCAATGGAGGAGCTCACAAGGCTCGTAAGGGATATTTCTTCTACAATGACTCAAGGCCTTGATAAAACAGAGAGATGAGCAAAGTCTATTGAAATGAGTATTAATAAACTTCGGGATCAAATTTCAGGGGTTTCATCGGAGCTCAAAGATGTTAAAAGCAAAATTAGAGACCGATACAGTTCAATCAGATCGAGAAAAAGTATCTTCCTTGGATGAACAAATCAGTGAAACCAATAAACAGCTGATTTACATGGAGGATAACCAGGTCTAACATTAAAATAATGAAATTCTAATTGCAACACGGACAAGATCTCAAAAAAGAGGTTATAGAAATTAATTTGGGAAAATTACAAGGTAGAAATTAAAATAGAGGATTGGATAAAAATGTGGGGGATGAGAGTTTTAAGGTTAATGTCGATAAGAATAAAGGAATTTTTTAAAAAACTGTTTAAGATGGTATTTGACTCCTGTAAAATTGAATATAATAAATTCAGCATACCCCAAAGCTTGTTGGAAATGTGATGAGGAAATTGGTATGTATTATCATATGTGGTGGGATTGCAAACTGGTTAAGAAATTTTGGAAACTAATTTTTAAGGAAATATGTGATATTTGGTAAATATATCAAATTTAATGCTAAAATTGCTTTAATGTCAATTTTTGACAACGTAGATTTGGATTATTACTCGAAGGAATTGATCAACAATTTTATGACAAGTGCTAGAATATTAATACCTAGGTTTTGGAAAGACAAAAATTATATTAAATTAGAAGATTGGTATAATGAAGTACGGGACATTGCATTAAATGATAAATTGACTACTGAACCTAAGAAAGAGGGGAAATAAGTTCTAATATTTTTTATGCTATTTGGGGTAGATTTGTTGAATTTGTATTAGTGGAAGGAAAGGGGAAAGCCTCTAAATAACAATCTATACAATTCTGGAAAGGAAATCCACAATAAAAATTGTTCAGTGGGGTCCCGTGGGTATGGGGTGCACGTTAGAATGCAGTTTAAAACAGCACTATTATTTGTATTTTTTGTTGTAATTGTTTTTGTTTTTAAATTATTTTTTTTTAAAAGCCGACATATCTAAGATAGACTTCCTCATACCAAGCCCAGCTAAAACAGCCAGCCCTCACCCCCACCTCCCTCAGCAGCTATCATCATCACAAACTGAAACTGGACCTCACAATTTTATAAACTTCTAGCTCAGCATGCTCTGGATCAGTAGAGTTATAAGGTAGGGAGGAGGGAACTTGGCTGGGGCTAATGTAGTGGAAATAACCCAGTTTTGTCTGTAAAAGGCAGTCAATGAAGAATTGAGAATGCAAGTTCTAAACAGATTCCTGATTAAGCAACAATCTCAAAAAACAGTATCGAAGAGTTAAAAGCAAACAGAGAATGTATTGTTAGAAAGTAGCTAAAACTGGAAGCCCACCAACTATAACTAACAGGTGGCTTAGTTTAATGTCTACAAACAAGTTTATTATATTTTGAGAGCAAAGTCAGAAAAACATAACATTCCATATAAAATGGCAACTTCTGTGTCATTGCTGGTTACGGATTTCATTAGAAGTGGCAAAATCAAATCATTCTATGAACTATGTAACAGAGTAAGTGTACAAACAGCAGGTGGTGAAGGCTTCTGGGAGTTCTGGGAGTTGCAGTCCAAAACTCCTGAGTAACCCAAGGTTAAGAACCAGTGACCTAGACTCCTCCATAATAAAAATGCCCCCTCAATTATCAGATCCAGTTTCTTCATTTCACTCAGAGAAACAGGAAGCAACCTTACTATTGTGCCAAACCACTGGATTATTGAAATCAGTACTGCCCGCATCATTGATAACCCACCAGACATCCAGACAAAAGTCTTTCCCAACCCTAACAGGGACTCAATAGGGATCCTGGGCTTGCAAATTCTGTGCTTTGGTTAGTACCATTAATTTTCCCAAGGACTTCCAAGTTTGCTTTTTCTCTTGAAAAAAAAAAATCTCATCACTATCTTTCATCTTCCTCTTTCACATTTTGCTATCATTTGTTTGGGGAATCCATTTTTTTTTTGGGTTCTTCAAACCCAAAGAAACATATTTAACTACCTGTTTCCTCGAGAGGACAAAGAAAAAGACCATATGTAGTAGAGTCAAGGGAAAAGGTGTCATCGTGAAGGCATTTCTGACAACACAGCCCATATGCAATGGTGCAAAGGGCCATTCGGAGGAGAAGTCTCTTTGCCATATTATGGACACACTTACTTCGTCGTTTCTGCAATGTTCCCTAAATGGGTGAATTGCTTGGAGTAATTCATGCACATCTGCAACAGAAAAAAAGAAGCCAGGTGAGGAGGAGGAGACAGGCATGTGATAGACCTGGCTCACTCCCACAGGTCATGGATCTTCCTAGAGTCAAACTCTTACACGAGTAGCAGCCCTTATATAACCAGAGAATGCAATCTCTCTTCTCAGGGAACCCAGAAACCATCTTCATTTTCCTTGATGTGACTCACCCCACTCACCTTTGATACAATGCCAAAGTTATTGTAGGGACCTCCCAATGGGCCAGGTTAGTGCCTCACTCTATTCAAACTTTCTTCTGGCTTTCCAAAAATGAACACATTGGAGGAAATGTAGACCTATACAGGTAGCCAGGGTGCACTTTTTACACACCATAATCAGGAAAACTCCAGAAGCTACAGGTGCAAATGGACTAGAATAAATTCCAAATATTCAACTGCCATGAGGTTTGTTCAACCTGATGTGGAGTCCATTGGCATTCAGACATGCACACAACCTACAGATGTTCTATATGGAACAAAAAATTGCATTTCTCCCCTTCTTCTTGCCTGTCAAAGAGTAAGACATTTCCTTGCATTCTCAATGACAGTTCTTGCATTTGAAAAGATGATTTTTGGAAATTGCACGCAACTGTGGTAGCTGGTGCTCTGGTGAATGAACCCTTAAAAAGAAGAACTGCTGGATGAACTCTTGGCGTCTTTTTGGATCAGCCAATTCATCTTTGCTGACTTCCTTGGTGCAAGTGGACACACACATGCTTTGCTTCACAACAGAAAACATGGTTTTGTTATTGCAAAAACATTACAGCTGTATTTCCCAATATGTCATGTCAACATGTCAAGACAACCTATCTTATCAAGAAGTAATTGTGAGCAATTTTCACATCCACAGGACGTACTCCAACCACGACTGACCAGCCACCATCTCACCCAGCAGGCGAGGAGAGAAAAGGCACAAAGGCTCTTTTGAAACTGCACACTGAGACTCAAGCCATCACTCTAGGCAATTTCAACCTGAACAATGAGGAAACCTCTCTGTCCAGTTAAAGGGCTGCCTTCATCTCCTTCAAAACATGCCCCTGTGCGCTGAGCTCCTGTTTGGACTTCCTTTGCACCTACTCCCTTCTGCTGGTTTAAAAGCCCCAGAATCATGACTACGCTAAAGAAACCATTCCTGACCCACAGTTTACTTGTTGTTCCCAGTCACAAGCTCTCTGATATCTTCTGGAAATCCAAAGACACACAGAGGCAAAAGCCAAGTTCATGTTTCTGATCCACCTGCTCCATATAAAAGAGAGGCTGGTGCTGCATCTCATTATATCAAAAAAGAGTATGTGGGTGAGGGGAAGCAACTCCTACTCACACTCTATTGCCTCAGCACTTTTTAATTACTGACCAGCTCTTACCAGAAATTAAATGGGTGGGAAACAAACGCCTGAAGCATCAGAATGTGGGGACAGTTTTGCTATCTACACCACACACCTCTTTTGATGCCGTTTTCTCACACACACAATATTTTAAGTATAAACTGGAGAGTCACCTTGGCTGCTGACAGGGGAGCAGAGTTGATCCATCCTATGATCTCTGTTGGGACTTCAGCTAACCCAGCCTCCTGTTTCTAATAGGGGCCAGCCAAACGCTTTCAGGAAACTTACCAGCCTGGCAGAAAGGCTGCAGACCTGCTCTGGGTTTTTGGGAGGTTTTTTGTTGTTGTTGTTGTTTGCTTGCTTTTTCCTCTTTAAGATCTGATAAGCATTCCCCTACTTTCACCAAAGAGGTGCTTGCAAAGAAGAAAAAACAGAGCAAAGCTATCATACTTCATCTCCTACCTTCACAAGTTTCCTCCAGAGGAACACCTTCCGAATACAAAGGCTCTGGAGAGCAATAACGGGTACGCAACTCAGGAATCTGCTGCGTGAAACTAGACTCTGCTTTACTCTCCTATGGACCTGGTGCAGTGGGTACAATCCTGACCAGCAGACCTAGAACTGAGGCATGTTTTGTCTGTTTGGTGGCAAAATGTTCAGATTTGTAAGAGCAACATCAAGTCCCGCCCCCACTGCTTGGGCCCACCTTGTGATCTTTCACCAAACCCACTGCGGGAATGTAGGGCAGGAAGCTTTCCACCCTAATGAACTTGCCTCCTAGTCCCTCCCAAAAAAAGACCATGGCTGGCCACATCCCTGTTTAATATGCCAAAAGGTCAGCTTTCCCTCCAAGAGTCCCACTAATTTGCTTTGGCAGGTGTGGCTGCAATATTTTCAGAACTTCTTAGTGCTCTACTACCTCATGCTGTTGCCTCATCATCTTCACCAGCTCAGTGTACTGGGCAGCTGTCTCTGAGGAGATGTTGGTTCCTCGGCGCTGCACGAGGGTGAAGTCCTCCTTATTCACAGGGGCCTGCGGCACCTGCAGAAAGACGGGGGTGGAGAGGGAAAGGATCCAAATTAGCTGCTCCCAGAAAAAGACATACATCATCTGCTTGCCTCCATCCACAAATGCGGGAGTCGCCACAGAAGGAGTGAAGAGAGCACCAGTCATAGGCTGTACTGCATTTAAAGATCACAGCATTTGGCTACTTTAATAATTACATAAAGGATGCCTACAACAAGGCATGTACAATTATTTTAAAACTAAACAGTAATATGATACAAATGGTCTAATACACAGCCCAAACAAAACAAAACAAAAACAAATATAAAAGCCAAAAATGATAGATGGAATCCTGTTGGTTAATTTATGCCAGTGTAAATATAGCAGTGTAAATCACAGTGGTAAATTGCCACTAATTAATGAGTCACCACTGGTACTTTCTCTGTGCACCAGTCACATGACTCAGCACAATGGCCGCTATGATTTACTCCACGGCACTTACATTCGTGGAACATAGCAAATATTCAACAGCCTTGTAGGCCAAACAGAGAAAAAGGAAGTCTTAGATTAGTGACAGAAAGAAATCAACCTTGTTTCAAATTATTATTATTTTTAGTGGGGGGAAGATTTACATAACTAGACGTCAAGACCCAGAACCAAGAAGGCCTTCTTTCTAGCAGCTTTTCTCTGAGGTTCAGAATAAATCAGGCCCTCAATTACTATAAAACTTCTGGGAAAATTCAGCCCTGGAACATGTGAATTTACAAAGAAGAAGGTCCTATTCTAAACTGAGCAGATCGGCTCAGGTGAGTATGAAGCCATCAACAGATTTCCCAGAGGACTGGGACTCACACAGATCAGATTGCTGTCACATTCTGCCATGGCTTGAGGATAACCTCAAATCTGCCACAAAGTAAGGATGCCTCTGGTTAGGGTTCCCTCTGCTCTGAGAAGATCGTTCTAAGCAACCAAAGCACCGACGCAGGTTCACATTGCAAGCTAGTTTCCAGTTAAATGTGTATGGAGGTCTGCAGAGAAAGAGAGAGGAAGAGGATATCTTACCTTAGTTATGTCAACTGGGAGCCCATTCTGTGATGCTTCAATCATGGGGTCCAGACCTTTAGCTTGGCGCAAGAACAGCTTAGCCCCCTCAATATCGTTTTGTTGCTTTGCACGGAGTGCAGCCTGCATCAGCTGCTTCTTCCGGTTTTCCAGGAAGGCCAGCTGCTGCTGAGCTGTGAGAAGAAACATAAGGACAGAGGAGCTCCATCGTAGCTGTTCTAGTCTCATGGAAACAGAAGAACACAAGCATTTCACATGCTTGAAGGATACAAAGCACACTCTTTGGTGTGTTTATTAGGGGGCAAGTGCACATGCACATACGTGAAACAGTCACTTTCTATGAGTCTGTTGGCAGCACAAAAGAACATTTGCTCAGGAGATAAGGCTCACTACAGAGTCTGCATTAGTCTTAGAACTAAGAAATTATTATCATTATTAATCCTTGCCAGATGTTGTGACCGACACATCAACACTTTTGTATCTCGTTTCCAAAAGCTGCCAGTACTAAATACAGTCGTGCTACAGCCCTCAAGAACTGGTATCTCTCCTTTTAAAACCAGCACCTGGTTCTCTTTGCCTGGGAGGTCTATAAACCTTTGTAGTACTCCTGGGGGAGTCAGTCACCTTTATAAGGTTCTGACAACCAGAAGTGGATGAGAATGGGTGCTAAACTACCTCAAGGAAGGCCCCAAATGGCCCAGGGATTCTAGCATAAAGAACTAGTGTACTAGCCACGTGGATCCCGCAACTGCTAAAAGGGATAACACAAGGGACCGATGCCTTTCCATGTGCTTGTGTGCTGGATGCTGGAGAGAGAGAGAGAAAGTGGGGGACCAGTTTCCATCAGAAAAGAACCTTAATTTGCTTATCTCAAGAGAATGAGCAAGGCATCTGTAAAACCTGGCTTGGTTTACTGATTAAGAACTCTTGCATGAGCTAGACAATGTTGTTCTGCTCAGTGAGAGCGAGAGTAGGTGAGAAAGTGGTGGTGGGAGAAGGCAAGAGAGAGAAAGAGAAACAGACAAACCAACTCTGCAATTTATCTGCTATTGTGGCTGTTCCACCTGCTGAGTTACAAGACCTGATGACTGAATCTGCTTATTCAACTCGCTCATCCCTCCCTCCTCCTTTCCCTTCCTTTCCTCAAACTACACTCACGGTCACAAAAGCAGCCAGGGAACAACAACAACAACAACAACAACAACAACAACAACAACAACAACAACAACAACAACAAAAAAGCAGAAGTACCTCTTGTGCTGACCTTTGCGGCACTTCTAGCAGATGCTGCTGACTTTGGAGCGGCAGGGGCCACAGCTCGTGAGCCTGGCTGGTGTGGCAGGTTGGGTTGGAGTGCGTTGACCGGTTTGGATGGTGTTGGGGAGGGTTCAGGCTGGGGGAGAAAAAAGCAGGCAAACCATCTACAAAAAAGTAAAAACCCCTCTACTGGAGCATTTAAGGGAGGGGGATCAAAAAGAAAAGAAAAAAAAAGCAAGCTTTCAGTAATAACTCTTTTTCTTCAGGCTGTGCATCAAGTTCTTCTGGTTAGTTCCAAAATTATATGCTTTTATTAAGTCTCGTGGCCATTGTTGGGGCCAGATTTAGATGGAAAGAGCTGCATGCAGTCTGGAAGAGGCCTGAGGGGAGAGGTGTGGCTTCAAACCCCTCCTTAGCCAGTATTTGGGAATTCATCACTATACACTGTTTTTTTGTTTTGCTTTGTTTTGTTTTATTTTCTCAATGGTCCAATAAAGGTCTCACCTGTTCCTGCATTTGTATCTATGAAAGTATTTCTGGATGGAGTACAAACACAATCAACCAGCTGTCCTCTACTTTTGGCTAGTGCTCTGCCTCAACGCCCAGACATCCGTGGTGGGGGAATCCTTTACTTAATGGACTCTTTTTTTTTCAGATACAAGCACAGGTGGCAACAACATCAAAATCTATGTCACCCTGTGTGTGTATGGTTGTGTTGCTTTTTTTAAATATATTGTAGCTATGCTTGGAGAGCCAGATGAAGCTGGTTAAAATAAATTTTTAAACAAAAGCAATAAACAGTGCTATTAGATTCTTCACACAGAGCAGAAACACCAATTTGTCTCAACAGCCTCGGTTGCTAGCTACTCCTGACTTACCCTCCATTCCAGAAACTATTCTGCCATTCCCTTTAAGAGACTATTTGTCACGATAGATGGATGTATTTACCCTTCTCCATTATCGGACACCTGGCCAGCTCATGGTAAGCTGCATGTTTTTCCACCAACGCCTTTAGGATCTTACAAACATACGTACCTTATTTGTCTCTTCAGCACCTTCTTCCTCCTCATTGGCCAGTTTCATGGCTGTTTCGAGGATCCCAGATAAGCTTTGATCTGCAGGTGAAGATTCCATTCCTTGGATGGGAGGGAAACCTGCCAAAAGATAACATTAAATCTAAAAAAGGTAGAACTGGTTTTCTTTTTCTTATGTCTCCTGGATTAGCATCTTAGCCCATCAGTTCATCCACTCCCTAGATGAATTCATGGCTCAGTCAGTCTCATGGCATCTTTCAGGCAGAGGTGCAGGTAAAATGCATGTGCAAACAGAACAAAAGGACAGAATTTGATAAGAAGTCAGCCAGCTTTCTGGGGAATGGCAGGATTTTGTAGCGCTTCTAACTACAATTATGGATTTGAAACTGTGGGCAATGCCCACCCAGCTCCCTGAAGCCAGCCACAATGTTGAACAAAATTTCATGTGGCCAGAGGAGGACCTACAGTTGCTCCCTCCACCCTTACAAACCAGCAAAAATACAGTCACCACAGGCAGCTGACGTGGGCTGTACAGCGTCTAGAAATGATTCCCCCTTCCAAAAAAAAAAAAAGACAGGCAGGCAGGCAGACACCGGAAGTACTCAGCCTGTCCATTTCAAATCTAAATGTACATGTTTTGTAGGCTTAGGAGACCCTCCTTAAAACAAAAAACAGCCACGCCTAGACACATCAAGAAGTAGAAAATGTTATTTTCAGGGGTTTTTTAAAATGTGTATATGTGTGGTTGAACTGGGGAACTGCACATGATCTACATTACAGGCTATACTTTGCCCACTCCTGTCCTCGAAGAATCACCTGTTTAAATTGTTATTTTGTGTTGACCTCATATGGTGCTACCACAAGATGTCAGCAATGACCACATGCCTTACCACCTCCCTGTCCAGCAAGAGGGTGCTTACATAGAGCAATGCCACTGGTTGATTGGGGCTATTACTTTATGCTATGTGAAATACTATAATCCTGGATTTCCTGATTGACAAGATCCCTTATTACAATGTTCAGCTTCAAGGGCGTATAAAAATATTTATAATCACTTTTCATTCACATAGAAGAACAAGTGACACTTCTAACCACCGTGTTTCCCCGAAAATAAGACAGGGTCTTATATTAATTTTTGTTCCAAAAATGCATTAGAACTTATTTTCAGGGGATGTTTTATTTTTTTCATGTACAACAATCTACATTTATTCAAATAGAGTCCTATCATCTTCTTCTGGTTGCTGCACAAGGGTGGAGGGTGGGGTTTCACTTAACTGGGGCTTTTTTGGGGGGGGTATTATGAGCATCCTGAAAAATCATACTAGGGCTCATTTTCAGGGAAACAGGGTAGTGTCCAGTGGGAACTGAAGTCTGGTCTGCACCTGTAGAAAAGTACGATGTGCCAATACTGACTGAACCATTCCAGCCTGCAGGTGGGAGAAATCACAATATCCAGTATCTTCAATAAGGAGAGCAGCAATGTAGTAGCACGTTTGTTCCTTTTTAACTGCAGGCACTGTGTTCTTTGGAGGAGCTGTCAGAAGGAGCACTGCCTGCCTGCAAGCCTAAAGTGGAACATCCTGCTTTACTACCGTCCTGAAAGTTAGTACAGTATCTCCTTTCAGCTGCTTATGTAGAGCAGACGGCGGCATACATCTCAACACACTCCCCAGAATCCTCTGTAACAGGCAGGGTTTTGGTGGTAAAGAGAGAAAAGGAGCCAGATGTGCCTGAAGGCAGAATGTTAGGAAACCTTTTTCCTAATTACAGATAATGGGAGTGGTGGTGGCATTGATGTGGGTGTGCCATTCCCAAGGTTGCTAAGCCACATGGGTGTTCTAGTGAGGGTAAACTCGCCTAGCATCCTGTGGCTGCTTCTGAGGGAAGGAGCTGCCATCATTCTCCCTCCTTCTCATTATCATAGAAAGCTTGGCATAGAAGCCTTTCCTTAGGCCAATAAGAGGGCTTGGTTAATTGCCTTTCTCCAGATCAACCCTAATGTGACCATTGTCCTATCTGGACCCTGTCTACTATCTGTAATGCTGTCACTACCTGGAAGCTTGTTGGGGGGAACTCAAAACAAGCCTGCTCCAAACAATCAGAATAAATGTGAAGAATAACATACCTGGGGGAACAGGTAGGTCAGCAAACTCAACAGGTTTCCCTGCCTTGTGAGCTCTGATGGCATCTTGATATTGCTGGTATTTGGATAAAGAAAAGAAAAGAAGGTAATTTGATAATATGGTCCCTATAAAACACTTTTTAGTAAGAATCCCACTTTTACGGGATTCTGAAATCCATAAAATTTCATCTCACAACTCCATCCCATTTTACATTTTAAATTTAAAAAGAGGAGCCAGAGAGGGCCAGCAGAAAAGACACAGGAGCTATCCCTCTGCTGTAGGTAGACAACGTCATCACGCAAAGAAGTCAGACAAAAGCCTGACATGAGACTCTGGATGGACTCAGAGATTTCAGAAGGATGATGTTATTTAAGTAAGACGATGCTATGTCCGTCATTTCTTTCCCTTCTGACAGGAAAGGAACTCAGCATCTGCAGATGCCTCAGCATCCAATTCTGCACAGATCTCTTAAGACATGAACACAGACCTGTAAGGTATAGACGTTTTCCACCAGTCTTTAATCACACACCCACTCCAAACATGTTCCTCTCGCATCTGGCCTCCTAGAGGTAAATGAAGCCTGGAAGCTTGTTGGGGGAAACTCAAAACAACCCTGCTCCAAACAATCGGAATAAATGTGAAGAATAACATACCTGGGGGAACAGGTAGGTCAGCAAACTCAACAGGTTTCCCTGCCTTGTGAGCTCTGATGGCATCTTGATATTGCTGGTATTTGGATAAAGAAAAGAAAAGAAGGTAATTTGATAATATGGTCCCTATAAAACACTTTTTAGTAAGAATCCCACTTTTACGGGATTCAGCACTGCTAAAAAAAGGTGTGTGTGTAAAAGCAACTCCGGGAGGCAGTGGAAGACAGGAGGGCCTGGCGTGCTCTGGTCCATGGGGTCACAAAGAGTCGGACACGACTAAACGACGACGATACATAATCAGGAACTTTATTTATTAAAGCAAGCCCATTTAATTATTACAATTATCTGTTTCTACAAGACTTTGCAGGACATAGTAAGCCTGCAAGGTGCCGTTTGAATTTTAATACCTTCATCTTCAAGTCAATTTTTAAAGACAGCTTTACTTACTAGAAACAACTCTCCACTTGCTTTGCAACCTATTGAGAAAGTTTAACCCACAGATGGTATTATGACAGAACTTGGAAGCGGTGTGGCCTACAGCCAGTGTTCTTAAATTCAGCTAGTTCTTAAAACTAAGTTAGAAAGAAGTATTTTGGCCCACCCTGCTTTTGCTTCACCAGACAATGTGAACAACGTGCCAATCTCATATCAGGAAAGAGTTTTCTGCCTCACAGTGCTCCCTAAAGATAGGAAAACAGGTTATAGCACAGAGTAGCCTTAAATCCCCCCCTGCTGAAGTACTGCAATCCTCTGACTAATTCCTTTCGGTATACAGGTGTGGATTTTTAAAATGTAAAAATCTGTCAGTTTTCCTCAAGAAGCATCTGTTCTGAGGAACACAATATCCTTCTGGCAATTCAGGCTAAAAAGACCCTTCCAAGAACTCAGCGGGAGGCTTATCTCTCCTTCCACGAAGAAGCATCACAAACGGGAAGGGTGGAAAGACATAGGAGAATCTATGGCTGTCGTGAGGGTAATTAATGAGATGTTGTCAGGGACAAATACTTCTCTGAAGAGGCAAACATTACACACTCAACATCAATGTTCAAAAATAAATGTCAAAACCTGGATATTAAATTTAACAACAGCATTACAACAGCTTCTGTGAACAATTTCAAAACCTGGATATTAAATTTAACAGCATTACAACAGCTTCTGTGAACAATATCTAATGAAATGAAAACCATGATAAAGGATTTCAGGACACAACACTCTTATGAGTCTAATCTGTCATGCCTCTCCATCACAGGGAAGCGAAAGGAAATCAGAACACATCCCAGCAATTTTAAATCCAGTCACACAGGGGCAAAAGTGAAAAAGATAGCTGGGCTCGTTCTTCTCAAACTATATCCTAATATCTACAGTACATATAATTCAAAAAGAGAAGCTAAGCAGTGAATGAACAGACAACAAAGACTTTCGACTTCCAAATGGGACACCGACCTTCACAATCCGTTCGTGCATTCTGGCCTTCCGGTCATCTCCCTTGCTCTTGGCCTGTGCAGCTGCTGCCTTGTACCGGTCCATCCTCTGCTGCAGGGCCTCCATCATGTCTCGAGGCGGAGGGGGCACATCTGGAAACAAAGGACCCATCACAATTCATGCATGGAGCACGATGCCTTAGAAGGAACCTGGAAACATCAGCAGGAAGGGGGTGGGGGTGGGGATGGCCTATCTTGAACAAGCGCGATACTTTTACCTGCATCCTCCCTTTAATATTGCAGGCAGTCACATGGACAAGTATTACTTATATTCCTGAGGTGGCAAGCCTCGGCTTGGGCTGTGCTATTTCACACTGCCGGTTGGGGCTCGTGTCTGTGAAGGTGTTTTCTTAAGGGAAAAAACAACTGAAAACTAGATAGCAGGGAGAAGGCTACTTCTTCCCAGTATTCTACACAAGAAGCCCAGTTTTTCTTTGGGTACCTTTCGATCAAGAAGCCCCTCCTGCCCACTGGTCCTCTTCCTAGCAGTTTTGGCTCAAGACAGGGTATTTGTGTAACATCACCCTAAACAATCACGTGCTATCAAGTCAATTCCGACTTATGGCAACGGCTTTTAGGATTTCCTAGGAAGAGAATACTCAGAAGTTGATTATCATTCCCTTCTTCTGGGGATGCCCTGGGACGGTGTGCAGCTTGCTCAAGGCCACGCAGGCTGCCTCTACTCATAGGAAGCACTGTGGGGAATCAAACTCCCAACCTCTGGCTCCGCAGCCAGACGCCTAAACCATTAAAAGGAGATGTAATTGACCAACCCACACTTTCCCATACCCCCCCTCTCCCATACAGATCAGTTGGTGGTGCTGTTCTTTTGTGACCGCCAGTTTCTAACATCTGATCCCCCTTTTTGGTAATTTTATAACACATACTTCTTACACATGAGGATTACGTTTTTATGCTGTATGCTCCTCTGAGTTGACTTGTAAAAAATATGAAGATTATATGCATGTACGCGTTTGTGAGCAATTAATCTGGGTTTACAGCTGAATCCAAGTTTACTAACTCAAGCAAGAAGGCTTTTAGGCCCAGACTTGATCCCAAAGAGAAGTTTCTTTCTGTCAGAAAGTCAGCAAAGCATGGAAGAGAAAGGATAGAGCAGCACACATGCGGCCACACGAGACAGCTGAGAAGGCTATCAACTGATCGGCAGGGTCCTGTGCCTCTGGTGCAGTAACCTCAGAGCACAAGGCAAAAGAAAGAGAGCATCCTTCTGGCCTCCTACCTCCTGGGCTTGGGACAGTCGGTGCCGGGGGGGTCACAGCCTGTGAAGGAGGAGGTGTGGCTGTCGACGCAGGGGGCTGTTGCGCACTGGAGGACAACATCTCCTTGGACAACTGATCTGTGGGCGACAGACAACTGGGCTGAAGGTCCGTTCACAAGACTAGCCAATCTTTCTCTATTAAAACCTGCTCCCCCCCCCATCAATTTGAAAATGTCAAGGGGGACATCTATAATCTTAAATTTTCTACACACACGCCCTATTAAGACCCATGACATGATTAGGCCACATTTTCAGTCTGCTGTGCCTTTGTTCCAACTGCAGTGGCCCTGGGCAGTTGTCACTGGCTTTCCTGGGTGGGGATGAGGGGAGCTGTAGCCTAATGCCTGTGGAGGGCACCAGGTTGGGTAGTTGAGCCAAACTGTTACTGTATAATCCTAGATGAATGCCAACATGACGTCACCTTTCATGCTGGCCTTGTGAGTAGGATGGCATAAGATTGTGGCAACACAACCTTAACCAAAAATAAAAAATAAAAAAAATGCCCTCTTGAATTAAATAAAACATACTCCTGTTAAAGTGTACACATGACTACAGTCTTAAGATCTTCAGAAGGCTCCCTGAAGACAGGCAAGAGCAACTGCAGGGGAAAGATCCTCCTGATGTTGGACTACAACTACCATCAACCTGAGCCAACACTATCAATAACGAGGGACCATGGGAACTGCAGCCCAACATCTAGAGGGTGCCACACTCCCCACCCCTGCCTCTGTCAGCTTCCTCTCCTACGTGGTTATGGGTTATCTTGAACAGAACCAACTGTGACTCAGCAACTGTTCCAGACTTAGGGTTCCATATATATACTCTAAAGACATAATTGAAAACCTCTATCGCTTTTTGAGTAGAAATAGGACTGGGCTACACCATCTCAGCTCAGTGATTCCCTATTGAAATACTGAACAACAGACCAGAGCCCCACTTCCAGAATCATGGCAATACCTTTTGCCTTTTTTTGTGCATAAGTTCAATCCAACCTACTATTTTTGCAAAGTTGCGCATATATTCTGTGGTTTACTCACTGGCAAGACCCTAGGCATATGCAGCCAAGTTCCCATTCTCACCTGGAGGTGGAGGCAGACTGCTGAGATCAACAGTCTCTCCTTTACCCACGGAGATCAAAACAGGATCAAACGTCTGAAAAAAGTTAAAATGATTGTTAGCTCGCTCTTCTCTAACATTTCAGCTAAGAGTCCTAAGATGATTTAAAGCAAAAACCAGCTTTTCCTTACAGCTGAAGCCCCTGAGGCCCCAGGACAGTACTGAGATTTCAAGACAGATGGCATTACGGAAAAGGCTTCTCCTTCAACTATTCTATAACACTTGTAATTTGGCATCAGTTGATTGTTCTTGCCACTTTGCCACCTATTACAGTCTGCCCCGCTTTACGATTGCCCCGCATACGACAAATCTGCTTCATGACGACGTTTTTGCGATTGCTTTTGCGATCCCTTGTCACTTTGCCACCTATTACAGTCTGCCCCACTTTACGATTACCCCGCATTACGACGAATCTGCTTCACAACATTTTTTCGATCGCTTTTGCGATCGTAAAACGATGGTCTAAATAGGGTTTTTTTGCTTTGCGATGATCGGTTCCCTGCTTTGGGAACCGATTCTTTGCAAAACGATTTTTTTAACAGCTGATCGGCGGTTTCAAAATGGCCACCGGGTAATTAAAATGGCTCCCCGCTGTGTTTAGGGACGGATTCCTTGCTATACAGGCACCGAAAATGGCTGCCGTATGGAGGATCTTCACTGGACTGTGAGTTTTTAGCCCACTGGAATGCATTGAACGGTTTTCAATGCATTTCAATTGGCTTTTTATTTTCGCTTTACGACGTTTTTGCTTAACAGCGATTTTCCTGGAACGGATTATCGCCATTAAGCGAGGCACCACTGTATAAGTTTAACTGCCAGCTTTTCTATGAAGTGGACTGTGACGTTTTTCGGTATTTCTACTACTAGCTCTGAAAGACGCTCCAAATAAAGGCAATGGAGAGTTCAGTGAGTGTCTGCCACTCTGTTGAACAACAACACATTTTCAAACCCTCTTACAATTCTCATTTAAATATAAGTTAAATAAATAAATTAATCCGACATTCCTTGAGGTAAAACCTGAGACTACCACACCTTAAGCTGACACCTCAAGTTTGTGGTCCTTTTTTCTCTTGCTGCAGGACCACACCTACCTTGGCTACACGGTAATATTTAGTCGCCATTTCAATGTTGCCTTCTTGCTTAGCACGCAGGGCCGCCAGCTTGTATGCCCGCTGTCTCGCTTGCAGAACTGCCTCAGTATTGGAGCTTCGGGGAGCTGAAGAGAAGCAGAGAAGACAATCACGATTTTGCACCTCCCCATCAAAGAGATCTGGGATCCCAGGAGATGTTCGAAATCCTTTCCCTCCCATGTAAATAGAAGGCCATCATAGCACATCATAAACTGTTTCTGAATGTCTCCTTCCATTTCAAAAACAATTTGCCATAAGGAGATGTGGTTGGAGGAACACAGTGAACCATAAAGTTCAAATGTTCTTTGGATCTCTGCCCTTAGGTCTGAGATGCTGATTTCTCAAGCAGAGGCTTCAAGATAAAACCAAGCCTGATGGGATGGATTTTGGTTGGTTTTCATTTTATTTATTTATTTAACTTATATTTAAACGAGAAATGTAAGAGGGTTTGAAAATGTGTCGTTGTTCTGACTTCTTTACAGAGTCTACTCTGCTAAGAAGTCGCCAGGCACAATAATAATGCATATTCACAGTCTAAACTGGAATAGGCACAATAATACCATATAATCATTAAACCCAAAGATATGTCTGCAATTGATCGTATAACAATAGCATGGTTTGTTGCAATTATTTATGTACTCTGAAATGCTTTGTTAACAGATTTTTTTTCACATAGCTCATTAAGAAGAAACTTTTTCCAAAAATGTTAGGCGTTACAAATAACTCAGGCACTTTGAGTTTTGAATATTCTTTTTAGCTCAAGTGTGTGGTGTTTTGAATTACAGTTCTCCTCAACTCTAGCCAACATCATTAATACCAAGGGATGATGGCAATTTTAGTCCAGTAGGCATATTCTTAGGGAAGGCTGCTCTATTCAGTACACTGTCTGTCTCAGCAGATATAGGCAACCATAGCCTTCCGGATGTTTTCAGCCCATCATCCCCCATCAGTGACTATGGTGCCTATGACTGGTGAGAGCTGCAGTCCAACAGCATCTGGGGAGCCGCAGATTTAACTTTGACGGCTGAGCAAGTCACATTCCCAATTCTCAACCAACCCACTTCTTTAGATCTTTTGGAGCTGTCCTTTTGAGTTCAGTACTCACCCAAAGGAGAAGAAGACGGTGAAGGAGGCGATTCGTCTGGCGGTGCCTCTGGGGACGCAACAGGAACAGGAGGGGCTGGAGAAGTCTTTGGCTTTGGAAGTACTGGCGGTGGTTGTTTGGGGGGCAGATCGGAGACAGGCGGTGATTTAGAAGGTGGTTGCTCAGGAGCTTCAGAAGGTGACTCTGGGGGAAGGTGGTTGGACAGAGGGGCATTTTCTTCAGGTGTGGAGGCCTCTGACGGAGAGGCAGCCTCCAAAGGAGAGGCCTGCTGGGAAGGCCTGCTCTTCCCGGTTGCTACCGGTGGTGGAATGTCACCGTCATCAATCTTTTTGCCCTTCTTTACAGAAGTCAACAAATTTTCCAGAGTCTGGAAAACAGGGAGAAGAAGCTTTATATGGTAAAAGCACATTTCAAAACCTTAACACAAGCTGATCTATGGTATATGCCTCTAAAGTAAACCTGCGGTGGGATTTGTGGGATTCACATCCTTCAACTATACAGAGAAGTTTCTCCTCATTTTTTATTAGATGCATCAATATTACCCCTTTCCTACGAGAAGCTGAAGGTGTTTGTGCATGACTCTTCTCCCTGCTGAGTCATCACAACAATCCTGTGAGGTAGGTCAAGCTGAGGGAGAATAACTGACCCACAGTCACCCAGGGAGTTCATGGCTCATTGACAACTTCGACCTCAAGCCTCCCAAGTCCCAGTGAAAGATGCTGATCACTCTACCTTTCAGGTGTTCTGTTTCCCTCAGAGATATTACTGGGATGACATAGTGTGCAGCCAGCTAGAAAGAGCGCCCAGCCCTCTGCCACATGCTGAGCACCTCTCCAATTAGAAGTAAGAACAATACATGTGAGGGGGAATCCCACTGTTATCTCCCATGAGGGAACAGACATTATATCACAGTTCTCCAGCAGGCTGCTAGCGGTTTTCTTCTGAACAGGAAAAGTAAGCAGTACATGGATGAATCTTTCCATTTCAGGGGTGGAGCTTCCCCAGAGCCTGGGCAGGCAAGACTAAGCCTGTGAACTAAAGGTTAACCCCCCAGTGTACAGGATCCCCCTCTCCTCCACTGCATCCACATAATAACCCTGTAAGGTAGGCCAGAGAGCATGAGGATGACTGGCCCAAGCTTATTCAATGAGCTTGATAACTGAATGAAGAACTAAACCTGCACGTGTCCGGTCATCCTCCAACTGTTTAACTAGGAGTGGCTCGTAAGCCAATATTTCAGAGGAGGGGGACCTCCCTGCAACACTCACAAGCTTCCTAGGAGCCTATCTGCCACATTGTAGGCGCTCTTACATATCACCATTGAAGATAAATGCACATGAAACAGAAATTTAGCCAGGCCACGCAAGGCTAGTCTACATCTTAAAATCTTGACCAGGACATTCGGATCCCCTGCGACCCCACCACCAAGCCAGTACATTGGACCCTCTACTTACGGAATTAATCCGTATTGGAATGGTGTCTGCAAGTCGAAAAGTCTGTAAGTCGAATCTCCATTGACCTACAATGCATTGAAAACCGATTAATCCCATAACCGGTGGTTTTTATTCTATTTTTGTTCCATTTTGGGTTTTTTCTGGTCTGTAAGTCGATTCTCCGGCTGCAAGTCGAATCTAAATTTTGCAGCCAGAGAAGTCTGTAACTCGAAAAGTCTGTAAGTCGAGCTGTCTGTAAGTCGAGGGTCCACTGTACTGTCTGCGGGGCCAGGTACACACGAGGCCCACTATGCTCTGAAGGGGGAAACAGTAATTAAGGTGCTGAACGGAGGATCTCAAAGGAGCGACCCCACCACCAAGCCAGTACTATCCGCGGGGCCAGGTACACACGAGACCCACTGCTCTGAAGGAGGAAACAGTGATTAAGGTGCTGAACGGAGGATCTCAAAGGCCTGCTCCTGCAGTCAGGGCATCCCAGCGCTTCTCAAAAGGAAGAATTCAGAAAGCCCATTCCCATTGATCTGTAAAGCAGGTTTCTAATCATATTTAACAATGCATCTGATGGCCACCTCCTTAGAAAATGATGCCCCAGTGCCGATGTCACAGCTTACCTTGAGGCCCCTCTCATAGCGGCGCACTTTGGAGCTTTCCCCAGCTTGTTTTGCATTAGCCACGGCGGTTTTGTACATGGCGAGTCGTTCTTCCAAGAGGGATTCCATCCCGCTGGAACCAGCTGAGCCATCCTTTGTCTGGGGAAGCACAGAACAGGCTCCTCTTTGGTGAAAATACAAAACACCGCCCCAACTTCTGCTCTGTAGAGGATTGTCTTGGCTAAAATGAATATTTGAGCCCTGGCCCAACAGTTCAAGATGCAGAACAGGAAACTGCCTACTTTCCTCTGATCGATGGATAGAGTACACACACATACAGACATGAAACAGCTGAAAAGGTTAACTCCAACTATCTATGTTCCTGCAGCCGCTTCTGAGTAGGACTAGCCAATAAAGCAATTGGTTGGAGTTGGGACTGTTTCAGAAAAGTAAAAGGAATCATATTCACAAACAAAACCAGAAACCACAACGAAAGCTCTGCTTTTCTGCTATCACTATCATACTAATTATGAACCTCCTTTACCTGGGCACTATGCACATTACTGCATGGGCAGGAATGACATACTTGGGACTCTCTCAATTACTGTATAAATGCTAACCAATTATAAATGTTAATCATTCACGTTTACATCAAAAGTGGGACACCTCTTGCAGCCGAGATCAATTTCAGAAAAACTCCTGGAGCCTACATGAGAAGGGGTCAATAGCAAGGGCTCAATAGCAAGAGAGGTGACCAATATTAACAGCATATTTTTACTTAAAAGATTTTACAGCTGGTACTTAAGCCTTGAGATAAGCTTTTCAACCTTTCAGATGCCAAAAGCATACAATGGCTGGGAACCCACCAAATAATGGCTAAATGGGGCAGATGGTTGGCCATCTAGGGAGTCTTAGGACTGAGACCCCATGATTCAGCCCCAACAGCTGAGGTTCTCCATCCCAGCAGAATATTTTTACTTAAAAGATTTTACAGCTGGTACTTAAGCCTTGAGATAAGCTTTTCAACCTTTCAGATGCAAAAAGCATACAATGGCTGGGAACCCACCAAATAATGGCTAAATGGGGCAGATGGTTGGCCATCTAGGGAGTCTTAGGACTGAGACCCCATGATTCAGCCCCAACAGCTGAGGTTCTCCATCCCAGATATTTTCAAGCAACAGCTCATGCTATCTTTGATCGCTGGCCATGATGGCTGAGCTTGGTGGAAGTTAAGTATTAAAGAGCATCGAGCAAGCCATAGGTTGCACATCCCTCATCAAGGATGAGTTCATGACCAAGGCAAAACTTGAACTGGTGCCTTCTCATGTCACAGTTTCCACTCTTAGCCAACAGATCGCTTTCAGTTTCTATGTTATGTACTGACAGCACTCAAAGAGCTCAAACAAGAAAAGCTTTCTAATTTTAACTACCTTCTGCTCTCCGGCATTGCCACTTAGGGCTAGTGACACATTTGCAAGATGCAGGGGATCACATAGGTATAGGTCACAGGGACGATAAAGAAAACTCCTTCCCACCCAACACTAAGATCTACTGCAACCGGGGTGTGTGTGTGTGAGAGAGAGAGTGGTCACCAAGAAGTCAAGGGCAAGGAAACCGTGCTGTACCTTTGCAGCATCAAGTACCGGGACATCTTTCACCTCCACATCTTCCTCAAGTACTTCGTGAAGTTCAGCCTATGCAGGCAGAAACAATGTATATACATATTTTAATGTTCATGCTTTAAATCTATGCCACAGAGCATGGTTATTTTCTATTCTCTGTCCATTTCTTGCTTCTCTCCTATACTGGACTGGCCTCTCCTGCACTTATAATCCCAATCCAAACCAAAACAGCTCGTACACTTCTACAAGGGAAGTGCCTTTTCCTCTTACTCATATATAGAGGATTTCTACCAATCCCCTCCATCAGCATCGAGAAGCTTCCTGCTCTCTTGTTACTACATTCTCTTCTGCTAGAAAACTTTCTCCCTTTGGAAAATGTCCTTCCCAGATCAGGGCTTGGAAAAATTAGTGGCCATACTGTGGCTAGGGGAGTCTGGGAGCTATCATTTAAAAACTTAGTATTTCCAACAGTCCCACCACTGCCACTGATCCATCCCTTCTTTACCCCTCTGCACCATCATCAGTCTCCAAACTCCTATCTCACGCCCCAGTCTCATAGCAAGTATAAGCCTTTGGGGCAAAGACTGCATCACATCTTGTGCTCTGTACAGCACCGAAGCACATTGTGACTGCTAAATAAATTTCATGGGAGGAGAATACAGTCATGAATGCTACCAGAGGTGTGTAAGGATTGTTGGGTTTTGTTTTTTTTTTGTTCATCATCATCTTCCAAATCATCTTCTTCCTCCCCATCCTCTTCATCAGAATCCTTCATGCAGAAAGCAGCCATTCTCTCAATAGCTTCCATTGGCAAAGGAGCTGGAGAGAAGAGGCAATCCAGAGGGTATTGTCAGGTCTCACAAAAACAGCTCCAGATCACTCTAAAGCAGTGGTACCCAACTATTTTGATACTGTGGACCAGTTGGGGAGGAACGGGGTCTGTGCGCAGGGGAAGGGGCACCCTCACATGCATAGGGCCTACACTCACTCGTGCAGATGTGTGGGCACTCACATGCATGCGTGAAGGGGCTGCGCTCGCTCACGCAGACGTGCAAGCACTCGCGCACAGGTGCAAAGGTGCTCGCACAGCATACGCACACACTTGCACAGCATGTGCTAAGGATGCTTGCAGGGGGCACGCACTCACTCATGTGCATGCACAAAGGGGCTGTGCAGGTGGGCGTGCGGTGGGAGTGCATGTGGGCCCCCGGAAGATCTGTCTCCACAGCCCGGTCTGGTCAAGGCTACGGACCAGGGGCTGGGGATCCCTGCTCTAATGGGACCCCAAGATACAGGGTCAAGATATGGCAACATATGGTCACACTTGGCAAAAAAAGGAATATCTGAATCAAAAAAATTACATGGGACCAAGATCAGTTCTTTGAATGGGTTTGTGTCTCCAAAGACGTATATTTGTTAACAAATGCCCTGTTTTCTAACTCTGACTGAAGTTACTTCAAACTTGGAACTTTTTTTAACCCCAGCGTAATATAACATTGCATGTTTTTTAGAACACCTATTAAAATATCCAAGATTCCTTGCAAGTACTTCTCTACATGACGGTCACCCTTTTAGAGCACCAATCCTAATAACTATTCCTCCGGAACTTTTTGTGGACAAAGTGAAACCCTTACCTGCTCTCTGAAAGTGCACACTTTCAGAACTGGGGATTATTCACCTTCCACTGCCTTAACACAAATCTGTTCCAATTACCTTTGATAATTAAAATTAACAGCCAATCTTCTTTACTTCTTTACTTGTTTGGAAAATGAAGCAAGTGACTGGGCGAGACAGCTACAAAGATCTTTGGGCCAGTAGAAGTCCACCCCCATTTCATTCCACAAGTCTTTTAAATCATTTTCCTAAGCAATAACCAGCCACACAAAAGCCTAGAAGCTACTTACTTTTTCCATTTGGTTTTTTTCTCATGTCTGGTTGGCCTCCAACAAGGGCCAGGAGCTCAGCCTCTAATTCATGATCATCTTCCCCATCATTGACCATCACACCATCAGGAGACAAATCCACCAACAAGCCAATCTAGAGGGAACAAGATAAAACTCAGCTATAAAAAACTGCTACTGATTTCTCCATGAACATTTTTAGCTCTTGTTTTATACATGCTATTGTGATGCCAAACTTAATGTACCATGTGTGTTCTTAGGAAATGTATTGCCTATTCGGAAGCAAACTGTCAATCAGAAATCACCGCCCAGATTTAGAACTTGTAATTACAGATGCAAATGTGATCCTGAAGCTTCAGGAGGGGCTTCTCCCATATGTGGTTCTTTCCATAGTCTGTTCAACATCTCACATCCTTGATTCCATGTCTTCAACAAAGCAAAGAAGGGTTGATAGATGTCCAGTTGGTGGTGATGCTGATTATCTGAAATGCCTAAGAAGAACTCCGGGTACCACTTCTAGATACTTTCATGCACCAACCGCAAACTTCTTTCCTAAACAAGGGCTTGAGGCTCAGCTGATTTACCTCATTAGAAAAAAGATCAACTGTGCTGCTGATTCATTTGCATTCTGTACTATTCCTTTTGGGAGGTGTTACTATTTCATTTGCTGTTTTGCCACTGATGTACTTCACTGAATGTTTTATTGTTTCGGAGTCTGTTTACTGGAAACCACTTTCAAAAATCCATGATGTTATCAAGATTTCATTTCATTTTTACAAGCCCTTGTGACCCTGATTTCCAAAACTTTAAATCATCGCTTTCTTGGATTACAGCTCCCAGAATTTCCCAACCAATGTGGCAAACTTCAGGAATATTCAGAGTCACAGTCCAAAAAATGTAACTGTTCTAAGCTATGGGATGCCCAACCGATAGTCACAGCTTTCAAAGAAGACAGTTGGGGAGAACACTTTTAAGAATGCAAGGTGGCTTACATCAATTCAAAACACAGTATTTAAACCTAAAAACAGTAGCTATATAAATACTTAAAAGGGTCAAATAAATACCACACTAAAACACGATAAACAAAAGCAATACCAAAAACATATTCAAAGCAGCAAGGCACAACCATCCATTTAAGAACCCCACTTCAGGCAGCCAGTGCTGAGGGAAAGCTTGCCTGAAAAGGAAGTTCTTTGCCTGCTTGTGGAAAGACAGCAAAGATGGGGCCAGCCTGGACTCTTGTGGGAGGGAGTTCCAGAGTCAGGGAGCAGCGATAGACAAGATCTACTCCCATGTAGTTTACTGAAGCAAGAAAACTACAAACACGGTGAGGTTGAGTCCTTCAGGACTCTTCTCAGGAGTAGGTATAAAGATGTAAAGGGGCAGCTGAGGAAGAAACAAGTGACTATATTGTGCTGAAAAGCAGACTGGCAAACCAAGATAAAAATTGCAGATGCAACACAGAAGAAAGGTGTGGATATGTAATCTTAAGGTCTTTTCCTCCTCACACAGGCAAAATCTCCTTGTTCATTATTTACACTCCAAAACTATCTGAGAAGTACAGAATGTCATGTTTACAGAACACTGGGTACAACTTCCCTTTTTTGTAACTGATACTTACATTCAACAAGGGCAAGCTGATATCCAAATTTTGTGAACCAAGCCCAATAACATTTTAATTCTGCTAGCCAGGAACGCAATACCTTAGGCTCGTTCTCTTCCAGCAGGGCTTGTTTGCTCACCCTCAGAGCTTAGAAATACTACTGCTCTGAACAACTCCCCAAATGGCCAGGCTGGCTGATGAATTCTGCAAGTTGTGCTCCAAAAATGTCATGTTTCTAAGCTCTGAGCCCCAGATACTGTAATTCACCAGAAAACAGCCTTCAGAAATGTCCCCAGGGAATCTCATGCAACACTACACACATGAAGAAAGTTCTGTACCACACCCATAGCTAACAACTACCACCCATTATTATGTGCATGATGGTTTCACTAGTTTCACACACTGGAATATAAAAGGATATACTGCTATTGGCTTACAGTAGTCTATGGAACTTTGCTAGATGTTGCAAAAGCTGTTTTATTAACATCTTAAAGTATTGTGTCAGATTACATATGGCTAAACTGTAGAACACATGCCACAAAGTTCACAATAGCAGGAGGAAGCATTCTTCCTAGATGTAACTAGGATGGCCTCTGCTGGCCATAGCATGTGGTCAGACCTATGCTTGTTTCTTGTCTTCAACACTCTATTGCTACCTGCCTCTGAATTCTGCAGACATAATGCATACAAACCACATGCACATGTAAGTACTCTAGAGTCACACTGTCTCATTTTTCAACCTTGAGCATGACATTCTTTACTGCTTTAATCCACTGGTTCTTAATCTTGGGTTACTCAGGAGTTTTGGACTGCAACTCCCAGAAGCCTTCACCACCAGCTGTCCTGACTGGGGTTTCTGGGAGTTGCAGTTCAAAAACATCCGAGTAACAAAGGTTAAGAACCACTGCTTTAATCTACTGAGAACAGCTACAGAGTTGCTATCGAAAGAACATGAATGACTTCTAGAAATTCTGACCCATCATGGAGAATTCTCAGTCATAGTCCTAAAATTCCAAATTCTCAAAGAGAAACAGAATCACAATACAGTATATATGTGTAGAGTAAGAATCTAGAGAAGAACTGAGTAAGATTTGAGAAAGATTTCCTTCATCGAGTTCATCTAGATGCACCAACTCTCCCTCCTTAGAGCTTGAGATGTTACTTTTCCATGAACAACATAGACTATAGCTTTTCAAAATTTTATTTCAAAGTAAATTTTAACAAGCAGAGTTTTTACATGTTACAGTACAACATATGATTTTAAGACTACAGTTCCAAGAGCTGCAACAATTAACTAGGATGAGAAATTTACCCACAGGATTTAAAATTCTGTCACTCTTCTTGAATCTTCCTACAGGGCTTCCTATAGCAGACATTTTAACCTATAGCTGTAAGCCAGGAGGGAAGGTATCTGTTTCCTGCACACAGTCAGCATTACTTTACAGCAATTGGGACAGCAACCTTCAGAGGCCTAGGGGTTCTTGACCGAAGTCACTGATAAGAGAGAATGTCACATGAGGAAAAAGTAGAAAAGGTGTATCAGAACTCACCTGTCTAGGTGTGGCATTCACATTGCCTTTGCCTCCCCGAGGAGGTGGCGGTGGCAGCTTTTTGTTCCTATTCATTTCTTTTTAGTCTATTCTCAGTCAGTGCAAAATAGCATCAGTCCAGATGGAGCTGAGGATTTCAATGGGATAAATCAGACTTTGTCTCTGTCTCTCTCATTTCAGTTATCCGCATTATCTCCCTTTCCTGCTGTCTACTACCCAGCCCCCACTTCTTCTTCAAAGCAGCTCCACAGGCCAGGAGGCAGTTTATGAGTTCAGTTAACACACATACAAAATAAAGACATGTTACCAAATCCAAATCCACCCCACTTTTTTTCCACCATGCTCAAGGGGCTGGCTCTCAGGCTTAGATCTAAGCTAATAAGGACAGTGATTAATGCTCCCAGATTGCAGTCCAATCTTCCAAAGAAAGGCCTATAATACTAACCTTCTCTTACCGCCGCCGCCAAAAAAAAAAAAATCCCTTGTAACTCCACTCCCAATTATAATCTTAAAAACAGTATTGGGAATTGCAGTACACAGTGTTTTGAGTCTTCAACCACTTCCGGTGTTATCCTTAACCACAGTCCATAACAAAAAGCGTGCAAACGAGGTCAGCATCATTATATTCCTATTACAGATGAGAAACTGAGGCTTCTCATTAGACGACCTCGCGAGTAGCCCAGGCAACAACACGTCAATCAGGAAAGACCCCCATGGATCTCGCCCTGAGCTTTCCATTATCTCCTGTGGGTCCTATTCCTACACAGGACTCCATGCCTGGACTAGGGACGACGCCCCCTGGTTCAAAGCTTTCCCGCGCGAACCTCAATCCCCACCTGATTCTCCCCTCCCCCCCTCCGTAACACGAGGCTAATCCTGCCAACGACTTCACAAGGTTTGCTGTACAGGTTGTAAGACCCCCCTCAGGGCGCCCTTGACTTCGAAGACCCACGTTTTCGGTCTCGCATCCTCCATAGCCCGCCAGTCCCTTCCCTCTGTCGTCCAAGCACTTCTCTAGCCACCTTCTCATCCCACCGCCCCACACAAACAGATGCCCCTCCATCATCACCCCCTTTCTCTCCAATTATAGACACTCACTTCCTTCTTCTCCTTTGGCCGCTGTAAACAACGCTGCCTTGCTTTACGGCTCCGTCGCGCGCGAGAAAGCGAGTCGCCACCGCGTTCCCGTCGACCTCGCGTTACGGCGATCTGTTGCTTCAGCTTTCTATAGAGAGAGCAAAGAGGTCTGTCCCTACATGACGACAGAGGGCGAGATGCTTGAACAGTACAGTGTCATCGAAGCGACCAACATGAACTTGACCCAACTCCGGGAGGCAGTGGAAGACAGGAGGGCCTGGCGGGTGCTCTGGTCCATGGGGTCACGAAGAGTCGGACACGAGTAAACGACTAAAACAACAACAACTGTCCCTACATTGTAAACTCTCGTGACAAGAACGTTGAAACTGCCCATCTCGGTGAAATCGAGGGTCGATAACGTTGCTATCCAATGGGGTGTAGTGGATAGAGGGATTGGGGTTCAGGAGGGCAGGGTTTGAATCCCCACTCCGCCATGGAAGCTCCCGGGGTGTGTGGAACTCATAAAGCCCTATTAGGGATAGTATCGGTCGATTCCGAATTGACCGCACATAACAAAAAAAAAGTTTGATTTACTCTAAGTTTTACTAAATTAGCCCACAGTTCTTCAGTTATTCAAAATATCACCGGAAGTCAGGGGTTGTGCGGCATCTCTATCACAGTTTCTAGTTCTATATATCTGTCGATCGAGGTTGGGAGGGGCGGGGGAACGTTCTCCGAGAAAGGGAAAGAACCCTTAGAAGGCCGAGTGGGTGGAGCTACGTTTAGAGATGGGAGGGGCCTGTATGTGTGCCGAGTGGGTGGAGCTAAATGAATCCGAAGGGGGCAGAGGCGTGTTGCTGGGTCGATGCGACTCAGCTCGAGCCGGTCTAAGAGCTGGGGGTGGGAGGAGGCGGAGTGACAGGGGCTGGGTTAAAATTGGCGGGAAAAGCCGTTGAGGTGGGGCGCAACGCTGTTGTAATTACCAAAAGCATGTGTCCCCTGAGTTTCCTCTTTTAACATATACTAATTTAAGCTTTTTTCGAGCCACTTGCAGAGAGCGAGGTGGCGGAACTTGCAGTTTGTTTCACCTTAGCGGAAGGTATTAACACAGCTGACCGTTTGCTCTCTCTCCCCTTTACACAACAAAACATTTAATTCTCTCAAGCGAAACCCAAAGAAACAAAACAATTTTTTAAAAAGTCAAAAACATGTGGCGCCTTAAAGATTAACCATTATGTTTTAATGTAAGCTTTCCTGAACATGTCCGTCTGGTCAGATATACAGTACTTGCATAGACTAACACGGCTACCTCTTCTGGACATGTCCGTCTGGTCAGATATACTTGCATAGACTAACACGGCTACCTCTTCCAAAACTTATTTCTTAAGTAGACCAAGCAGTAAGGAGGGGGGGAAATTACGAGGGTCCGTTTATTCCTTTTACTCCATAGGTGTAAAGCCAAACCGCACGTTAAAGACCATTACACTAATTTATTTTAAATATGTTGACAGCTTTATTTACGTGTCCCGCTTAAGCAAACAAATCTGTCAGGTTATAAAAACTAAATGGGAAACGCTTTCTTTAAAAAACACAGCCGCTCTTGTATGTGAGGATGCCTCTTTCCCTTGAGAAGACAATCCTCAGTCTAAAAGCAAAAAAGGGATACCTAGTATTTCGCCTATAATATGTAAATAATCTGGGATGGTTATAGGAGATTTTAGGTATGAAAATAGAGCAGGACTTCTCCAGTGCAGTAGTCCAATTCTGATCCCGTCTTTCCACATACTGCTATCACTAAAGGAAGTTATTACCTACCGTACGTTTTACTTTCTAATAGATCAAGCACTAACCCCAAAACATTTTGCCTGCAAGCATATAGTGAGGAATTTTTCTGAAATATGATAAGTGAGGCTTCCTTCAGAGGAAGTATGCATAGGCTTGGATTGTATATTTAGCAGAGACTAAATCCAACAAGGAGCTTTAAAAATGGCCAACTAGCCCCACTGTTCCTATTTAGAATACACACAGTCCACTCCTGCAACAGGTGTGGGTTGTGTGTATTAATTTTTTTTCTTCCTTCCTCTCAAAAAAATTAAAACTTTAGATTTGCTTGAGTGTTACTTTCCCAAAATTCTTTGTAGCTTCATTCAAGGAAGGAATACTCTACTACTGAGGTGGTGAATTTATCATACTACAAAATTTTAGTTTTAAATTACGTCTCAGAAAAGTATATTAACTTTTCCTTCATCATATAATAAAACATTTTACAAAATATACTAAAGCATTATGATTTTATATTAACAGACAATGTTCACCAGACTATTTTGTTTTTTGATTTACCAGACCACCAAGATGAGTAAAAAGAGAAAGGCAAACATTTCAGGTAATACTGTACCATGACTTTTGTTTTGTCTACAAATAAGAAATTTTAATCAAACTTTTGCAAGCTCTTTGAATCACTTAAATTCTCCCTTAAATTGCACAGGTTTGAGCAGTACAGTTTTGGTTATACAGAGATTTTTTTTTCAATCAGTCAATCAATATTCAAATATTTAAATAAATAAATAAATATTCAATAAACACTGTGCTGCTATTCATCTCCAGGAAGTGGCCTGAGAAAGGTGGCTCTCAGACTTACCAAGGCCCCTTTTGTTCACTATGAAACAGCTCCTAGTCCAATTGTGGCACCCTGGCTAGCTGTCTCCCAGCATGGCAGCCCCATTTGACGGCTGAGGAATGTGCTGGGACACTCTGTACAGCTGATACAGTAAACTCATATGTTGTATGTGTGTGTTAATCACCTGTTTATGCTTTGTAGTTATTTTTTTGGGGGGTGTAAGAGTTATACACGGATTTTTAATTACACAGGGATCAAGCACTCCTAACTCCAGTATTGCTGAAGAGAGAAGTGTGCAACATTAATATTTGATTGTAATATATTATTGTAACTGTTCCCCATGTTTAGAGCCAAAGAAAACAGGATGCAAAGGTGTCAGATAAAGACTTTGGAAAAACAGTAAAAACGTTTGGCTCCAGCTGCTTTGAAATACCAAAGCCCTCCACCACTTCGTTTTGCTTACCCAGTTTTGGAAGTAAAATAAAGTACTGTAGTATGTAAACCATGGTGATTCATGAGAAAAATTCCACAATCCATCATCATGCAGTATCTTTATTAGGATCAACCAACTAGAATTGTGGGTCCATTAAAGTTTAGCTTGACTACAGATTTTTGCATTTTTACCTGCAGCAAATGTGTTTTGGTTTGTGTATATCATACCCTGAAATGTACCTAACTTAGCCAGTCAAGAGCACAGTTCTGCAACAGGGGGAAGAGGAATGTCTACCACCTGAAGACCACCACCTATTTTTTAGGGCTTCTTTCTATGCAACCAGTCAGTAAATTCACCCAATTTGGCTTTCAGTGCCTTTTATCTTGAAATTAATGTTTAGTCCTATTAATGTCAAAACTGCCATGTTTCTCTCTTTTTTTTTCGTTCTCTGCCTATCAAGAAACCTATGTGCTTAGCTTATACTTGGAACAAATTACTCAGTGTTTTAAAAAATGAATGAATCAGCCATTGTATCCACGATCAACAGTTCTGGAAGTTACCTCAAACCTGCATGAGACACAGCAGAGACAAAGGCATTTGACTGCATCTTTTTCTTAATTCCATTTTATAATTCTGTACTCATTTTCTATGTGTGCTATATGGGGGTGGCTGGCATATTTGAAGGGGGCTACAGACTGGAAACAATTCTTCACACATCATCTTATAAAGTTCATTATGCAAAATCATACAATCCTGATTTGGCCCATATTTATTTCATATTGTGTTTATGGTTGTGGCCAAAAAAGCTTGAGAATGGCTCTCTGACTTTTGTAGGGTTTACTGTCAAATGGGGAAAAGTTCAGATACAACCTCTGTGATGTTGAGAGATTAAGCATTGTAAACAATGTATTCATTTTTAAAAAATGTGCTTCACGGTGTTGCAATAGTTATGATTTAATAATTTAATGTGTCAAAATTTTATGCACTTTAGAATCCAATAATTTAATGTAAGTAATTCAGCATACTGAAAGTTGTTAAGATGTGCCTGAAACAGCCCTTTATTCCGTTTTGTTTGTTTAATTTTCATACTGCCCATCTGGCCAAAGGCCACTCTGGGCAGTTTACAACACAAACATAATAATTAAAATATAATGTAACAAAGCAGAAAATAAAAACAATAAAATACAAATAAAAATATGGTCAAAACATACAAAGTACATTTGCAGTTGTGGTTAACAGTTATGCTACTAACTTTTGCATAAGAAAAACTTCTTTGTGTTTCCCATTCACATTAGATTTTTTTCTTTTAGAACTAGGAGTTTGTTTTAAAGATTTATTTAAATTAGTAGCAATAATTCTGAATGTCTGAACTGCTGGATAGCTCAACCGCTTAGGTCTCTGGCTGTGGAACCAGAAGTTGGGAGTTAAGTTCCGCACTATGTACATTTAAGTCACCAATTTGATTTATCAATACGTTTTGTTTTGTTTTTCTTTAGAAGAAGGAAACAGAGAGCTCAGCATTTCCAAAGCAAAAAAGATCAGTAAGAGGAAAACCCAACTGACAGAAAAGAGTGACCTAAAAATGTCGGCACAAACTGTTCACACCAATAAATGTCTTTCAAAGGTTACTGCAGCGGGGATAAATCAAGAATATAAAGGAAATACTGAAAGAGAACATTTGGCATTGAATCTAGATACAAGGTAATCAAGTTTTTTCCAATCAATTTATATGGAATTTCTGAGATGTAATTTGGTGGGTCTAAGAAGTTGGAATGGCAGTTGATGTGAAAAGAGGTCCATTCATATCCCACTTATATCAAAGTAACAGAACTATTGGCTCGCTCAGTGAGTCACACCATAGAGGTCAGGAGTTTCGTTTTCCATTGTGTGACCTAGGATCCTGAGAATAAAGAAATGGTAAATGACTTCTGAGTGCTCTATACCTAGTCAAGTTGATTCCATATATCAGAATCAACTTGACAGCATGTTATCGTTATTATTAAAGGCAATATATGCCCCACCTCACGTACAAAAGATGATCTACTGTAGCAAATGGCCAAGATAATGCAATTGAAGTAGCCCAGTTCTAGTCAAAAATATTCTATTTATCTTAACATTTTAAGTTGTTTTTAATTTTACCTATATTTCATATATACCCATAATTTTAAATTGTGCAGAGCTCTGATATGAATAAAGAAACATTAAATGAGTCTGTTGTTGTTGTTTAGTTAAGTCGTGTTCAACTCTTTGTGACCCCATGGACCAGAGCACACCAGGCCCTCCTGTCTTCCATTTCATGTTGGTAGCTTTGATGACGCTGTCCAACCATCTCCACCTCTGAAGTCCCCTTCTCCTCTTGCCTTCATACTTTACTAACATCAGGGGCTTTTCCAGGGAGTCTTTTCTTCTCATGAGATGACCAAAGTATTGGATGAGTCTACTTCAGAGTAAAAGTTCTTCAACCTAGACAAAAGGTTGTTGCCAAAAGAATTACAACACTCATTCCTATTAATCTAAACTGAGGGATGGACACTAGCAGAAATAATATAAGTGACACAGTCCAAACAGATTGTAGCAACAATTTGTAATTGCTACTTATTCCCTGCTTCCCGTTTAGTACTGAATTATCTAAAATCCTGAAAGAAATTGCCTACAAACCTCAATTAAATAGATTATAGTCAATGAAGCCAAACACTTTCATGCCCCATGAGTTAGTCTGTTGCTGCAAAACAATATTTATCATTTGTCTATTTTTACCCCTTTTCTCTTACAACTTTTCACCTCCAACCCTATGCACATACTGTATTTATTTTAAACAATGAAGACACATTTGATGTATGGAAGCAAGAGCTGGACCATAAAGAAAGCTGACCATCGAAGAATTGCTAATTTTGAATTGTGCTGCTGGAGGAGACTCTTGCGAGTCCCCTGGACTGCATGGAGAACAAACCTATCCATTCTAAAGGAAATCAACCCTGAGTGCTCACTGGAAGGACAGATCCTGAAGCTGAGGGTCCAATACCTTGGCCCTCTCATGCGAAGAGAAGACTTGCTAGAAAAGACCCTGATGTTGGGAAAGTGTGAGGGCAAGAGGAGAAGGGGATGACAGAGGACAAGATGGTTGCACAGTGTCATTGAAGCTACCAACATGAATTTAACCCAACTCCGGGAGGCAGTGGAAGACAGGAAGGCCTGGCGTGCTCTGATCCATGGGGTCACATAGAGTCAGACAGGACTAAAGGACTAAACAACAACAGTGTAAGGTCTTTTCAGTTTACAGCTATAATCTTTAGCTCATTGTTTCCCAAACAAACTTCTTTTCAAAATGCCTTCTGGGCCACAGGACCTAGTATTTACCTCACTCTTAATTGGCCTTATAGCACTTTAGAATTATTCATGGCTGTTCTAGCTGTGATAAACTTTTGAAAACAATTCTACATGCACAGGGAAACACAACTACAGGAATACGTATTCAAGTAGAGATTGAATGAACTATTCAAAAGCAAAGTTCCAAAGTTTGTCACCTGTGACTCAAAAGTCCTTCACTGATTTTTGTAGATCATCATGAAACTAGCCTTCTGAAATATCTTTAAAAGAATATCTTGAGAATAACATTGATAAATACAATGTCAATAAAATGGACCTTGATTTTTTCCAATTTTTCTCGTGCTGCATGATAATTTACTTCAGGAGAGGCTTGATTAGTATACATTTTGTAAACTGAGTTATCAGAATTAAGCAATTCTGATTTACTTTCTGAGAACAAGATGGGAATTCCCTACTTTTCCATTTTCCCACGTGAAGAATTCTATTTAAATCAAATAAATCTTCAGCAACTTTGCTTTTTCCATTTATGTATTTATTTCTAAATCTGGTTTCCTCCTAAAACAACTGGTTTTAGTAGAATGAATAAATATGTTCCAGTACAGTGAGATATTTTTTCAACCATTTCAGATCTTCAGTTTAAAAATATGTATGGTGATGGTGGATTCCCAGCATGGTGTAGCGGACAGAGTGATGGACTAGGAATCCAGAAAGCAGGGTTTGAATCCGCACTTTGCCATAGAAACTAATTGGGGGAGCAGAACTCATAAAATCAAATGTCTGACTTACCTTGAAAGCCCCAGGATCGCTGTAAATCATTTTCTGATTTGATGACACAGAACACACACATGGTGATGGTAATAATGTCAAGAGGAAAAGATGATCAATCCACAAAATCTATGCCCCTCCTCATAAGCAAAGTGCTTTATCAGAAACTGTAAGGATCTTGCTTTGTGTTTGGGAGTGGTGGAGGAAGTAGGCTAAAGAATGAAAACCCCAGATGGGAACCTAAGTGATAGTCTCCTACCCACTGAATTTTTGAGAAATTGATTCTGTGGGTATATTTTAGTTGGAACTATTAGTTGGACCAAGGCCCTAGGTTTTTCAGTTAAATTTTTTAGATTTATTTTATAACTTCTTTTTTGAACTTGATTTTCTTAAAACTTTAGCATATCTATATTGCTTTCTCTTGACAGCTCTCTAGAAGATGGTACAAAGGCGTCTTTTCAGAAGAAAGATACTGTTTTTCTGCCTCCATCTCAAGTAAGTGCTGTGAAAAGTAAACATTAACATTAAAAATACATTATTTTAACTAATATATTTAAAAACAACAGAGTATTGTAGAATAGATTAACTAGTTTTATTTTGCATAAACTTTACTGATTGCAGATGCAGACAGTCTGTCAGCTTATGCTAAATACAAGTTAAATGAATGTTTAAGATGCCAAAGACTCTGTTGTTTTTGCTGCAATAGGCTAACATTACAGTGGCACTTTATATTAAACCTTTGACTTTTTTTGGTGAAATGAACTTACACTGCTCAAACAGCTTCTTCCATAGCATTAGAAAATAAATAAATAAATATATCTATACATATAGATTTTCGTTTTGTATTTTCTTTTCTTGTGTAGACATACCACTTGAACAGATACAAACCTTTATAATCTGTATGATATAAATCTTAGTGGGGCATAAGATGGAATTCATGTGTGTACCAAAATGGCAAGAATCATCTGATGGACATTATTTTTTTTGGCATAAAGTGACATTCTGCATCCATATAAAACCATACAACCCTGAACATACAGCATCATATTAATTTACTGTACAAACAAGATTATGCATAAGAGTTTGCAACAAAGGCTTTACTGTATATGGAGTGAGAAGTACTAGATGGTCAAGCTGCATGTATTTCAAATATATTTTGATTCCTGAACCATACCAAAGAATTGTAACACTATTTATTGTTGTTTTTATAGATTAGAATAAAGTTTTAACTGTGGGGATCAGTAAGAGCTATGGATAATTCTAAAATAAATAGGTACACCACAGAGTTTGATATGTCTTGATGTGTAACACTGCCAAAACCCTGAACAAGCTGCTACTGTTAACACAAAGTATGGAGAAGCAAAATAGTTTTCCATATGCAAAGGTGTCAAACAAGAGCAAACTTTATATCCCAATATGTTTAGTCTATATGCAGATTATACAAAAAACTGAATTAAATTGAATTGAAGTGAATGTTAAAGGAAACATTTGTGAATGCCATGGACCAATACGGGGTCTAGATCTAGATCAAATCGAGTCTGAAATTTAACTAGAACAAGAAATTTCACTAGAAGAAGAAATCACTGTTGTACCTTAGATATATTGGTTTTATATTACAGTAATTTTCTATGTAAAGGCATACAGCTAATGTAAATAAAGAATACTCTACATCATGAGAAGGTAAGACTCAGTGGAGAAGATAATAATACTAGGAAAAACTGAAGACAGTAGAAGAACACTTAACATGAGATGGATTAACACAGTAAAAGAAACCACAGCCTTAATCTGCAAGGTCTAAGTAGAGCTGTTAATGACAGGATCTTTTGGAGATCATTAATTTATAGGTTTAATTCACCATAAACTGGGAATGGCATGATGGCACACAACAAAAAAGGTGCTGTGATATTTTGGTTTTTGTTTTGTTTTTGGTGTTGCTGAAACTGGCAGATATTACTATCTTTCTGAACACTGCCTTATGGAAATACAACTCAGTGCTTGACTAAATGTTTGACTGTATTTTGAGAAAGCAATTTTTGTTCCTGAAGACACCAGTCTATTTATTTAATTGTTTATTACATTTGTATACCGCTCGACTTTGTGCAGAGCACTACTCATAGTGGTTAACAACTAATGTAAAAACAAAATCCTCCAATTCCCAGCAGCCAAAAATAAGGATTCATCAGAATTCTGGCTTATAGTTAATGAGCACAGTCTGTTCACACAGTTTGGTTCCATCTGCTATCCTGACAGACTACATAAATCAGGAATGGTATGCTGAATGTATCATTTGAGTTGGAGATTCGGGCTTTTGTGTTGTTATGAGTCAAAAATGAGAACCCAGTTTTATTTTACAATTCCTGACTTGTTTGAGAGTAACAGACTAGAGTCCCAAACTCACTCACACTTGCAGGTGGAGCCAAGCAGGAATGAAGAGACCACACACAGCTTATTCACTGTCAGCCTGGGTTGTCCAGAATCCTGTATCCCTTTGTAAACAGGTTTCAGAAAATTTGGATCCATTGGCATAGCATGGAAAGAAACACTGGCAACTGTAGGTCACTGAAAATGGCCCCCCCTCCCGCCGCTGCCGAATTCTGACAGCAGGAGTATCTCTTGCTTCAGAATCATTCCCAATGACAGAATGGTAGCTGTTGTTCAACTATGTTAACTTTTGAAGCTTTATCTTGTGATTGCTACATATTAATTTTGGAAAAGTTTTCTTAATTTTATAAGTTGTTGACAGACTGTATAGATTATGTAGCAATGATGTAGAATCTGGCCTTCAGCCAGAGCTTACGTGTTCTTTGGTCTAATTTCAAAACAGCTTTATACAACTAACCTGCTCTTGATCAGAAGACTACAAAGAGGGAAGGATGCGGAGGGAAGAGATGGGTGTAGCAGGGATAAAGGAGAAATGGTGTAGGAATCAAAGAGACAACAGGCAGTCCAAGTTTGGGTTTTGTCCTTGTCCACTACTGTCTTGAACCCCCACCAACACAAAAATATCACTCTTGGTAAAATGCAACCTTTAGCAGAAAAAAAGGTTACCATTACTTGTCCGTGGAATACTTGTTTATCTCACTGTTGGTTATAGGGAGAAAAGTTGGTACCAGTGTTTAAAAAGCCAACAAAGCCATTGTCTGAAAGATGTGACAGGACTTTTGGGAAAACTACAACAGTCTGGACAGAACAGGTACGAGTGTTGATTACCTCTAATTATTAACCAATGTTTGTCTATAAGATAATATATGATATGTCATTTAGACGAATGATTTTGTATGAATGGATATGAAATGAAAAGCTCCAAGATCTGGACTGTGGTTTATTTTGTAGCAGTAAGCACAAACATTGTGGTAGTTTGTGCTTGTTTTGTGCAAATCTTTACTTAGACAATGAACCTGTGCCCTCCACCTTTAACCTCAGATTAAATGCGCTATGGAAATGTTTTAAGTGGCTGAGGGTTCTTCTAGGTTAGTTTTATTTGGCTGCTTGATGTTTTTGTTCTTAAGCTCTCTTCAAGACTTTGTGTAAAGGCAGAATACAACTAATTAGTATGACACAGATTAAATAGTTACTCTCGTGGAGAACTATATTATAGTTACTACTTTGTATTGTAATCTAAACAGAAAATATATGTGGGATGTTAGGGAAAGCCAGTGAAGAAATTGGGGTCAGGGAAGACCTGATTTAAAAGTCATGTTGTTTAGTAATGTCATGAAGATGAAGGGTCTGTCCAGACTCAAATGGGTTAATTAGGTGATAGGATGATAGATTTCACTCCAGGCAACCTTTAAGATAATGTTGGGTTGTAAAACTTTATTGCTTTATCAAGTGGGGTCAAGGGTATATTTAAGATACCACCTTTGGTTGATAGCTAATGGACAATAAATATTGTGTAAAGTTATAAAAAATAATAGATTGTAGGAAATATTTACACAGCATGTTTAAGTAGTACATTTGAAGTGAGAAGTTGTTTGCTCAAAGATATAATTCAAAAGTAATCTAATATGCCACTTTCTTATGTGCTTAAATGTCATTAGCGTTTGTAAGATTTAGTTAAATTTTATTTTAAAAAATAGATAATTATAAGAGAAGGAATATAGAACATGGATGAATAAGCTGTCATATTGTGAGCATAGTATTTTGGTCTTCCAAAAATATGTTGTGAAATGTAGTAAAATATACTTACATCCTGACTCCCAAAAAATAATTCATAGTTCAGCTTTACAGTAAATATAAAAATGCAACAGTGCAACAGGAAATACTAACTACTTGTTCAAAAACAGTAAAAAAATACAAACGGAAATATCAGGATTGCAGAGCAGCACAAAAAGCAAACAGTGAAGATAAAACATAGTTGTTGGGACAAAGGGAAAGGCACCAGATAGGAGTAAATAGGTCCCATATAAGCCTCTAAAGAGAAAATTCTGTACTGGGGTGTTATGATTTATCACCAAGATACTTAGTTACCACCCACCATATTCATGATAGACTCATATTTGCCGATTATACTCTATGGACATAGGTGTTCCTTCTGGTATATGGTCCCAAGCCATAAAAACTTTAAGGATAAGATCAAGCAATTTGAATTGTGTCTGCACATAGACTGAAACTCATTAAAATTATTATCAGTGCCCAGTACCAGTTACTATTCTTTCACTTGTATTTTACACTAACTGCAAATTCCAGAGCTTATTGGCAAGCCTATGCATGCCAGCCAAAGAGTTCCTAGACAGTATTTTACTTAGGCTAAACATAGTAGATACCTGTTCAGAAAGAATTGTAACACACCCATCAAGAAAGGGTTTCAGCTAATATAGCAGTTAAAGCTGGTGCAAAGTATTTTGTGCCATGGAGACCAATTACTGTATTTATCCTGCAAGAAAGACTGAAACAGTTCTTAATTGTGAACTTCTTGCTTTATACAGTATATACAGCAGCCTCAACTACAAATTCAAATATGCTACTAAGTACATCGCATAATTCACTGTTTAGTTAGGCCAAAGACAGATGAAATTAAAAACTATTGCTTTGCAGAATGTGATAGCTAATTTTTGAGATAGTGAAATATTTTAAAAGTGGTTTACTATTCCCAACCACAGTGAGTTTCCATGGCTGAATGGGAATTAAGCTAGATCTCCTAAATCCTAGTTTAACACACTATCCACCCCACTGTATTAGCTCTGAATAATAAAGGGGAAAATATTGTATAAATTCTTAAATAGATATAAATTGCTATATTTCTTGATTAAATAGAAAGAGTGAAGTGTAGATAAAAATGCTACATAACTGTGGTACTTGTTTGTATTTCACTACTTCTTTTTGGTCAGCATGTAGATAGAAATGTATTTGACATGACAGAAGGTGCAGTTCAGAAGACTGGTGCTTCAGAGGGACCACATCCAACCCCTTTATTGGAGACAAAAGTGGAAGATCCTAAAGATAAAGCAGTCCCTTGTGAGAAACCTAGTGAAAGGCTGAATGTTCAAACGCAAGATCAGATTGGAATTAAAAGGTTGAACAATGATGTTCTCGAGACAGGGTTACTAGATTCCAGTCAAGGACTAGAGAGAGAATCTAATTTACAAACAAACATCTCTGAAAAGAAAACACCAGAGAAACCTAATTCCTTTTTTATGTGTACACCAGATAATGAAAGTGTGAATAATCTTGAAAAGAGACAACTTTCTTTAAAGTCATTTATATGTCCATTTGTTGATCAGAGGAATTTTATATTGGCACAAGAAAGGATAATTGACTCTAGTAAAAACATTCAGAATGAAGAAGAGCATCCGAGTCGTGTGGACATGGGCACAGAACAAAAAGTCATTCAGGCTATCCTAGGAGCAGATGGTATAAAAGAAGCAAATTGTTTACAAAATGGAAGCAGGACAGATGTGGGTTCTGTTGAATGCATGGCCATTGGATCACAAAAACAGAGCAACTTTCTATGTACAAGTAGTGTAGCTAGAGAGGGAAATTTTAATAGCAGGGAAACAAACCAGTTCCTTCCCTACAAAAGTGAGAAACCTGAGGAAAAAAACATTTACAAAAGCACTGAAATTTTTGAACCTAGAAATAGGAAACACACCTCCATGGCTGGTGAAATAGTAATAGATCAGCACAAGGTGCAGACAGATAGTAAACCTGTAGTACAAAGTGGTGGAGACAGAACTGCAGAGCAAAACAGCTCTTGTGGAAGAGAGACATTTGTTGGAAAGGAACACCATGTTGGACAAGATATTTCTGGGAAAGATTTACCAAATCTTCAGTCTGTACAGAATTACCTGGAAAAAGAAATTGATCTTTATGAACAAAATTGTAAACAGATTATTGCAACAAGCAATCAGTTCTTTCCAGAACCTGCTGGGGATATTCAATCTGAGAGCAGAAAAAAATTGATGAAAGGAGTTTCTTGTGCTGAAAAGAGATGGGGGATTAAAGAAACTGAAATGAGAACAACACTGGGGAAAAACACCATTGCCACACTTGATCCCAACATCCCAATCCTGCCAACTCAACAACACAAGGAAAATGGTGAAAATTTGCTGTGTAGTATAAAACAATTAGAATTCAACATATGTGACTTGAGACCCGGTTTGGAAGCAATGTCAGAGAAAAAAATGATTAAACAAACATTGGCGAACATTCTTATGACAGAAACAAAAACAATACGAAGTGTTTCCTTTTTTACAAATGACAGTTTCAAAGATAGTATAGTAACATGTGAAGAAAATAAGAACAAATTGAAAAGCAGTCTGTCTTCTGAAGACATTCTTCCAGTACTGGTGAGGGTGAGTGATACTACTGAAGAAAGTAAAACCGATTCAGAAGCCCAGAGCACTCTGCTTTCCTCCAAAGCAGACTCTAATTTAAGTGCACCAAGTGTTCTTGATACCGTGGCTCAAATATCAACATCTTACACAGATACCCTTGCTCTGGATCTGGAATTTCTGCCTGACAGCGAGCTGCAAGGCATCTCTGAAAGTAATAACCTTGAATGTTCACCACACAAGGTAATTTGATTGCTAATTATAAGTACATTATATAAGGGATGATTCTACTTTTCTGTGTGTCATTTCCTGTACAGTAGAGAAGATGGGCTTTAAAACTGTATTTTAATAATTTTAAAGCTACAGTATTTTTCTGCATGAACACCATCAGTATTTAGGAAATTGGTTTATTAAAAAGATTTATATCTCAGTTTTTGGCTTTAAAGCAGGTTATAATATTTATAAATGCAGTGATTACATTAGTGAAGAGGCACCCATTTTCAGTGGATAATTCTGAACAGTCTTCTCATATTGATATATATTCACTTACATATTGAAAGAGCTGTTTTATCTATCCTTGGCTCACAAATATTTTTCTTCTCTTCAGTATAGCCACTTGCTGTATAGATTCATAAAATTATTTAATTATTTTTTATTTAATTATATTTCAGCACTTGAAGACTATTCAAAATTATCTGGCAACTCATACAGATTAAGTGGATCAGCTGAAGCTGTAGTAATGGAAGCAATAAATCCTACAGTATTTTCATCTCTTTGAATCCTTTGTACCTCTGGGTCCCCTATGGACTAAAAATATTGTGCTGCTTATCAGCCTCAGGAAAAAAATGTTTTGGATGTAATATGGAAGGAGCCTCACAACATCTGTGAAGGGTCTGGAAGTTCTAGTCCAGTCCATCTGGAGGGTATCCTGAGCAGCTCAGAATTTTCCCCCTTATTGGCCATGTGTCTGGGGGATTCTGTTTGTAGTAGTTAAAAAAAATCTCCTCTAAGCTCTGGACCAGCAATAACAAGAGATAATAGAATATCCACAGGTGCTATAGATCCTTGTACTGCACCAATAACTCTGTCATACAAGGCACTTGCCATTAGAGTTTTATGCAGTCTCTGTGAGTATTCTGGCTTAGAATTATATAGAAGAAATTGATTGCCTGTTCAGTATAAAAAATAATTCTGGGAATTTAAAGATCCTAAACTATTTCCCATTCATCAAAGATACATGAGTCAAGGGTGGGGGAGGAAAATATATAAGAGCCTCCTGTTTTTATCAAGGCTTGTTTCTTACAAAAAAAATCAAGCACAGAAACAAACCTTTGTGAGGTCTGTACCAGACCTCAGACCAGACCAACCAGCTGCAGACAGGACTTCAAATATCCCCCCCCCATATATTAATAAAGGCCTGTATGTTGAGAAACAGCATGTGAGATACAGTAAAAGGCTACGTGAGAGCCTAGCTTCTTGATACTTTTGTTTATGCATATTGTTTATATACCTTGTGTTTATGGAACTGATCTCTAAGATAAATAATCATGCACCCCCACTGTCTCTGGGCCACACTTAGGCTTGCTGTGCAGAACCTTCCAGCCCTCACCTTTTCTGGCCCCCTCTTTTCAGTCCTGCTTGCTTCTATTTAACTCTTGGTGGCAGGCAGGACATAACAGATACCTGCTTTCTTTTACTGGATGACATGTTTCCATTCATATCAATCATCTACAGTATTGAACATTCACATTTCTATGAAACAGAAATGGGAGATCCTAATAATATCGGGGGATCACCATTTGTCTTTAATTTCCCTCTTCTTCCTCTCTCATTATAAGTGTTTGGTAGCAGAGGAGAGAAAAAGGAGTTAGTAGTAGTATTTCTGGCAGTGGTTGGAATAGAAGACAGCATATTATAACACATCAAGGTAAAGGGGGGGGGGGTTTGCCCTCTTACTTTCCTAAAGCAGCTCAATGTAAAATATAGCTAGAATGCAAGTAATTATATCTAAAATCTAAATCCCAGACAACTAATGACTAAGACCTCAACCGTAATTACTGTACTAGGATTGTTGCTTTATATTTCTTACTTTTTTCCTTTCCATCTGACATTGCTTCTGAATAATCCACCAAGGATAAAATAGAGCAACGTGCTACAGGAGAACAAAGTAGAACCAAAACATCACACCCAAGTATTGGTATAATCCAGTCAAACAGTGCAAGGTAGGTGGATTTTCTGGCATAAGCCGCCTTCTTATTTTGCATTTCAGGTAAGATAAGGAAGACACTGAGAGTGTTGCATGTATTTGTACATTGTAAAGCATTTTAATTTTTACTTCCATCTTTTTAGAAGGTTTGGAGCAGGTTCCTTTAATTAAAAAACGTAACAGAATGTGACACATTAGGTATAAGGTATTCTGTTCTAGATATCTCGTAGGCTTTCAGTCCACAATGAATAGGAGAGGCTATGGAAAACTCGTTTCTCTGTGCATTTTTCTCCTGAGAAAATTTATAGAAACTGCCACATGATTTCTCAAGTATTTGCGGTAATTTGTTCTGGGAAAATGCCAAGTTGTGCAGGATCTTTACAATTTTTACCCAGAGCGGCATCTGTTCTGTGCAGAACATACTGCAATGAGCAGAAGATAAACAAATCTGAAGAATGCAATTTTTCCTGTGCAGTATTCATGGGAATGGGTGTTAAGTTGCACAGAGGTTGACTGTTCCCTGTGCAGAGTAACAGGAGAAAAATGAGGGAAAAATAAAAAAGAAAGCAAGACAAAAGCTCATATTTACTAGAAGCCAGGAAATCATGCAGATACAAGATAAAAGCTGTGTTGGTCAGTCTCAGCATGGCAAGACTCACATCACCTAGAAATATAAATTTTGTCAGAATTTGTCACATTGCTAGTTTTAGGACGGGATGAATCATTGGACATTTTAGAGAGAAGGGAGGGAATAATTTCCTTTGTGCTGATCATAAGCAAGACAAAATAGGGAGGAGAGAAGGAGGTCCTATCTCTGAGGCTCTGCATGCCATGAAAAAAACACTAGGTTGCAGTTATGTTGCAACATTGGTATAGCTAATGTGTTGTTTCTGAAAGATAGCAAAGGATGTAAAATGATGGATTTAGCGATACGAGTTCAAGGGCATCCCATGTTCACTACTTCTGTCAGAATAGTCAGCAATTTCAAGCAGAAATTAATATCAGTTTGATATCAGACGTACAAATAGGATGTAATAAGATCTGGTGAATGTTTCTATAAGAATTTGAATTTCATAACACCATTATAACTCCATGTTCAGGGGGTTCTATTGATGATATTTCACTCCATCCCAGACATTTGTTTACTAGCAGAACATGTCTTAGAAACAAGGTATTTAGCATGTGGTCATAAAGTTGCAACAATGAAAAGATGCTCCATACAATCACATGTTTTTATTTCTGAAGTTGAAAATCAAGTGACTGTCATTATGTAGCAAAATGGCCCCATCCATGTATAGGAGGGAATTGTTATTGAACTTCTGCTCAAGGTTTGCAGAAGTTCAATAACTAAAAACCCCTCCCCAAAAAAAGGTTCAATGAACAGAAGGATGATAAAGGAAACAGGATGAAATCTCATGGAGAGTGCACAGCTGAATGGAAGGACTCTGCATGTCAACTATTTGTTGCAAGTGTTGCTTGCACAGGTTCATTTGGTTTTGCAGAAAAACCTTTTCACTTTGATTAAAATCGTGTGAATGGCATCATATCTGGTTAATGACCACAATTTTAAGACTTTTTCAAAAAATTAGGAACACATATCACTGTTCTCCTATTATTTCATTTCATTTGTTTTTAAATCAGGGATGAGGTGATTTGTAATCCATCCAGACAAGAAGATGCAACAGATGTGGTTTGTGGCCTGATTAAAGAACTCTCCAATCTCAAGTAAGAACCTGTTTCTGGGTCATAGCCACTGCTTCCCAGCCTGAACTACTCAAATGTGGGAGAACCACTTCCACAACACCCACAGCATTTTGCACCTTCTCCACCAATCAGATTGTACAGTATAATAATAGACCTTTAAATGCTCATAGGAGGCACTAGTCACTATATATCAATGGCATGACTATGGCGATTTGATAAGGTAATGGTCCGATTGACCACTTTGGATGATATGATGGTGGTTGCTTTTCCTGCATATCACAAAAGAAAATACGAATTGAGCATGGGATGCTGAATGCCTTGCATCAAGGGGAGACATAGGCTCAAAGCATATTCTGGTGGGTAAAAGCTGAGGATACAATGTAAAACATTTATGTAGTACAGCTTTATATGAATAACTGTCCAGCCTACCATCCAGTTGAACCAAGGTACATGTACATAAGGCAACATTCACCTTTAAAGTAAGCTTGGGTTATCCATTGTGCAGGAAGAGCAAAGGCATCATCAAGTCCAAGTGTGTTTTAGGACCTGCAGCATTTGCTGCCCTTTGCTGCAGTATCTGTTTGCTTCATATAAGACAGGTGAAGGAGATTGGCTGCTTCTTTTGCCCTTATCTCAGATAAGTGAATGGAAAATATCCTAAGGAGCTATTTAAAGCTTGGAAAGTTTTTTCAGTAATACAAGCCTAAGTTTGCAGTCACAAAAGATCATGTGTGGCACAGGATCTCAAGCTGGTAGATTGGCAACTGTTGGCATAGTACAGTATTTAGGACTGCCCCCGAGCCAATCAATGCTTGCCTGCCTACCTGTAAAATTGAATGTGAACGCATAGTTTCCTTTCAAGCTACAAAGATCCCATGTTGAAGAAAAAGGCAGCAGCTGAGGTGTATTTGGAAGGATTAGAACTTGCTAGTTTGCTTACACATGAGAATTCCAGTAATCACTAGACTGGGGATGGGGCAGAGTAAGGTCAGAAGAGGCAGAGCAGATCTGGTATACTCCTTGGTTTGGTTTGGTTTTTAAAGGTTTGCTTTCAACATGTAAGGCTATCTCCTATACAGTATTTTTAAATACTTGGTTTGCTGGCAAAAACAAAAAATGATTGTCTTGCTGGTGGATTTAAGCCTGGATTGAGTTGGTTGTGGCATTGGTGCTATTTAAAACAGTCTCCTTTGTACATACATGTACACTATTGTAAGAGCAGTGGCATATAAATTAATAAGTAACTGTATAAAAAAATAAAAAAAATACAAAGTTACACTATAGAAACTTTTCTGCCCTGCTCCAAAGCTGAAGGTAGTGAACATGGCCCTACTCCTGCTACCCTATTCTTACATCTCTGTGAGGTGACTCAGGCTGAGAGAATGTGTGTTTGGCCTAGTGTAACAAGGTGAGTTTTCTGTCAACATTGATATATACTTAGAGCTCCTGAATTCCAATCCAACCTTCTATCCAGTAGAGCACACTGCTTTTGCTGAGAAAGTTCTGTACAATTGATTTCTGAGTAATAAGCCAAAGGTCAACAAACTTTAAATAAACTGAACTAAATACAACAAGGGATAATCCAATTGGAGAAAGTCAAGAAAAGGAAGAAGAATTGAGGAAACTCCATATAGAATATCTGTGTGTATACACACATGTACGGAATCCAAGGCAAGAAAAAACAGGCATCCTAGCTTTCCCTGTTGCCCTTTCCAGACCATCTCTTGTTTCCTTGGTCTCCTGCTGGGTATTTGACTACACCAGGCTCTGGTTCCTGTTGAATTAAGTAAAGGATTGTGAGTGTATGTAAATGGATGGATGGATGGATGGATTGGTTGGTGAGGAATTTGCAATAGACAGATGCATATGTGGTGTGCATCTATAGATTCCTGGATACTAGGCAGAGGTGCCTGAGCCTCAAAAGATAAACTATAACCTTGGAACCCACAGTTGTCTCATTTATGATTGTCCTGTTAAACGCATCCCCTTCTGCCCTACATCAATATCAAATAAGATACCCACTTGCTAATTTCTCAATGCTCATTTTCCGAATCGCCCTCCTCAGAATTCTCTTTTTCCATTCTAGCCTGTTTTTCTCACGTACACACATACCACCCCAAATCCTTTGTTTTTCTACTTTCTATCCCTACTAGCAAGTGCTGGGGAGCTCAGGGAAAAGTCAGAGATTGGGAGTTGGATTCTCCACTGTGCCTCCTTGACAGGGGCTGGACTTGATGATCCATAGGGTCCCTTGCAGTTCTAAGATAGTGATGATCATCATCATTATTATCACCCTGCAGGCCTCCATCACTTCTTCCCTTGCTCTTTGCCACTCTCCCAGTCCTGCTTCCCCACTCCTTCCCCACATCAGATTATTCAGACTGGCCCCATCTTTGCTGTCCTTCTACAAGCAGGCAAAGACCGTTCTCTTCAGACAGGCTTCCCCTCAGTGACTGGCTGCCCGAGTGGGATTTTTAAATGGATTGTCATGCATTACTGCTTAAATGTGTTCTAATACTTTTGCTTACCATTTTTCAGAGTGTTGTTTGTTCCTTTTTAATATTTGTATACTTACTATTTTAGCTTTAACTAATGAATGTAAGCTGCCTTGAGTCCAAGGCAGAGTAAAAAAAATATTTAAAATAAATAATAATGCAGGTACAACTTGGTCTTCTCCATGGTGAGAACAGCTGCTGCATCTATTGAATTGGCCAGGGAAGATGATGATGATTTTATTTGTTTCATTTTTGAGAAGATTTTAACATAATGGCTATTAGTGCTAAATTCTAATACTGCTGAAACAAAACTTTAATTGCTGCTGCTGAAAGCTACCTAAAACTGAAGACCTTCCATTTCTGACAAAAATACAACAGAGGAAAGGTCCACTATACTTTGGCAGGGATTTTTTGCCCCTGCTTGAACATGGTGTATGAGTTATTTACCGGGTACATTTTTATCATGCACTTCCTCCAGTGAAGTAGACATGATGCTAAATAGAAAAAAAAGAAGAATATTCCAAAGTAGAAGAAGGAATAAAAAGAAACAAATCAAAGGAAATTTCACAATTGTAAAGGTAGAAAAAAATGGGTAACCAGATCAAAATAAAAGAATAGGACACAAGAACACAGTACATTTGAGGAGAAATCACAACCACAGTGCACATCACTCTACATATCAGAGAGGAAATGCCCATAATCATCATAGAACATACACTACTAGCACATAGATATATACAAACACAATAGAAGGGAATAACAGCATGAAAAGTACTAGGATTAAAATAACAAATAAAGAAACAAACAAAAAGCATTTAATGGCTCTAGAGGAATAAAAGCATTTGAATGTCTGCAGTTTGGGCAAAAGAAATCAAGACAATAGGGACACAGTTTGGATTGTTACCAATTAAAACACAAATACAAGGAAACACCACACACACACTCGGCAAAGTAAACAATGTGTCTGAGCAGGGTGGATTACTGTGTATATCACTCTTCAGAAAGGTGATGTATCTTGTGATCCCTCCTTCCAAAAACGCACTCCTGCTTACCATAATCTAAATCATCTATTCACCAAAAAAACATGAAAGTACAGTATATGCTAAGGATTATTGGAAGTGGAGTCAATCTGGCAAGAAGATTGTGGGAAATATATATTATGATTATAGCAAATAGGAGAGTACTTTCTGGCGAAGAAATTACATTATTAAATACAAAATTACTCTGTTCCCTGCCAAAGTGTGCAGTTTCAGAGATAAAGATAAGTACTTGGTTTCATCCGTACAAAGATGCAATAATTAGGGTTGCCATAGTGCTATTCTCAGTTAATCATCATTCATCAATGAAAGTACCAAAAGCAATTGTTACTACAGGGCTTTCAAATATTTCCAACATTATCTCATGCGAAGGGCAGGAAACCCTGCAACAATATCTTAAGAGTTGAAAATGGGGCTAGTCAGATTTGTTATTTTCCACACTCATATGTTGCTCTTAACAAGTATTCATGGAGACAGAAATCCAGTTTGAGAATTGCACATTTTCTGATGTGCTCTAGAGTTAGGGGAGGTAAAAAGATTAACAAAAGTAATTTGTGCAGAAGCCTATAAAACCACACAAAATTAAGTCCCTAGTCTAAGAATTATTAAATGCTTTATTTACACTTAAAAATACAATGGCTGAAATCCTGTTGCCATAGGTTATGCCATATAAACCTGATCGCATCACCATCATTCATGATTTTGTAGAAAAAAGAAATTACTTAGTTCCTCCCTAAGGTTCCTGTGGGATCTCTTTCACTGTGAGAAAGCAGTTAGGATGGCTTGGAAAGAGTCTTTAATTTCCAAAAATTGCTGGTGCTTGTAAAATCATCATAGGGGCAATCATTTCAAAGGTTAAAGACTCTAAGTCCATGGCCCTCAATGGCTTTCCCTTGACAAAAGAAATCCCAAAGTTTTGGGACCCCAGTTTGGGGGGGGGGGATTGGAATTTTTAATTGCTGAAAAACTACTGCAGTTTATGATGTCATCAGATTTACATAGTGTGTGTTCCACTGGTGGATTTCAGCCATTATATGAATACATTGTGTCATAATATAGAATTAATATTTCTAATGTCTATGCCACAGTGAGATATTTAATAACACTTTTTAAACTCAAACTGTCATCACAGAGGTTTTTTTGAAAGAAGAAAATATTTTAAAAAATAAATAAAATCTAACTTCTGATGAAATCTGATAACAGATTCTGGATTTGTACTACAGTACAAACCCCTATAAAATACTGCGAAACATTTTGTTATTCCAAAAATCTGAGGTCTGAGGAAGGAGCACGTCAGATAGAAATCCTTTTTTTAATAGCTACCTCTACATTAAAATTATATTCATTTTTAAGCAAGAGACTTACCACAAGCATAACTAAAGCGACTTTTTTCATGTACTGTATCTGTGTTTAGATACTCAAATATAAATTTCTTCATACCAGGTACATAAATATATATATTATAAGCATGGAAATTTTCCTAAGATAGAGGAATTCACTTAGTTATTTTCTTTACAGTCGGCTGATCATGAATGTGCACAGAGATCTGGATTCCTTCAAGAGATTAAAGTTACGGAGAAACAGGCAGCCTGGGAAGCTTCTGTCTCACAATGTGAACAATATTACAAATACACGATGTACAGGAGGGAAAAAGAGGGACCTGTAATTTGTTTGCTTTTACATTTGAAAGTGTTTGTTCTGTTCTGGTTCATTATGTTTATTTGCCAAATATTAAGCTGTTTCTACAGAATAAAATGTCTTAATCCTGAGTATTTATATACTCATTAAATTACATCTAAGCCACTCCATACCAGGAGATCTCAGTGAGGGCTATTATCATTGATGTCTTTTTAAAACAACCTAAAACCAGACATTATAATAATTTAAAATAATCCGGTTAATATTAGAAAACTGTCATTGCAAGTTAATTGTGCCATTTAAATAAGAATCAAGTCTAGTATCTTGACACAACTTTGGATGATTGCTTAAGTCAGTTATCCTCTTTTCCTTTGACTTCACCTCCCTTAACAGGTTATTATACATAATCTCTAAACTACAGTACAGTATTTTGGGGTATGATTGGCTAGGATTTTCTCTGGTAGAAGTGAATTCTGCCATGATATCCCCTGCCATGTAGCAGTCGTTTTTGACCTTTTTGAAAGAATTGCCCCCTTGAGCCAGTTATCATCGCCCCCCCTCCCGGTGGCACAGCAGCAGCAGGAGGTGTGGCAGTGATAAAAATCCAATCAAAACAGTAATGAATAGCAAGCTACAGTGTGCCTCGCTTAACGGGCGCCCCGTTTAACGCTGAATCCATGTAGCGACAAATTTTTTGCAATCATTTTTGCCTGAATCCATATAGCGACAATTTTTTTTGCGATCGTTTTTGCGATCGCATTTCGATGTTTCTAATGGGAAAATATCATTTTGCGATGAGCGGTAAGCTGTTTCGCTTACCAATTTTCACATAGCGATGATTTCCCAACAGCTGATTGGCAGTTCCAAAATGACCGCAGGGTAAAAAAATGGCCGCCCGTTGTGTTTTCGCCCGGATTCCTCGCTTACCGGGCAGCGAAAATGGCAGCCATATGGAGGATTTTCACTTAAAGGTGAGTTTTTTGCCCATAGGGACGCATTAAATGGGTTTTAATGCATTCCTATGGGCTTTTAATTTTCGCATAGCAGTGAAATCGCTTTGCAGCAATTTTTGCTGCATGGATTATCATCGCTATGCGGGGCACCACTGTATCTAAAAATCACACACAGGTAGCTGGTTTACTGAGGGAAGGCTTGTCTGAAGAGAAAGGTAGTTGCCTGGTCACGGAAGGAGAGAAATTAATGGGGCCAGTGTGGCATCCAGTGGCAGGGGGTTCCAGAGGCTGGGATGCAGTTTAAAATGTTTTCAGATAGAAATAAAGGGACACCTTGGTGCCACTCAGTCCTCATACAAAGGGAGTCTAGGGCAGTAGGGACCCTTTCCACAAACTTTAATATTGAAGGAAAGGAGAATTCCTTGCAGGAGGACGAACGGGGGGCAGGGCTGCCTGTTGCTTGAAGGCGGCAGGATGATGAGAAATGGGGGGGAGTGAGGAAAAGGGCCCCCACTTGCTGACATGGGCAGGAAGAGGAGCTGATCCATGCAATCCGTGGGATCCAGAATGGGGAGGTTGTAGAGGGGGTGTGGGTGATGGGGTGGGGGCAGTGGGACTGGCCCCAATTTCTGGACTTTGGGTTTCTCCCCTTGATCTGGGAAGGTCCTCATTTTCCCAGGAGAGCCATGGGGGCATTGGAAAGGGGAGGGGGCAGACGTCCAGGGGAAAGCTCCGCATGGAGCAAGAAAAGCCGATGAACACGGTACATGTGAGCGCATGCACACCATCGTTGCAGAACTGAGGTGGGATCTCTTCCTGGCCAACTTTACTGCTGCTCAGGGGGTGGGTGGGAGAGATGAAGACCCTTCTTCCTGGTTTTTCAGGGTCCCACGCTCTCCTCACCAAAGAGCGGTGGATGAAGCAGCATTTGGGGACTCTGATGGGAAGCGGGAGGAGTGAGAATGGATTTGCAAGTCATGCAGGCTTCCACTAAACTTTTATGAGCAGAGGATCTCTCCTGGGTCCTCCACTGGTGTCAACGACAATTTTTTTTTCTTTTTGCTGGAGAGACATGATAGTGCCAGATGGCAGTGAGGGTTCAGAAGGAAAGCTGTTCTCCCCCCACCCCCCCGTGGCGGCAGGAAGGGGGCAGGTGGCAGTGGCGGGGCAGCAGTGGGAGGAGACAGTGAGAAAGGGACTGGGAACACACAGATTCACATACCCAGCTGGCAAAGCCAGCCTCAGTGCGCATCAAATGCCTGAAGAGGAAAGTCGCCCCCACATCACCCATTTTCATTCTACCACCCCCCCAAAAAAAACAAAATCACCCCCTGGGGGGCAATATCACCCAGTTAAGAACCACTGCCATATAGCTATACAGTACTATGTTCAAGCACTTATCTGCAGTTTTTCACTGTTAGACCATAATGTCACTATATGAACAGAAGCAGAAAAGCACGGTATCCCTTCTAATACCAAGCTTCACTTTATATTATACTGTTTAAAGTGATTTTTATTTCTTTCTTTATAGAATCTGATTTCACTATTTTGTTTACAAATGAGCAAAGTTTTTGAATCGAAATGACTCTTTGCACATAAACAAGAGTGAAAATGTTTAGGCCCTATTGTTACTAGAGCAATAATTTGGCATGTACTTAAAATATTACTCACTGAATTCAACAGGACTTTAAAATCTTTAACAGTTATTTTGTTGTTTTTGCTTATTTTATAAAGCCTTTATGTTCTGCAGTCTTCACTAAGATTTTTTTAAATAAAAATTTTACCATAGGATTTAGCTACACATTTTGAGGAAATCCATCAACTTGAAAAAGGACAGTAACACATTTAGGTTTTAAAAGAAAACTGCTATATTCATATAGCAAATAAACAATTTTAAATATAACAAATATTATTTAACAAACATAATAAAGAATATCAAACAATAAACAATTTTGAATATAACAAATATTATTTAACAAACATAATAAAGAATATCAAACACAAAAATAATATATTAATAATTAACAGTAAAACGTAAGAACCAACAGAAAATTATATATAAAAAAGCTTACAAACAAGCATGCATTAAATAACATCAAACAATTATAAACATGAGGGACATGGGACTGATGAAATATCAGCTAAAAGTCTTCTTTTGGGGAAACTTCCTTTACCATAAACTCTGAAACATCTGCAACTAAAAATGAATGTAAGATTGTTCAAGCAAAAAGTGCAGCTAGCTAAAAAGTAGGAATTGCTTGAAATGAGTTAATCGTGCTAACACTGGGAGAACTCATTGCCGGGGTCTAATACTTAATGTGCATCCTGCATAAAATATGTCATCCAGACCTCTCTGTATCTCTTCATGTTTTCTCTGGAGGGTTTATGAGTCGATTTCTGCAGATCAACCAATCAGGTGAGTTATTAAAACTGGAATCTTCCAAGGCTTCAGGAAAAATGCTAAATGTTGTATTGCTGTGAATATGAGATGATAAAGAATGAGATAATAAAAATACACCCAACTTTATTTTCCATCCCTTTCCTCTTCTACTACCCATTATTACTGCTAGTTTGCTAATAGTTTTAATTCAGGCCTTGTATGAAGAACAAATAGTATGTTAAATGTTTTAGAAGAGGAAGTTGTTTTCATCTTTATAAGCATTACAGGCAAAAATAAAAATAAAAAGAGAACAAATAAGGCAATAAATGTTGTGGCGCATGGAAGACTGTTATATTTTACTGTGAGCTTTTGTAGATAAAATCCACTTCCTCAGACATAGGAAAGCCAGCATCTCTTATGTCTGAGGAAGTAGACTTCATATGTGAAAAACCGGATTAAAATATATTTGCTCTTTTAATTTTTGTTTTTGCCTGTAATATGCTAAATGAATTTCTCAACCCTATAATTTTATACAAGAAGTTTGGACTTTAATACCTGAGTACGCCATGCAAAATCAGTTCCCGGGACTTTGGAAACTGGTATTTCATAGCTAGAACCTTCATGAACAAGGATTTTTTTTCCTAGTGGAGAAAGATGCAGGTGAGAGTCCCCATCAACATACTGGGCAGTTGTATAGCCTCATCTATTTTCGTGGAAACTTACAGCCTCTTAGACAAAGCCTGAACCAAAACCCACTCCAAAAAAATAGAAAGAAAAGAAGGGCCATTCTTGGTGCTGTTACAAACATGAGACCTGATTTTCATTTTAGTTAAAACAAAAAAAAATGTAAATCAATTATTTTAGAAGGCAGCCTTCCCCAATTCAATTGCCCAAGCAGACATGTCTATAGACTCTAGACAGAAATGCACAGCATGAGTGCTTTTGAAGGGGTTGCTTAGGTACTGCTAAAGCAAGACAGGCACTTCAGGCAACTTTGGGGTGTCATGAAAATGCTGCAGATTGTTATTTATTCTTATTGGCCCACCGTATTGTTTTAGTACTGTTGGGAGACAAGAGTGTTTTTTTTTTATCTGCTGGCAAAAATAACTTGGTGGCTTAGAGTACTCTTGTGCCTTGATGGCGGGATTGTACACCTCCAACAGCAAAATGTGCTGGGTTAGCCAAAATGTCTGCAATTAACAAATAATAGTCGGGAGTGTGTGGAAATTATTAATTAACCAGTGGCAGGAACATCAGGAGCACATTAAAGACTGACAAGCTTTCCTTGGCATAAGCATTCATGGACTACAGCCCAGGTCCTCACATGCTTGTACTGTATGGGGTTTTACACGAGTAAGAAAAAGGAACAATTTACTATTAGATCAGAAGGATCCCTTCAGATGCTTGTTCTTGATGCTTTTAAACCTATGAGAAAAAACAAGTGAGTTTTTTAAATGGGAGGGGGAATTACCTTCAAAGCCTCAAACATGTTTTAGGATAATATTTGAATACTGTAGCTATGTTAGCCCTTCTCTTAGGTGTCTGATGGGGAGAAGAAGGGTTTGTTGTGGCTTACCTTTCTTTTCTTTCCAGCAGAATTCCTGATGAAGCTGTTGTACACCGAGGTGTAGCCCTTCTTAGTTAAGGGGCAGAATCGTCTCGTGTGAGCCGTGTCTTTGGAAGCTCCACACTGAGGACACGTGTAGTTCCTTAGGATCGGGCACTGCACCCTCCCAGCCTCGTCCTTGAGCCGGTGTGAGGTATAAATGTGCCTCGATTCCCCGTTGTGCCTACAGAAAGAGCAGGTGGGCTCTTCGGGGGCCCTCTCCCCCACCACAGCCGGCTGGTGCCAGTCCTGCGGCGGCTGCGGGACCAGGGGCCGCTTGGGGTCGTCGTCGTCCCCTGGACTCGCACATCGCAGCCTTTCCACCAGTTTGGCTAGCTGGAAGTAATCCTTCCAGAGCTGGAAAGCACTAGCGGCGTTCATCCTGCCCAAGTCCCACTAGCTAAGTCTTTGCAGGACTCCGGCCACCACGTGCGTTTGTATTCTTCCGCGCCGGCCAATCGCATCCTTTCCAAGCAATAAAGTCTCCTCCACTCCCCGCCCCCTTAATAGCCCGGTCGGAGCCAAGAAGTCTCCGTGGCTTGCCTCGGAAAAGAGGGCTGTG